AAAATATTTTTTTAAAAAATCCCAGACTGAAAAAATTTTTTAAATACGAAAAATGAAAAAATATATTATCAGAAAATATTTATTTAAATAAATTCTAACTCCAAAAAATTACAAAAAAAATTTCCAAAAAAAACCTGAACTAACGGCGCTTCATCCTCCCCAGACATATCACTCAAATCCAAAGCATAAACACCCTGTTCTGCTCCCAAAACCATAAATTGTTTTCTGTTAGCAGGGTGATACCATTGTGCACAACAATTGACATTTATTGGGCTTTTGTGTAAAACTGTTACAAAACAAGCACCCATTGTAACTTGGGGAGTTGGGACCTTTAAAAAAAATTTTAAAGAAATATTTTGGGAAAATTTTTTGGTACTTTTCCGTTATCCTTTCAAAAATCTCTTTTTTCTTCCTTCCTTATTTTCGAACCTAAAGGTGTCAGAGATTTGCTGCCTTAAGTCGGAAATAACACAAATGTTAGAAGTCGACCAGGGCTGCATGCAATCGCAAAAAAATCCGCAACTCGCAATCTGTAATTGCGTGCAGCGCTGAAGTCGAATTTAGTGGCGATTTTTAATTTTATATTTTTTTGGGTTAAAAAAAGAATAAATGGAGGAAAAATAAAAAAAATAAGGAAGTGGAAAACGGAAAACCAATACAATTTTAAAAAATCAAAAAAAAATTAAAAAATAAAAACCATTCCAAAACAACAAGTCATAGGTCTAGATTGAAATGGATGATGAGTATGATGTTGATTTATTGCAGTTCCATACTTTTTTGCAGCTGGACTATTATTACTAATGTTGTTGTTTTGAGTACTTGGACTAGCGAAAGGACCATTTTGATTTATTGCTAAAATTAAAAATTTTTTTTATTTATATTAAAAAATTCAAGGATATTTTCTAGTCAAAAAATAAACTTAAAAAAATCATGCAAAAATTATTTGCTCAACTTTTACACTTTTCTTAAATCGTTAAAAAAATCAAAAGAAACGGAAGAGATAAAGTAAACAAAAAGTAAATCGAAAGCAGTTGTTTAAAAATATCAGAAAAAGCTTTCGTTTCTTTTTTTTCAAATAATGGACAATTCGATCTCTTTACTACCTATTTTTAATTAAAAGAGTCCAAAAATAGCCCGTCCAATAAATTTAGAGATAAGACCGAAATAAGATCATGAACAAAAATCTTTCGGTTATCAAAATAAATATTTCTAAAAAATCCCATTCCTGTCTCTATTTTTGACATTACGAAAGAAAGTTAAAAAAAAATTAAAAAAAAACATTTAAGAAATAGAACAAAGTATTTATTGAACGTGCTTATTTTTAAAACCCAAAGGACTCCCCAAAAAATCCCCAAAAACATTTAAAAATTAAAAAAAAAATAAACCATAATAATAATTAGAAGATTGTTGTTGCACATTTAATAAAGATGCCGATTTTGAACGTAATCTATTCCATTTTAATTTTAATGATTCATCTATTCTAGCCAAAATTTTCGAAGCTTTTTTTGTTGTTGGAGTTCGAGTAATTAAAGAAGGAGATTTTGGTGCGCTACTTAATGAAGAATGTGAACGTTGTGGTTGAAGTTGTTGTTGTTTTTGGTTTGAAGAATTTTTTGGAATATTTAAATTTTTTGGCCTTTTTTGAGGAGAATTTGGTTGTAATGGAGAAGAAGAAATTTGAAATGAAGGTTGTTCAAAAATATTATTACCATCATTATTTTCCTTTAAAAAAAATATATTTTTAAAACATTAGTGCAAACTAGCGTTGTAAGTTAACCGCCGAAATGAAAACTTTTCGGCCCTGTCCGGTTTCTGGTATCAAAAGGCAGTGGGTCCGGATATCCAAAAATTTCCTAAGAACCGACAGCCCCATGTGTAACAATGATCAATAGAAATCAGCCGATTTTTAATATCAATATGTGAGATGATTGACTATCTCAAATATTATTATAAAAATTTAGAACAATTTTCTGACGAGTCAAGGGCTCCAAAGGATTAAAAAAAATTCAATAAAAAATTCTAAAGAAATTCTTAAAAATTAACCTGAAGAGTCAAATCAATAATTCTTCCACTTGCCTCTCCCTGTGACGCAACCAAAGTTTTTTCGCTTTGATAAGAAATTTGTTGATTCCAGTCATCACCAAAAACCTTTAAATTAAACATCTTTCTTCTCCTTTTTATTAAAAATTTAAATAGGGTTGCCGTTTTCGAGTCGGGCCGACGGTCGAGTCATTTGTTTCGGGCTTCATTTTTATCTAGACGGCCCGACCGAGTCTTTTTCGAGCCAAATATTTTAGGCACGACTCAATCTTTCGACCCGAGTCGGTCCATTTTGGCAACCCTAATCCTAAAAATAAACCTCATCCTCTTCCCCAACATCATTTTCATCCATTCCCAAATTAACATGTCCATGTGGATTTGAAATTGAAGAAGAAATGGAGGAAGATGACGATGACGAAGATGGACGATCATCTGGTTGTTGAATAATTTTATTGTTTCTCAAATTCTTCCGTCCATTTTTCTGACGATTATTAATGTAAGGAGATTTAAATTGGTGTAAATGATGAGAAGCAAAATTTTCAACTTGATAAGTAGCTGTTCTTGATTTTTCTTCTAAAATGAATAAAAAAATTTTTTTAATTAGTTAAGAAATATTAGAAGGTTGCAAACTCTGAGTGATGTCGAGCCCAGGGGGGTGGTTTTAAAGCCACATCGAAGGCTAGTTTCAAGAGAGAAACGTTAGGGTGTTACACTCACGACTTATGTTTCACTCCCGTAAAGAACCATTTTTGGAATTTTTATTCCATAAATTTGAGACAAAAACAAGAAAAGGACCAGTGACATTGTTTGATTGGGCATTTATTAAAATGTTCGAATGTCGTTGACCCTGTGATAACCTTTTTATGTATTACCATAAACTGGTATTTAGATAATCTATCCATGTATTGATATTTAATTTAGTCCCATGATATTTATTTTTGGTCTCAAGGAAAACGTATCGTTCTTAACAATCTCCTCAAAATTCAATCCCCAAAATTTTTTAAAAAAACCTTGTTCAGATTCAGAAGATTCCCTCAATTTATTTCCTCCATTTTCTCTTTTCCCACCATCTTTTTTACTTCTCCTAACTTCTTTTTCAACAATTATATCTTCATTATAATCATTCTGTTGTTGTTCATCTCTATCAATTCTGTCTGGATGATTTACTCGGTCGAGTAATTCACGAATTAAACGAGAACTTAGAGCACCAGAAACAAATGGATTTGTCTTCAAAAAAAAATAAAAAAAATTCTAAAAAATTTTTAATAAAAAACCGTAAGTAATTTGCCTGGTGATGGACGCTTTTTTGGATTTTTTGTTAGACAGGCTTTAATAAATTGAGCAAAAGTTGGGGACCTAAAAATTTTTAAAAAATAGAAAAAAAGTTTTTTTAAACTTCAAACCATTTTTTCTTGTCCTTCAATTTTGGCACTTTATAATTCGATTTAGTCATCAAATGCAAAACTTGAATTGGAGGCAATTCAAAATATGGCGGTTTAAGCTCGGCCAGTTCAATTCCTGTTATTCCTACGGCCCAAACATCAACTTCAGAACCATAACCTCCACGGTTTTCGACATCAGCAACTTCAGGTGCCATCCTTTAAAAATTAAATGAAATTTAAAAAAGTCAAGAAACAATAAGAAATCACAAAAAGGTCATTAAAAGCAAGTAGAAAAACAAGCGGGACCCCGATGGAATCGAACCCTAGCGTTAATCCGATCATCCTTGAAAAAAGTCTGGCTCGCTAACCACTAGGCCAAGACAACTGCTTGAAGGAACCTAATTTTCTTCCCCTAACTATAATCAAAATTTTAATAAACATAATTAAATAACCAATAAGGAGTGCCAATGAAAGAAAGACGCTTTCCAAGCGTAGCAGTAATTTGGGCAGCAATTCCAAAATCGGCTAAAAAATAGAATTATCCAAAACATTTTAACAAATTAAAAACCTAATTTAATGTCTCCAGTGTGTGTAAGTAAAATATTTGCTCCTTTAACGTCACGATGCACTTTCCCCCGTTGATGAAGATACTTTAAAAATTCAAGTTAAATTTGATGAAGTTAGAAAAACCTTTAGTCCTTTAAGTGTTTCTCTGCAGACGAACGCAATTTGGAGTTCCGTTAGAGGACCGGTCACTGAAAAAAATTTATCCGTATTTTTTAAAAATTCGTCCACAAAAAATTTGCGGATTGTCCGCAAAAATTTTGCGGACAAAAAAAAATTTATTAAATTTCAAACAAACTTTGGTAAATGTCCTGTAACGATCCCCCACCACAATATTCCATCACTATCCATAACCTGTCCCTTCGCAAATAGCTGCCATTATACGCAATAATGTTTGGATGGACACAGTCCCTAAGCATCAAAACTTCTTGTTGAATAGAGGCAAAGTTGTCGCCGTGTTCCAATTTTACAATTTTTACGGCTGCAAAAAGGCCAGTTTTTAAGTCACGAGCCTTGTAAACTTCTCCATAGGAACCTTAAAAAGTTAAAAAAAAATTTGGGTTAAAGAAAATTTAATAGACCTGTGCCGACACGTTGAAGGAGTTCATAATCACCACAGGGATCAGATCGTCTAATTGTGCCGTTCATTCTCTTTTTTGAAATAAAATATCAGTAAAAGTAAGTCTAATAAGTAGAATATTTTAAATTGACATATCTTCTGAAAGGTTGAAGAAAAAATTTTTTTATAAGTTTATTGGGCACGTGGGGATAATTAGTGTAATTTCTAGCCCCCTTTTTGGCTTTTCATCTATTCTTGGATTTAGAGTCACTCATGGACTTGGTAGCAGGAACTGGCTTTCCGTTAGCGGACATCCGTTAGCGAATTGGCCCCATTTTTGGTTTGCTAAAGGAACCCTCTAAATTTTAAAAGTTACCAGACCCAACCCCCAACGTTGCAGACCCAGACAATATCCCAGACCAATGAGTCTGGGACCCAACCACTTACTGAAGACCCAGTTGTCCAGGAAAAACGCAGGCCTTGGTCCGGACCCAGCCCGATCTCTAAAACATTCCAATAATTTTTTGGAAACCCAAAAAAGGCTCTAAAAGACTGAAAAATGGTCCCAGACCCTGTCCACAAGTCGCAACCCAAACCAATTTTACTAAATTTAAAAATACCCACCAAAAACCAAAAGTAACTGAAAAAAAGAAAAAAGAGGCGCGTAAATGACACTAATTGCCCGCACGTGTTTTACAACATGAGACAATTAAATGACTAGAAATCCTCTTAAAATTAACCAAAAAAACTAAAGAATAAAGAAAGATTAACAAAGAAAACTTTAAAAAATGGGCCGCGTGCCCCAATAAACAAAAAATATAAATTTCTTTATTTTTGACGTTCTTCTGCTTGAAAGAGCAATTGCAATTGTCTGGGGAATATAAAAAATAGACTTTGAAAAATACAAAACACAAAAAAATATAAAAAAATGAGAGAGAATAGTTAAATGAGAGAGTGGAATAAGAAAAAAGTTGAAAAGATAAATTGTCATTTTAATTTAAACATAACGCCAAAGTATTTTTTTAACGCCAAAAATTAACAAATTTTAAAGTAAACACAACCGTTTCAGTCTCAAGGTCGTATTTTGGGCCATAACTTTATCAATTCTTAACCGATTTAAATAATTTTTGAATCATTTTAAAGCTCTACATGTGAGGATTATTTTATCTAACAGTGTCGATTTAATCAGAACAACCTACGAAAAGTTGTGTTTGGATAAGTGCGCGCAATCGTTATTTTTGATCGTTATTCGGCTCTAACTTTGGATAGGTTGGTCTGATCAAATTGATCCTGTTAGATAAAATAATGCTCACATCAAGAGCTTTCTGTTGAAACTATAATATATTTTATTTTAAATCCAGAAAATTTGTATAATCTTCCTCAAAAAATGACTACAATAAGTCCCAACTGGTCAAATTATGGGATATAGTTATCGTCTTTTTCTTATTTAAACAAAATTTTCATTTTTTTTCAGGTTATAGGAAAAGCAGAAGGTCGTGGCCAAGAATGCACGGGCATGTAACAGGTTTTTTTCTTCCTGAGTTAATAAATAATTATAAATTTATAGCTGTGACAGTTGCATCAGATTTTCAAACTAATTACCCCCCCCCTCCACGTGCCCAATAAAATGATAAATCTTTTTTCTTCTTTAAACTTTCAGAAAATATGTCAATTTAAAATATTTCTACTTATTAAACTTACTTTTACTGATATTTTATTCAAAAAAGAAAATGAACGGCACAATTAGACGATCTGATCCCTGTGGTGATTATGAACTCCTTCAACGTGTCGGCACTGGTCTATTAAATTTTATTTACCCCAAAATTCAAAATTTTTTAAGGTTCCTATGGAGAAGTCTACAAGGCTCGTGACTTGAAAACTGGCCTTTTTGCAGCTGTAAAAATTGTAAAATTGGAACACGGCGACAACTTTGCTTCTATACAACAAGAAGTTTTGATGCTTAGGGACTGTGTTCATCCAAACATTATTGCGTATAATGGCAGCTATTTGCGAAGGGACAGGTTATGGATAGTGATGGAATATTGTGGTGGAGGATCGTTACAGGACATTTATCAAAGTTTGTTTAAAAAAAATTTTTGCGGAAAGTCCGCAAATTTTTTGCGGATAAAAATTTAAAAATGCGGATAAATTTTTTTCAGTGACCGGCCCTCTGACGGAACTCCAAATTGCGTTTGTTTGTAGAGAAACACTTAAAGGACTAAAGGTTTTTACTAAAATTCTATTGATTTAACTTACATCTTTGAAGTATCTTCATCAATGGGGGAAAGTGCATCGTGACGTTAAAGGAGCAAATATTTTACTTACACACACTGGAGACATTAAATTAGGTTTTTAATTTTTCAGGAAGATTAGGAGGATTTAAAATTTTATTTTTTAGCCGATTTTGGAATTGCTGCCCAAATTACTGCAACACTTGGAAAGTGTCTTTCTTTCATTGGGACTCCTTACTGGTTAATTATTTTTATTAAAATTTTGATTATATTTAGGTGAAAAAATTAAGCTTCCGTTAAGTAGGCTGATTGGTTAGGGAGCTTGACTTATTTTAGGGATGATCAAGTTAATGCTGGGTTCGATTCCATGGAGGTCCCCTTTGTTTTTCCTGCTTCCTTTCAATTTCCTTTTTTGATTTTTGATCGCTCCTTTTACTTTTTCTAAATTTGTATTTAATTTTAATTTTAAAGGATGGCACCTGATGTTGCCGACGTTGAAAACCGTGGAGGTTATGGTTCTGAAGTCGATGTTTGGGCTGTAGGAATAACAGGAATTGAACTAGCCGAGCTTAAACCGCCATATTTTGAATTGCCTCCAATTCAAGTTTTGCATTTGATGACTAAATCGAATTATAAAGTGCCAAAATTGAAGGACAAGAAAAAATGGTTTGCAAGTTTAAAATCATTTTTTCCCCCATTTTTTAAAATTTTCAGGTCTCCTACGTTTGCCCAATTTATTAAAGCTTGTCTAACAAAAAATCCAAAAAAGCGTCCATCACCAGATAAATTACTTACGGTTTTTTATTTTTAATTTTTAAAAATTTTTTATTTTTTGAAGACAAATCCATTTGTTTCGGGTGCTCTAAGTTCTCGTTTAATTCGTGAATTACTCGACCGGGTAAATCATCCAGACAAAATTGATAGAGATGAGCAACAACAAAATGATTATAATGAAGATATAATTGTGGAAAAAGAGGTTAGGAGAAGTAAAAAGGAAGGTGGGAAAAGAGAGAATGGGGTGAATACATTGAGGGAATCTTCGGCTTTTGAACAAGGTTTTTTTAATTTTATTAGAAATTAAATTTCTAGGGTTTGGTTAAGAACGATATGAGACCAGAAATAAATATGAGACTAAAGTATCAATACATGGCTAGATTAACTAAAACCCTGTTTAGCAAGGGCGTATCCAGGGGGTCGGTTTCGGGGGGGGGCTAACACTGGGTGGGCGCAAAAATTTTTGGCGTTTACCTTGGCGTTCCGGACGCAAATTTTTTTGTACATAAATTTTTATCTTTTCTGCGCCGCAGGCGAAAATTTTTTGAATTTTAGAAGACTGTAGGCAAAAAAATTCACTTATTCAGCGCCGCAGGCGAAAATTTTTTTGAATTTGGAACCGAAGAAGCCAGATTTCTTCCTTTTTTAGCGCCGCAGGCAGAAATTTTTTGAATTTGGAGGGCCGTAGGCCAAAAAAGTTCACTTTTTAGCGCCGCAGGCGAAAATTTTGAGGATTTTGGAGCTCAAGAAGCCAGATTTCTTCCATTTTTTGCGCCGCAGGCGAAAATTTTTTAAAATTTGAGGGTTATAGGCGAAAAAATTTCACTTTTTCGACCATCCTTCTCCTAATTTTTTCCCCCTTTCCCCCATTTCGGGGGGGGGGGGGGGCTCTAGCCCCGGCGTAGTGACAGAAGACCCACAGACAGAAGACCCAAGGACAGAAGAACCACAGACAAAAGATCCACAGACAGAAGACCCACAAGAAAAATTTTTTAACTAAAACTTTCGAAGAAATTTTCTGAAATTTTTGAAAAAGAATTCCAATTTCTCAAGGCACAAAATTAATAAATTTTAAAATATAAAAAACTATTATAAGTTTAATCAAAAGAATTTTTAGTGTTAAATTTTATGGATGAGTGCGATTTAAATAACTTAATTAGAAAGTGATTTGAAAAATTGGGTGATTAATTAGGATATGTAGGAATAGCATTGGATATAGAGAATATAGGGGTAAAATCTCGAATATCCGTGAATTGTGTATAACAGTAACCAGGAGAAGGAAATTAACAGTAAAACGGATATGTCAGGGATATACGGATATACTAATCCGCCTTTATACACAATTATCCCTCCATGTTACACGAAATATAAGTAATCTCTACTATCCCAAAGATCCCCGATATCCTTGCATATCTCCAATGCCGTTGATCGCTTCTAATCCTTCTATATCCCTCTATGTGGACTTAACTGACTCTCGCTATAATCCAGTTAATCCTAAATACCCCTTGCTTCTAAATATCCCTTCGATCTACTTTTCCCTTTCATCGTTACAGACAGGAATTTTGATTTTGTAAGGCTAATTAGCTATTTTTATACTATTTTTTATATCTGAACCTGATCGGATAAAGATTTTTTGACATGACATGTACCGGATTTTTCGGATAAAAATCCCGATAATTCAGGAAATCAAGATCCCTCTTTGTTAAAATAAGCTCTCCGGTAATTGGGAAAATATTCCCATCGTTGGAACAACTTCACCCGTTGTTGCAACATTCCACATTGTTAAAATAACATGCCCGTGGTTGAAACAAACTTCTCTGTCATTGGAACAACGTTCAACACTGCTTGAACAACCCTCCAGATTGATGGAACAACCTTCCCTAATATTGAAAAAACTTTCCCGCCGTTGGATAAACTCCTTATTTTGGAAAATAAATAGAACTAACATGATCCCTCCGCAAAATTTATGCACAATAAAAGGGAAACAAAAAATAGTTGTGGGTCTTTTGTCTGTGGGTATTCTGTACTTGTGGGTCTTCTGTCTGTGGGTCTTTTGTCTGTGGGTCTTCTGTCCTTGGGTCTTCTGTCTGTGGGTCTTCTGCGTCGACACGTCTAGCCCCCCCCCCAGCCCCCCTGGATACGCCCTTGCTGTTTAGGGTATAAAAAGGTTATCATAGGGTCAGCAACATTCGTTCAGTTTTAATCTTTCGAGAACCTTTCGACTTTCGAGTCTAGCGAGCTGACAACCCTAATTAAAACTCATTAGAATTTTTTGATACTGTTCTTGTCAGAATATCTTTAGCTTTCTATAACTAATTAAAAAAAATTTTTAACAAATTTTTTTAGAAGAAAAATCAAAAACAGCTACTTATCAAGTTGAAAATTTTGCTTCTCATCACCAACACCTATTTACATCATCTTACATTAATAATCGTCAGAAAAATGGACGGAAGAATTTGAGAAACAATAAAATTATTAAACATACAGATGATCGTCCATCTTCGTCATCGTCTTCATCTTCCTCCATTTCTTCTTCAATTTCAAATCCACATGGACATGTTAATTTGGGAATGGATGAAAATGATGTTGGGGAAGAGGATGAGGTTTTTTAGGATTTTTAATGAGAGGAAAACAAATCAAGTGCGTAGCTAGGGGTTTAGTTTCAGGGGGGCTAAAATTGGGTGTGCCCCAAAATTTTGGCGTTTACTTTTTTTTGAACCAATCCCCTTCTCAAATTTATCTTTTTCTCCCCATTTCGGGGAGAGGGGCTTTAGCGCCTGAAGCCCCCCTGGCTACGCTTTTGAAACAAAATTTTTATTTTTAAAGGTTTTTGGTGATGACTGGAATCAACAAATTTCTTATCAAAGTGAAAAAACTTTGGTTGCGTCACAGGGAGATGCTAGTGTAAGAATTATTGATTTGACTTTTCAGGTTAATTTTTGTTAAAAATTTCTTTAGAATTGTTGGTGCATTTTTTTAATCCTTTGGAATCCGTGGCTTGTCCAAAAACAGATGTGAATTTTGATATCAATATCTGAGATGAGTCCCATTTTCCTGTTCTTTTTCCTTGGCATGTTGACTGGGAAACTGGACTGATCTCAAATATTTAATATCAAAAATCGGCTGAATTCTCTCGATCATTCTTATACATGGGGCTGGCGGTTCTTGGGAAATATTTGGATATCCGGATCCACCAATGGCGTATCCAGGGGGCTAGAGCCCTCCTCCCGAAATAAAGGAAAATAGGAGAAAATTAGGTGAAGGATGATCAAAAAAGTGAATTTTTTCGACTACAACCTCCTTAATTCCCCAGGATACGCTCTTGGAATCCACTGCCCTCTGATGCCAGAAACCGAACCGAGGAACCGGGCCGAAAAGTCCCCATTTTGGCCTTTAACCCTAGTTTACACTTTAAAATCTCTATAAAATATAATTTTTTAAAGGAAAATGATGATGGTAATAATATTTTTGAACAATCTTCTTTTCAAATTTCTTCTTCACCATTACAACCAAATTCTCCTCAAAATATTCTAAAAAATTCTTCAAACCAAAAACAACAACCACAACGTTCACATTCTTCATTAAGTAGCGCACCAAAATCTCCTTCTTTAATTACTCGAACTCCAACAACAAAAAAAGCTTCAAAAATTTTGGCTAGAATAGATGAATCATTAAAACTTCAATGGAATAGATTACGTTCAAAATCGGCATCTTTATTAAATTTTCAACAACAATCTTCTAATTATTATTATGGTTTTTTTTTAATTTATTTTGGGGATTTTTTTGTGTTTAAAAATAACCGTTATTTTTCAAGTTTTCAACATTCTAAAATTTTTTATGAAGGTCTAAAATAGAAACCGAACTGGGAGAGTTATATATATATATATAAATCGGGATTGATAATTTCTTTGGCCTATGGCCTAAAATTTTAAAAATTCTTGCTTGCGGCGCTGAAAAAATAAAAAAATAATTCAAAAAAACTTGCTTAAGGAACGCCAGAGTAAACGACAAAATTTTGGCGCACACCCCATGTTAGCCCCCCCCCCCGAAATCGACCCCCTGTTGGCTACGCCCTTGCCGGCCCTATTTCTAGTCAAAAATGTATTACTCTGTTTGACCATTTGAAAAAATTTGGAAATGTTTATGGTTAAAAGAATGTCAAAATATATTTAATAATTTATTGAATAAGCTATTATTTTTAGATACAAAGAAAGCTCCAGCATCTAATAGAAATAGATCGGTTCTGGAATAAGTAATTTTCCTCGATTTTATACTTTTCTATTAATTAGTAAAGGTAAATGTCCAGCTCGCATTCTACCTTACGCAAATGTAGTCTGCAATAAGGACTGCATTTGCGTCCTTATTGCGGAAAAAAATTGATGAAAAAATTGCGGTCCTTATTGCGGAAATTGCGGTCCTTTTTGCGGAAAAAACTGCATTTATGTCCCCCCCTGGCTACGGGCCTGGTTGGAAATCTTCGGATATTCGGATCCGTAATCGATATCCGAACCGAAAATTTAGGATAATTTCGGACATTTACCATTAGTAAAATGTGCTTTTCTACTATTTTTAAACCTGCTAAAAAATTGTTTGTTTGTCCATTTTTTTCTGTACAATTTTGTGACAATATATATAGTAACTTAAATAGGCTAGGCTTTGTTATAATTAAAGCCAGGCTCGATTCGTTTTTTTCTCATCTTTTGAATTTAACCGAAAGTTTATGTATCTATCGACACTTACGGGCGGGCTCTAATTATCTACAAGTGTTGACTGAATTTTGTTTGACCATATTATAAAAAATTTTTTTTGAAAATTTTGAGAATTTTTTCTATTTATTCAAAAAAATTAATAAATCAAATATCGGTCAATTTATGTGATTTTTTTATTGTTGTTCACAGCCGTTTTAGTCTTGAGGCTACATTTTGGGCCATATCTTTATCTATTCTTAACCGATTTAAATAATTTTTGTATCTATCGAAAGCTCTATATGTGAGGATTATTTTGTCTAACAGGATCGATTTAATTAGAACATCTTACAAAAAGTTGTAGTTGTAAAAGTACGCGCAATCGATATCTTTGATAGTTATTAGGCTCTAACTTTGGATGGGATGGTCTGATCAAATTGATCCTGTTAGATAAAATAATGCTTCACATCAAGAGCTTTCTGATGAACCATTTTATATTTTTAAGCCAGAAAATTTATACAATCTTCCTCAAATATGACTACAATACGTCCATTTGAACCAAGCGATTTATTCAGATTTAATAATGTAAACCTCGATCCGCTTACAGAAACGGTATTATTTTAAATTAAATTTTAAAAATTAAATTTTCATTTTTTAAAGTATGGGTTGCCTTTCTACATGCAATATTTAATCAATTGGCCCGAATATTTTCATGTTGCAGAACACCCAACTGGTCAAATTATGGGATATAGTTAGCGGCCTTCTCTTATGTTAGGTTAATTTTTTAAATTTTTTTCAAGTTATGGGAAAAGCAGAAGGCAGAGGACAAGAATGGCATGGGCATGTAACAGGTTTCTTTTTTTTCTTCCTGAGTTAAATAAATGATTGTTCGTTTTAAGCTGTGACAGTTGCATCAGATTTTCGAAGGATGGGATTGGCAGCCAAATTTATGAAATTATTGGAGGAAATTTCTGAAGAGTTTGTTTCATTTAAATTTTAAAATTATTAATAAGCATTGGTATTTTAGGGGTTCTTGTTTCAAAATTTTACGGAAATCTTCCAGCGATGATTTTTGTCCTCCTATCCTTTTTCCCTGACATAGGAAAAAAAAATTTTATTTCCAATGTGATCACCAAGGATTATGCGACACAAAAGCCCATTCCTGAGTTTTGGGGATGAATTTCTGATTTCTGTTGCCCCCCCCCCCCCTCCCCCCCAGGGATCTGCCAAAAACAAATTATCGAATTTGTTAAAGTCATCTAATAAATAGCCAACGTTTGAGGAAGAGAAGGGGGTGAACAAACGCAGAATACATCAATAGGGAGCCTGCCGACAAAAAAAAATTCCCCGATTTTTTTGGAGGTAGGATCCATGGTACGTCATCTCCTTTTTCTTTTCGATAAAAAATTTTTGTTTTTTTTGGTTTGGGTTTTGTTTGGGTTTTGCGATAAAAAATTCAAACACAACTAACAGGATGACGATTTTAAAAATATTTTTTCTACTCTCAGAAAACATTGCTATTTTGTTGATTTGTTTGTACGCGTTTCAAATCGTACAGCAATCAAAATGTATGAAAATTTGGGATATACAGTGTTTAGACAAATTACTGATTATTATTCTGCTACAGATGATGGAAAAACTGATGAGGATGCGTTTGGTATTTTTTTTTAATTTTTTTAAAAATTCAGAAAATTTTTTAGATATGAGAAAAGCACTTTCTTGGGATGTTGGGAAGAAGTCTGTAATACCCTTAAAAACGCCCGTGCATTTTAGTGAAGTTGAAGAAGCTCATTGAAGTATAATTATTTTAGTGTTAGTTTATTTTTTCTGAATTATTTTCTTATTTATTATTTTTCCTCTATTTTTCCTTTATTATCTTTTACCCTTAAATTTTTTTTCAGAAAAAAAATAAATTTTTTTTTTGATTGCCTGTCCTCGTTGTACCTCCTAGGGATGGGTCGGGTTACCCGAAACCTGGAATTTTTCATTGAAATTTTTTTCATATACGGAAGAAATGTGGCTTATTGACCTTTTAAAAGTTCGCAAAATTTTTACCTAAATTAAAAATTTTTTTAAAACTCGACTCGCAATCCGATCCGAAAAAATTTTTTTAAAAAAACCCGACCCACACCTGGTAATTCGTTGCACCTTCAAGGTTAAATAGATAACTAGGGTTGGGAGCCCGAGCCGGCCCGGTCTGAAGATCGAGTTGGGCTTTGAATTTTGGCCCGAAAAAAAGACTAGAAACGTTGACCCAACTCGAAAACCCCAACCTTATAGATAACATAAGAATGTGAAAAAAATTTTTTTAAAGAGGATAAATTAAAAATAAAAGTCAATTTTTCCCTGACTATTTTTCAAAAATGGCGAATACAAAATATAATATTACCTTTCATAACAATCAAATTCTTCATCGTTTTCTTCGACAATTTTTAATTTATAACGTTCAAGTAACCATTTATCAGGTTCTGTAGGTGAACCTGTCATGTAACATTTACCAGATGCCGATTTTGGGAAGGCTATGACATTGCGTATAGAAGCTTTTGAATCTCCTAAAAATTGAATTTCCTTTTCTTCCATCCCAATTGCATTTTTAAATGAACCTGACAGACTCTCAATTATTCCTCCCCAAGTTTCCTATATATCTACAAAATGGTCAGGCTTTTTCTTTCCTTCCAACCCTGCCCTTCTCTATATTATGCATACAAATAATCAAAAGGAAAATTAATTTTTATTCCCCCTAGGATGAAAGGGAAACTGAAGGAAGAAGTCTAATTATTCTTCAAATATACAGGAAGAAACCTGGGAAGGAAAAAATGGGGTCTGCCAGGTTCAATATCAGAGGTGTGTCAGAACAGTCCGAGGTGTCGGAAATCGCAAGAGCCGGAAATCGGAACTGGCTCAAAAGTCGGAAATCAAAATTTTTTCGGAAATCGGAAAGAAAAAAACGCCGGAAATAGGAATTCTGCCAGGTTCAACATAATTGCCAAAAAATATTTTTAAAATTAATTAAATAAACCTCTAGCATTTAATATAGCTATATATCTATCCAATCCTAATGCAAAACCACCTGAAGAAAAATATTTTTTAAGTTTTTTAAAATTAAAAATAAAACCATGTGGCGGAGCTCCATATTGTAAAGCTTCGAGTAAATGTCTCTAAAAAAATTTCTGAGATTTTCTTTTAAAGTATTAAAAATCTATAAAAAAAATTTTTTATAATTACCAAAGGTTCAGAATCAATTTCAAGAATTTTAGTCAAAACATATTCTTGCAGTTCCGCATTATGAATTCGTATTGACCCTCCTCCAATTTCTTCTCCATTAAGTACAAGATCATAATGTTGAGCTATATATTAAATTTTGAAAATTTTTATTAAAATTGCGGATAAAATCTTTTTTCAGCTCTGACCTCTCAAAATCCGCAATTTTTTCTAAAATCCGCAATTTTTAGTCCGCAAATGTAAGTGAAGTCGAAAGTCAGTATAAGAGTTTCGACTGCACTATTTTTAGCACCAAATTTCCACCTAATTTAGCGCCAGATTTCTTTCGGCCCAAATTTTGGGGGTGCCCCTCCTGAAATCCACCCCATTGTCTAAAAGTGGGGTTAGATTAAAAAACCGTTTCTTTAACAGTTCATTTTCACAAACCTTCAATTTTATCCAGATTTATTCCATTTTTCAAATTTTCCTCATGTTCGGGTATTGGAGCCTAAAAATTGAAAATTTCAAAAAATTCTCAAAAAATTTTCAAATTTTCAAAAAATTTAAAAAAAAATGAAAAATTGCGGACAAAAAATTTTGTCCGCAAATATTTTGCGGACAAAGTTTTTGAAAAAAATTTTCAAAAAATTTCAAAAAAAACCGTGAAAGGATGATGTGCGCTTTCTATTTTCCCACTCTCCTCATTTTTTACAAATAATGGAAATCGTTGAATCCAAACAAAATTAAATTGATTAGGTTGGAAATAATCAAAAATTGATTCAGCCAAATAATTACGTAAATAACCTTAAAAAATTTTTTTTCTTCAAATAAAATTTTTAAAAAATACCTAGAACTTTTAAAATACTTTCTTCACAATCGCCCCAACTAAAAATAAAATTTGAAAATATTTTTTTAAACAAATTTGTAAAAAAATTAGAAATTGCGGACAAAAAATTTTGTCCGCAAAATTTTTGCGGACAAAAAAATTTTTCTAATTTTTTTTTCATTTTTTGGCAAAATTTTTCTAAAAATAATTTGTCAAAAGATTTTTTTTAATAAAAATAAATTACCAAATAACAATAACATCATTATCCTTGTCCAAATTTAAATTCAATAAATGGTCCTTATTTATGGGAATTTTGTTAAATTTGTTGATTGATGATGGGCGAATAATTGAATAATCCTTTGAAAGAATTTAAAAAGACGCTTTTTTAGATTAGAAAGTTTAAATTAATTTTTTCCAAAATTTCAAAAAAAAATTTTGAAAAAATAAAAAATTTGCGGACAATCCGCAAAATTTTTGCGGACAAAAAAATTTTTGCGGACAAAAAAATTTTTCCGCAAAATTTTTGCGGACTAATTTTTTATATTTTAAAATTAAATTTCAAACTTTTTTAAAAGACAACATATCAATTTTCTGTTCCCAACGTATCATCCTTCCTTTAGTTAAATATTTTTGAGCGCCTTTTGCAACAAACATTTTAGCTTTAATTAAATTGTCTTCCAATAAACAATCAGTGATTTCCCAAGTAATTCTTGTATCCTTTAGAAAAAAATTTTTTTTTTCAAAAAAAAAATAATAAATTAACCGGTTTGTCTGTTCCAAATTTTGACAACTGAAAAAATTTAAATTATTCTTTTTTGAAAGTCCGCAAGAAAAGTCCGCAATTTCTGTCCGCAAGAATTGTCCGCAAATTTTTGTCCGCAATTTTTAATTTTTTTCAATTACAAGTAAAAGCTTATTAGGTGTAAGCAAGCCATAGGGGCAGGTAGTAGGATCCTGCAATCTCCTGACAGTTTTTGCTGCTAGGTGTTTTCGCCTACCAAGTTAAGGTAAGGGGAAGTAAGGTAAGGGTAAATAGGGGATGGGTCTTTAAACCCAAAGAGAGAATTTTTCGAAAAACTGACTCAATTAAAAAAATATTGCAACTCTGTCACCTAACATTTTTCTCAGTCAGCCCTCCCCATCGTACAGATTTATAAAAATTTAAAAATAAAAATTCTTCCAACCGACTTCCCCAACCTTCCCCCAACCGGCCTATCTCCAGTACAAAAATAATAAAAATCAAAAAAAAAATTCAAAAAAAAATTTCAAACCGCTTCAGAATAATCCATACGAGGAAAAGGAACGGTTGGTTTATACTGCTCCTGAAAAATTTAAAAAAATTAAAAAAAATTTTTTTTCAAAAAAAAACCAATTCTTTAGGCCACGAATTAATCAAAATTTGTTCAATTAAACTAATAATTTTTTCCTGATTAGTAAAAGACAATTCCAAGTCCAATTGTGTAAATTCTGGTTGTCTGTTAGGTTTGGTAGGTTCGTCTCTATAACAAATTGCTACCTTTTTTAAAAAAAAATTTTTTTTAATGTCAAGAATTTCAAAAAAATAAAATTTAAAAAAATTTAAAAAATAAGGACAAAATTTTTTTGGTCAGAAAAATTAAAAAAGCGGTCAAAATTCATTTTTTTGCCAAAAGGGAACACGGACCGAATTCAAAATAAGAGTAAAAAAATTTTTTTAAAGGGGGGAACGTGACAAGAGATAAACAGAAACCCTTAGTTTTTCTCTTAGTTTTTGGTCAAAATGAAAAGGGAGACACATTCTTATTCGAAAAAATAATTTTTTAACGCCGAAAAATTCAAAAAAATTAAAAAAAAAAGAACTAATTTTTGGTCAAAAAAATTTTTAAAAAAGGGACCAAAATTAATTTTTTTTATCAAAAGGAAGCCTGTTTCAAAATTCTTATTTAAACTAGAGTAGCACCCCGTCCCCCGAAACCCCGACATTTTTTTTGAAAAAACCCCGACCCGAACCTCGAAACCTCTACCACGACAAAGCCCGACCATCCGACCACGAAGGCTCGGAGTGCTACCCTAATCTAACACTCTACCAAAAAAAAACTATTTAAAAAAACCTGATAATATTTGTCAATTCCTCCACACATTAACAATTGTTTGTAAATCTGAGGGCTCTAAGATATTAATTTTTTAAATAAAAAATTAAATTTAAAAAAAACCTGTGGAAGACTAAAACATTCGCCCGAATCATTAGCAGGCACAGGAAATTCATTTGCACCACCAGGCGTAAAATGGCTTAGGGTTGGGGTCTAAAAATGAAATTTTATTTAAAAAATATTAAAAAAAAAATTTTTTTATAAAAATTTTAAAAATTTCGAAAAATTTCGAAAAATTCTGAAAAACTTAAAAAAAAATTTTTTTGAAAATTTTTTTAATTTTTTTAAATTTTAAAGGACTCCAAAATTTTTTTAAAAATAATTTAAAATTTTTTCAAAAATTTTTAATTTTTTTTAACAAAAAAAAAACCTGAATATCAACAAAAGAGCATTCATCTTCCAAAAATCTACGCATTTTACTTATAATTTGAGCCCGAAATCTAAAAAAAAATTTTAAAAATTTTTAAAAAATTCTACTTTTAAAAACCTCAAGGCATGCTGCATTTTTTCAGAGCGTAAATCGAGATAGCGATGAGTCAAACTGATAAAATATAATCATTTTTATGAGTAAATCTGAGCCTAGCATCCTTCCCCCCATTTTCCTTCCTCAATAAGTTCATAATGGTCAAACTTATTTCCTGTCTGTAAGCTCGAAAACAGTAGGTTGTCGGATACTTGGAAATTGTAAAATATCCGGATCCGGTACCCGCGCCTAAAATTTCCGAAGATTCAATCTTTTTTCGGATTCGGACCCTGACAACCTTATTAACCAAGGGGAATGCCCCCCTCCTCCCAAAATGGGGAAAACGAAAAAAAAATAATTTCGGGAGGGGAGTGAGTTAAAAAGTGAATTTTTGTTTGGCCCACGACCTTCCAAAATTCACAAAAAATATTTTAATTTTTTGGTGGACCACCAAACCAAAAAAAAATTTAAAATTACCGTGTTAATTCAGTTGAAGAATTAAACACTGGCAAAGCATTAGGAATTGAATTAAAAACTTCTAAAATTCAGAAAGATTGAGTAACCAAAAATTTATCGACAACCTATCTTTTCAGCATCAATCTAAAAAATTAAAAAATCTAATTTGAATATTGGTACTTTATGGATATGTCACCCCCCTCCTATTTTGAGTCTCAGAGTTTTCCTTAAACGTAGAAAATGGTCAGAGATTATTTTCTTCTCCATGTCAATCATTTTTCTTTCTTCAAGCAAAACAAGTGAAATGTGGTAAATGTAGAGACGAAATGAGTGAAATGTAAGTACAAAATATGTGAAAAGGGAAAATGAACAAGCAGAATACTTGAAGAAGAAAAAAATGATTGACATGGAGAAGAAAATAATCTCTGACCATTTCATACGCATAAGGAAAACTCTGAGACTCAAAATAGGGGGGGGGGTGACATATCCATAAAGTACCTGAATATTTTTTAAAAGAGTTATTGTTAGGCATTAGGGTTGCAGAGCCGGGCCCTAAAAAAGTCTAAATGTCCAAACATTTTGGTAGGGTAAAGTTACCAGGATTTGCTCAACCTTACAATTAGTAGGCGAATTCTCTCAACACGTACTACTAAACCAGGGGCGCTGATTTGGCCTCTCTTTCTAATCTAGAGAGAGAGAGATTGGAAAATTAACTCAAATCATTAACGCTACCTTCCCCTCTAATCTACTTATTGTAGTTCTTAAATTTTTAGCAGGCCGAAACTTGCGGACAGACTTTTGCGGACCAAAACTTACGGACCTGACGAATTTCTCAAACCATAGCTCATTTGAAAGAGCTCGACGAGCTGAGTCGAATGACATCAAAATCATCGTGATTGTACAAGCTTGGACAAAGTTACGATAGAAAAACAAAAACCTAAACCAGTGGTCCGCAAAAGTCGGTCCGCAAGTTTCGCACTACCAAATTTTTGCCCTTCTTAAATTGAATCCCCCGCCACTTGAATCCCCCTCTTCCTTAAATCAAAAAATTTTTTGCTTCTTTTACTCCCGGAAATCTAGAAATTTTTTAGAGACTTTCCAAAGCCTTATAGGACTACCCGGAGCCAAAAGGACCTTATATTTTTCCATAAGCCCCAAAAAATCCCAAAAAATTTAAAGAATCCTGATATAAATCACCCAAAAATAAATTCCCAAAAATTCCCCAAAAAATTCCAAAAAACCTCAATCTGCCCAGTAGGTATTTTATTATTTCTGTCCTTCCCTCTATCCATAACTGTCCCTTCCACACAAACAGAAGACTGCTCTTTTAAAGATTTAATCAAATCCTTCATTTGGTCTGAAGCCAAAGCTTGAACACTTCCATAGGCGTCTTTTATCAATAAAAATTCTAAAAAAATTTTAAAAATTAAAAAAGAAAACAAACTGTCCATCCTTTTAGTTTCTAGCCATCCATAAATTTTGACTCGCTGTCCTAAATTTTTAAAAATTGAAAAAAAATTCAAAAAAATTTTTTCGAATGAAAATTTTTTCGAATGAAAAATTAAAATTAAATTTAAAAATAAGCAGAAAATTCAAAAATTTTAAAAATTTTTAAAATTTTAAAAAATTTTTCTGAAAAATTTTTTTAAATAAATTTTTCAAAAAATTAAAAAATTTTTTTCAAAAATTTTCAAAAATATGAAAATTTGTTTTTTTCAAAAATTTTTCTTTTTTTTTTGAAAAAAATATGAAATTTTTTTTTGAAAAATTCTCTGAAAATTATTCTTCAAAAAATTTTTCAAAAAAATTTCTAAAATTTTTTTTTCACGGAAAAATTCGAAAAAAAATTTATTTTTAATAAATTAAAAATAAATTAACAAACAAACTAACCAACATGTTCCAGTCTAAGTTCCCCACAATTATGAGTTCTCAAAGTAAAACTATTAATACAACTTGAACTTGAATTTCTGACAAATATTTTTGAAAGTTTATTTAAAAATAATAGAGCCATTAAAATCTGAAAATCTTTAAAAAAAATAAATTTTTAAATAGAAAATCAATTTTCTCAAAAAATCCTTTAAAAATCAACATTTTTAAAATTCAGATAATTATTGTAAAAAATATACAAAAATTAATAATCTTCAAAAATATACTGCAAAAACAATATTTTTAAATATAAACATAAAAAACAGTGTTGGATATAGCTTAAGATGAGGCTCAAAAACTTTGAAATGCTTGGAGTCAGGGCCAATCTATACACTCAAGATAATTATTATATTGGTCTTCACTCATAATTTTTAATTGATACCGTTCAAGTAATTCATCGTCAGGATCCGTTGGTGAACCTGTCATGGGGCAGTTACCAGATTCTGATTTTGGGAAGGCTATGACATTGCTTATAGAGGCTTTTGTATCTCCTAAAAATTTAAAAAAATTAAAAAAAATTAAAAAAAAAATTTTTGAAAATTTTGAAAACTTCGGACAAAATTTTTTGCGGAGTTTAAAAAGCAAAAAAATTTTGTCAAAATTTTCTTTTGCTTCTTAAAATCCACAAACTCAAAAAATCCGCAGGCGCTCAAGTAACCATTTTTTACATATTTCCCGAAAAAAGGCACATAGCACCCTCATCTTAAGTAGTGCCAATCCGCAATTTAAAAAATATTTTAAACTAAAAACCTCTAGCATTTAATATAGCTATATATCTATCCAATCCTAATGCAAAACCACCTAAAAGAAAAATATTTTTAAGTTTTTTAAAATTAAAATAAAACCATGTGGAGGTGCTCCATATCGTAAAGCATCGAGTAAATGTTTCTAAAAAATTTTGATTAAAAAAATACTAAATAACGCTCGGACTTCACTATACTATTTATCAAGAATGTACCCTAACAACAGACGGAGCTCATAAACTGAAGGACCAAAAAATAAAGAATTTTACGGAAGAGGGAGTCGAAGAGAATCCCCCCCATCCCTTCTTTGAAGTTAAAAATATTTTATCCAAAAATGAAAAAGGTGAGGGTAATTTTAATCATTGATATAGTCACATCGAGTTCCCTCTTCCATAGTACATATATCCGAAATTAAACTAAAAAGTATTTAAAATTTTATGACACCAAAAAATTTTAAAAAAATACTAATGGTTTAGCATCAATTTCAAGAATTTTAGTCAAAACATATTCTTGCAGTTCAGCATTATGAATTCGTATTGACCCTCCTCCAATTTCTTCTCCATTAAGTACAAGATCATAATGTTGAGCTATATATAAAATTTTGAAAATTGCGGACAAAATATTTTTCCAGTTTTTCTGATTTCTCAAAATCCGTAAATTTAATCTCCGCAAAATTTCTAAATTGAGGATTTTAATATATATCGAATCTCATCAGTATAGGATACACCCAAAGATTAGTTAACCACAATTTAAGGTACATTTTTTAAAATTGGTTGACCAGCAATTAGGTGAAGGGTTAGGTCCTATGGGGGGTCTATGCAAGTGAAGGGATCTATCTAATAAGGTTCGAGTATATAAAATTAGAAAAACCTTTTTTTTAACCGCTCCTTTCCACAAACCTTCAATTTTATCCAAATTTATTCCATTTTTCAAATCATCCTCATGTTCAGGTATTGGAGCCTGAAAATTAAAATTTAAAAATTTTCAAAAAAATTTTTTTCGAAAATTTAGCAGAAAAAAATAAAAAATTGCGGACAAAAAATTTTCCCGAAAATTTTTTAAAAAATTTCTAAAAAACCGTGAAAGGATGATGTGTACTTTGCAATGTGATGCGGATATTATCCTCGTTTTTTACAAATAAAGGAAATCGTTGAATCCAAACAAAATTAAATTTACAAGGCCAGGCCACCCTTTCTTCAGCCAAATAATTACGTAAATAACCTTTTTTTTAAATTTATTTTTTTAAATAAAATTTTTAAAAAACACCTAGAGCTTTTAAAATACTTTCTTCACAATAACCCCAACTAAAAAAGCAAAAAAAAAATTAAAATCAAAATTTATAAAAAAAATCGAAAATTGCGGACAAAAAAATTTGTCCGCAAATTTTTTGCGGACAAATTTTTTTTCTCGAAGTTTTTTCAAAAAAAATTTTTTTTTTCAAAAAAAAATTTTTTTTAATCAAAAAAAATTACCAAACAACAATAGCATCATCATCCTTGTCCAGATTTAAATTCAATAAATGACCTTTATTTATTGGAATTCTGTTAAATTTGCTGATTTGTGATGGGCAAATAATTGAATAATTATCCTTTCAAAGAATTAAAAAGGATAATTTTTTTAGATTAAAAAATTTAAATTAATTTTTAAGGTAATTTAAATTAAAAAAAAATTTTTTTGAAATTTTCAAAATTTTTCTAAAAAAAATTTTCAAAAAAATTTAATAATAATTTATCAAAAAAATAGCAAATACTTTTAAAATACTTTCTAAAATTTTCGAAAAATTAAAAAAATTTTTTTTGAAATTTTTCAAAATTTTTTTAAAAATTTTGAAAAATTTCAAAAAAAATTTTTTTAAATTTTCAAAATTTTTTTGAAAATTTTTTGTTTTCGAATAATTCTAAAATCTACAAAAATTAAATCCAAACCTTTTTATAAGGCAACTTATTAATTTTCTCTTCCCAACGTTTTTCAGTCACTCCAAAGTAATCTCTAGCTCCTTTTGCAACAAACATTTTTGCTTTAAGATTTGGCAAATTATTAACATCTTCCAATAAACAATCAGTAATTTCCCATTTAATTCTTGTATCCTTCAAAAAAATTTTTTTTTCAAAAAAAATTTTTAAAAAATTAACCGGTTTGTCTGTTCCGAATTTTGCCATCTTCAAAAAATTTAAAAAATAATATTTTTTTTAAATTTTTAAAATTTAAAAAATGAGTGTCATTTTGTGGTTTTAAGACAAGGACTGTGGCTCGGTTCAGTTTCTAAGATCTAATCGGGCATCGAATTTTAGCCTGAAAAAAACTCAGACCTCCAGGTAGCTATTTTTCCTGCTCATAAGTGCTTCTGCACCTCTTTTCGAACCAAAACCTCGACCCAAAGAAAATTTTAAAAAGCAGGACCGACCTCCAGTACAAAATAAAAAAAATTAAAAATAAATTCAGAAAAAATTTTTTCTTAACCGCTTCTGCATAATCCAGTCGAGGAAAAGGAACGGTTGGTTTGTGTTGTTCCTGAAAAATAAAAAAAAATTCCCAAAAAAAAAATAAAAAAAAACCAATTCTTTAGGCCACGAATTAATTAAAATTTGTTCAATTAAACAAATAATTTTTTCTTGATTAGTAAAAGACAATTCCAAGTCCAATTGTGTAAATTCTGGTTGTCTGTTAGGTTTGGTAGGTTCGTCTCTATAACAAATTGCTACCTTTATGAATTAAAAAATTAATTTTTTTTATTCAAAATCCAATAGAGCTTTGTTAGAAAAATTTAAATAAAAAATTCTAGAAAAAGAAGACAAAATTTTGACAAAAAATTAAATTCAAAATTATGGGGGGGGGGGGGGCAGAATCAACCAAACGGAGAACCAAGAATTTTTCGCCGTTGGTTTCAAATATCCAAAAATTCTCCTATAGCCTAAACTGATTTATTTTTATCGAAGAGAGAATATGTGATCTTGTTTCAACAAAATAAAACAATTTATGATGACCATATCAAAACAAATGATTGGGTACTTGTGCAGTTTACCCCCCATGTTTCTTTTTTTGTAATACCCCCCCCCTCTTATTAGAAAACCCCCTCCCCTCCCTTATTAGAAAACCTAATTTTTTTACCTCCTTACTTTTTGAAATAAACTTTAAAAAGAAAGGGAAGCGAGAGAAAAAGGACCAGGGAGTATGGGGGGTAAACTACACAAGTAACGATGATTGTAACTTATTCTGATTTTTAAATAAAATAAAAGGGGGTAGGCATCAAAAAAGATTTAAAATTGTTTTAAAAACCTGATAATATTTGTCAATTCCTCCACACATTAATAATTGTTTGTAAATCTGAGGGCTCTAAAATTTTATTTTTTTTAATTTAAAAAATTTTAAAAAACCTGTGGAAGACTAAAGAAGTCGCCAAAAGCAGTGGCCGCCACAGGAAATTCATTTACACCACCATGTGTGATATTGCCCAGTGTTGGGGTCTAAAAATGAAAAATTTTCAAAGAAATTTAGAAAATTTCAAAAATTTTCAAAAATTTTTTTTTCAAGAAAAAAACCTGTATATCAACAAAAGCACATTCATCTTCCAAAAATCTACGCATTTTACTTATAATTTGAGCCCGAAATCTAATCGAAAAAATTTTTTTAATAAATTTAAAAAAAAACCTCAAGGCATTCTGCATTTTTTCAGTGCGTAAATCGAGATAGCGATAAGTCAAACTAAAAAATATTATATTTTAAAATCTAAATAAAATTTTTTTAGGTCAATTCGACTCCAAAATTCGTTCTTCCCCAATTTTGGTTTTTAGCGAAGCTTTTCGAAATTTCGATTTCCGAAAATATTTTTCTGATTGAAACAGCTCTAGCTTAATAGTCAAATAATTCACTTTTCAGATCACTCTTTTACACAAGAACAAAGGAAATATTAACTCGTTTTCGAATTTTTTTCCTAAGGCCTGCTAAATTTTTTCAATTTTCGGATGGACCACCCAACCAAAAAAAATTTTTTTTTAAATTACCGTTCTAATTCAGGTGAATAGTCTTTTACTGGTAAATCACCCAGAATTGAATTAAAGACTTCTAAAAATGAATTTTCAAAAAAAAAAAATTATGTATTAATTAACCTATATTTTCAGCAGCAATCTAGAAAAATAAAAAAAAAATAAATTTGAATATTAAAGAAATTTAAAGAAAATATTTTAAATTCAATATTTTATTCTCTCGAAAATCAACAAAAAATAATATCCGAACCCAAACTCTATCCGATTTTAAAAAATTGTTAATCAGATCGGTAGATCCCCAAACTAATGTGAGATTAATAAAAAAAAAATTTTCCTAACAAAAAAAACTTTCGATTTGTAAGTGTATTTCCACATTGAATAGAGCTGAGAAACCGAAGTTTTTTGGTTAGGTTCCAGATATCCGAAAATTGAAAATTTTTCAAGAACCGATAACCCTAGGATCATAGATTTACTTTAGAAAATTTTTTGACTAGAAATATAAAACTAAAGGTCCTTGCAATCCCTCGAAACACTCACAACAATTTAAATTTTAACATTCGAAAAACCAAAATGTTGTACAACAGGGTTGGGTCGAAACCCGGACTTTTTTTGGCACGAAACCCGATCCTAAGAGAATTAAGAAAACACTCACAAAACCCGACCCGAAATTTTTTCCTCAACCCAGCCATTCCTGAGGAAATTCTGGGGATAAAGGACTTTGAGACCTTTACCGGTAATAGTGTCGTTTCCAGTCCACATTTTTCCTCCCAATTTTTCACCCTATGTTTGTACGGAATGGTCAAATTTTCCCCTTTCTTTCACCAAATTTGCCTTTCCATATTTTGCCTAAAAACAATCAAAAAGATTAATTTTTTATTCAGTTCTTTCACAAGGAGAATCACCAAGCATGGAAAATGTTTTCTGGCTATTATAGAAGGAAAAAGAAGTCTTTTTGATTGTTTTTAGACAAAATATGGAAAGGCAAATTTGGTGAAAGAAAGGGGAAATTTGACCATTCCGTACAAACATAGGGTGAAAAATTGGGAGGAAAAAATGTGGACTGGAAACGACACTATTACCCCTTTACCTTCCCAAAAATAAAAAAAAAACTAAAAAAACCTGAATCTCTTCAGTAGGTATTCTACTATTTTTTCTATCCTTCTCTCTTTCCATAACTGTCCCCTCCACACAAAGAGAAGAATGTCTCTTTAAAGATTTAATTAAATCTTTCATGTGGTCTGGAGCCAAAGCTTGAACCTTTCCATAAGCGTCTTTGACCCATAAAAATTCTGAAAAAATAAAGTTTAAAGAAAAATTAAAAAAAGTAAACAAACTGTTCTCTTCATTAGAGTTTAGCCATCCATAAATTTTGACTCGCTGTCCTGAATTTTTAAAATAAAAATTTGTATGAAAAAAAATTTTTGAAATTTTGATTTTTGAATTAAATATAAAAATAGGCAGAAAATTCGAAAATTTAAAAAAAAATAAAAAAAACATTTTTAAAAAATTGTTTTGAAGAAAAAAATTTCAAAAAAATTTTCAGAAATTTTTTTGTTCAAAAAAATTTTAAATTTAAAAAACAAACTAACCAACATGTTCAAGTCTAAGTTCCCCACAATTATGAGTTCTCAAAGTAAAACGATTGATAGAACTTGAACTTGCATTTCTAACAAATATTTTTGGAAGTTTATTTAAAAATACTAAAGCCATTTAAAATCTGAAAATTCGTTAAAAAAATAAAATTTTATATCCAGGCCTAGGCATTTTCGACCTTCCTGGGGGTTTCCTGAGTCTGGGTTTTTCTAAGACTACAGACCCAGGATCCGGCCCATGTCCATAAATCAAACCCAGAGTCCAGGAACAGGTCCAGGCTTTCCAGAAATCTCAATCACTAATACCTCAAATCGCCACGAACTAGAACCAAGGAACCATTATAAAGTAATGCAAGAACTTTTAAGGGACACGCCCACATTGTCGCGCGGCCACATTGTCGCCGAGCCATAACTTGCTAAAAAATTTCTGGCCCTTATCAATTTTGGTACCAAACTCTTTAGCTCGATGAGAGGAATCGTTTAATACTAAATTTGGAAAGATTCGGAAATCTTAAAGCAAGTTATGGCTCGGCGACAATGTGGCCGCGCGACAAAGTGGGCCGTACCCAACTTTTAAGATTAATCTCAAAATATGCCCTAAACCCATTAAAATCAACAGGTATATAATTTGAAAAAATTCAGATAATTAATATAAAAAATATATACAACAATTAATCTTCAAAAATAGAATACAAAAAAATATTTTTCAGTATATAGAATAATTCATTGCTGGCTCCGGAACCGGCCTTAGCTAGAGCTAAAATCTTAAAATGTTAGGAACAGGAACTAAAAACTTTCTGACAACTGAGTAGATGATGAGCTTTGAAAAAAAAGTTCAAGCTGAATCCGAGCCCAGGCTGAATACAGAGCCACAAAATAGCCAATACCCAGCCTAATATTAGAGGTCGGCACGGGACAGGATTTTACGGGATCCTGTACCGAAATCGGTAATCTTCTGCTTCATTGGTCCCTAGAAAAAACTGAGGAAAAAGTGCTAGTGCTTGAATTTTTACCTCGAATTTGGTCGGATTCGGGGTCCGAGGTTTGAAATAAACAAAATCTAAGTTCATATTTGGACTCAGCGCACTAGATTATCTACTAGCATGACTCAAAAATGTCGACGAGCACTTTTCCTTCATTCTTTTCTAGGGACCAATGAAGCAGAAGATTACCCCGAAATCCCGCATTTTAAGCGACGAACGGGATTATCGAGATTTACGGGATTAATCCCGCGGGATCATGTCCCGCAAAAATTTTTGAAAAAAAATCACGTTACGGGACCTGTGAATGCGATTTTACCGACCTCTACCTAATATATAATTTCAATTTGAGGGTACAATTTTATTTTTGTTACTATTAAAAATATCAATTGGAGTTAATTTTGAATTATTTGTAGATGTGCCATTCTCTGCTAATTTTGTTTGTGATCTACTTGCTGCTTTTGCTGCTGCTTCAGCTTTACCCTTCTCTTCCTTTCCCCTATCTTTGTGTTGTTTAACTAGAGTTTTGACATCACGACGATGTAAAATTGAATCTTTAGTTAATGCTTCTATTGCAGCTTTAGGAAAAGAATTTTTTTTTGGAAAAATCGAAGGGGAAAAATTTTTTACCAGTAGCAACAGCTTCACTCCTCCTTTGTTGCAAAGCTTCTCGATATTGCACTTTAATAAAAATTTTTTATTTTAAAGTTGAATTTTTGAAATAGAAAAAAAAAGAAAATCGGAAACGGATAGGAAAGGGGAAACAAGAATAGAGGATTGAACAGGGTGTACCTACCCCAACCCTTCCCTGTCCAATTTTTGTTTTAAAAGTATAAATGGACCACGAAAATTTGAGGAAAGCGGAAACCAAAAAGTATAGCCCCCAACTATCGTAACTCGAAACAGGGCTGTGCGCCTGGCATTCAGCATTGCGTTTTGGCGTTCATTTATGGCCGATTTTGGTGTTATGGCGTTTGCCGTGTTTTAGGAATTTGAAAAATTGGAAAATTTGGCGCACAGCCCTGCTCTGAAAGCAAAATTCGACTCTTACAATTAATTAAAGATAAAAAAATTTTTTTTTACTTGCGTGTATAGTTAACAGACCACCCCAAGCAATAGACCAAAACCAGCCAACAAACATAAAGGTAATGGTAAAAAATTGGCTTTAAAAAATAAAAAATTGAAGGAAATTTAAGAAAACCCCTAACCTTATCCCAACAACAAAATTAACAAAAAGTGTAACCAATTTCCTTCCTTCTTTAATATTAACACGAGGTTGCCCCATACAAAGAGCTGCAAAACCGCTAAAAATAGTTCCGGAACCAGGCAATACAACATTCATAAAAAGGCAAGTTAAAGCGACAGGTAAAGGTAAAAATGGAATGGCTTCATGCATTACTATTTGAAAATTGAAAAAAATGGAAAAAAATTAAAAAGAGAAAGGAGGGAGATGCCTTGTTTTCTGTTATTTTCTGTAAAAATCAACTGGAGGGTTGTTAACTTGTTGGAAACTATATTTGGATTCCAGCAAGGGTGTAGCCAGTTTTTAACCTTATCAGAGTATGAATCAAAGGATACCAGAAGCAACACGATGCGACTTTCTCCTATTGAATCTATGACCAGAGGTCGATAGGAAGACGAAGATGTCGGAAATCGGAACTGTCGGAAATCGGAACTGGGTCAAAAGTCGAAACTCGGAAATCAGCCTAAATTTTCGGAAATCGGAAGATTGCTTATAAACCCAGGCATGAACAAAAAGACCAAAAAATTAAAACCAACATGTAAGGTCGTTAGTAGGTAAATGCACTTTATCCCCATTTCTATTGTCTTTACTAGCCTGGTGATGAGCAGCATCATGTGCTGCAAGTACAATACCAGGCATAGAGGCTGTGGCCTTTCAAAAAATTATTTTTCAGTTTAGACTTGAACACAAAAAACCTGTAGTATTCCCTCACTACGCCCATATTCAATAATACGGGGTAATGATTTGTGCACAACTTTCCAACCTTTGATTTTTTCAACTGAAATAAAAAGGGGGGAGAAATTATTAATGCCGTTTTTCTTGACTCAACTACTAGCTGGGAAACAGGCCCGTAACCAGGGGGCCGGAATCCAACAAATGGAAATGTACATGCTATCATTTAGAAAATTCGTTTTTCATTGGTCCTTCGATTAGTTTCATAATTGGCCCTAACATTAGCCCACCCTATCTTTTAGCTTTCCTAACTAGGGTTATCGGTTCTGGACCAAACCAAAGACCTAAGGATTTTTCGGTTCGGTTCTTCTGTTCGATTTCAGGTATCCGAAGAATTTCCAGGAACTGACAACCCTCTTCCTAATATCGAAAATCAAAAAGAAAATTTACACACCTCCAATAACACTGCTAACACCAGCAGTAACTGTTCTTAACGACATTGTAGAATAATACAATTAATAGTTGAATTAAAAAAATTTTCAAGTAAAAACAAGTGGAATGTTAAAGCATCAATCGAATAAACCTTAAAAAACGTGTAAAATATTCCCCCAATTTTTCTCTCAAAAATCCTCTACCTCAAAATTATTCATTTCCTTCCCCCAAAAGTAGTAAGCATTTCCCTTTTAATGCCATTCCTTCAGGTGGGAGACAAAAATTATTTTTATTATTATGTGGGCATTCTGCTAGCACATTCAATTGTGCATTGCTTTCAAGTAATGCTTGAAAAGACCAAATTGCTGGATGGCTTAAGAATAAAAAGAATATGTAAAGGAAGTATAAAAATGGATAAAAAAGTAAAATAATAAGCAAATAAATCGAATTTTTTGGCATCCAAAAAATTTTTTGACCCTATATGAAAACAAGGGATCATGAAATTGGTGGGGTATCGGGCATATCAGGAGATTTGGGTACTAGTAAAATACAAATACTATCTACTTAAAATACAAATTTTTTAAATTTGCTAGCAAAATTTTTTTGAAGTTCTGGTTCCGGCCGGAAGTTTCTCGTTCAGATCAAAAGGATTGAAAATGCGGACCTACCCCCTTGAAATGCCGAGCTACCCCTAAATATCAGCACAAAATAGTTATTATAAAAATTGGAGTGATTAAAAATACATAAATGAATTAGAGGGATTAAGTGCGTTTGGTAGGGACTAAAGCGGATTAAAGGGATATAGCTTTGTTGCTGATATAAAGTTTATCGCATCTATATTTTCTGTTGTATATTTAATCAGATATGCTCGAAATTTTATACAAATTTGTCTTAGGGGTTACAATTCTTTAATCTACTCGGAATAATTTAACATCATTTTTTTCTTTAAATTTATTTCTTTTTAACAAACATCCTCATCATTATCCTCAGGTTTCTCGTTCAGATCAAAAGGATACTCATTTAAATTTATCTGATTCATGCAATTCTCGTGAATATTATTTGGCTCTTCTACCATTTGTTGATTTTGCTTATCCACATAGTTTTCAGTTTCGTCTTTGTTACATTCTTCCTCTTCTTGATTAAAAAGACTTCCTTCTTTATAATGAATGCCCTCTTCGTAAACAACGATTGGCAATTTACCTTTATTTCTAAAATTATCATTCTGTGGATTAGAAGTTCCTCCTTCATTACTATCAGAATCAACATTTCTTTCTTTTAGATCAAATTTGTTTGAGTTTTCTTGTTTAGTTTTCCTTTTTTCTCGGTATTTTCGATCATATTCTCGCTTCTTCTCCTTATTATTTTGGTAGTATTTACGCACACTTTCTCTCTTTTTTTCTTTAGTTTTTTGGTAGTAATTTCGTTCTCTTTCTCGCCTCTTTTCCTTATTATTTTCTAGATATTTTTTATGATATTCTCGCACCTTTTCCTTGTTGTTTTCTTGATATTTTCGGCAATATTCTTTCAACCTTTCTTTATTCTTTTGGTAGTAAATTCGATTAATTTCTCTTATCTTTTCTTTGTTATTTTGGTAGTAAATTTGCCTACTTTCTCTTATCTTTTCTTTGTTATCTATAGTTGTTTTGCCTTTTTTTGAAATTTTAGGTTTTGGTTTTAACGTCTTATCTTTTTGAATTTGAGCATTAACCGATGATTCAGCCCCATCGTTATCCTTTGCGGTTTCCCCAATTCCAGTTAACTCATTTTTATCTTTATTATTTTTGACAGAATTAATTAAACTCCAAAATATCGCATTGAAGATTAAAATTATTAAAATACTATCAAGTCTCATTATAAATTAATTATTAAACTTAGCGTCAAAATAATAAATTTTGCCGTTAATGTTGAATTTAAGTAATCTATTTTATTTATATTTCATAATAAAATATACGTTTTCCCAGTGAAAGTGCATTGTTTTAAAATTTTACAATACCAGGGCTGGTCAACTGGTGTTGACGACCAAAAGTACATCCTAAAATTTTAAAACAATGCACTTTCACTGAGAAAGTGTCTATTATATTATGAAATATAAGTAAAAGCTTATTTATGCTATTATTTACTTAAGTTTAATATTAACATTCAAATTTAATAATTCTGATTAATTAATTGAAGAATTAATATTTTAAATTAACTTTTAAAATTAAATTATAATGAAACTTGACAATATTTTAATAATTTTAATCGTCAACGCGATATTTTGGAGTTTAATTAATTCTGTTAAAAATATTAAGGAGAAAAATGAGTTAACTAGAGTTGGGGAAATCTCAAAAAATAACGATGGGGCTGAATCATCGGTTAATCCTCAAATTCAAATGTTAAAACCAAAACCTAAAATTACAAAAAAGGGCACAACTAATGATAAAACAGAAGAAAAGAGGCTGTATATAAATGAATGTATGAGAATTTATCGTAAAAATAATAAGGAAAAAAGTCGTGAATCTGTCCGAAAGTATTACCAAAATAATAAAGAAAAGAGAAGAGAATATAAGCGAAAATACAGAGAAAATAATTTAGAAAAGAAGCGGGAATATGAACGGAAATACCGAGAAAATAATAGGGAAAGGATGAGAGAATCTGATCGAAAATATCGAGAAAAAAGGAAAAATAGAAAAACAAAGTTACAAGATCCAAAAATACCAAATATTCATTCTGATAATAATAAAGAAGGAACTTCTAATCCACAAAATGATAATTTTAGAAATAAAGGTAAATTGCCAATCGTTTATGAAGAGAGGATTCAGTCTGAAGAAGTGAATCTTATCAATCGAGAGGAGGAAACAGAAACTAATTTGGATGAGCAAAATCAACAAATGGTAAAAGAGCCTAATATAATTTCCGAGAATTGCATGAATCAGATAGATTTGAATGAGAAATATTATCCATTTGATTTGAACGAAAAACCCGAGGACGAAGATGAAGATGTTTGTTAGAATAGAACTTTTTTTTAATCTATCGCAATGCACTTTCGTTTAAGTGAGACACGCACTTTATATTTTTATTGTGAAATGTAAAATAATTTTCCCAATGCGTTTTTTCATCTATATTGCTTATTTAAATTAAATAAAATTAAATTTTATCATTTACATTTAATTAATACTACATAAAATTTAATTTTAAATAAATTTTTATAATTAATTTATGATGAAACTTGATAAAATATTAATAATTTTAATCGTCAATGCGATATTTTTGAGTTTAATTAATTCTGTTAAAAATAATAAAGATAAAAATGAGTTAACTAGAGTTGGGAAAACTTCAAAAAATAACGATGGGGCTGAAGCATCGGTTAATGCTCAAATTCAAACGTTAAAACCAAAACCTAAAATTACAAGAAAGGGCACAACAAAAGATAAAAAAGAAAAAAGGTTGAATAAAAATAAATATAAGAGAATTTATTATCAAAACAATAAGGAAAAAAAGTTAGAATCTGTCAGAAAGTATTACCAAAACAATAAAGAAAAGAGAAGAAAATATAAGCGAAAATACCGAGAAAAAAATTTAGAAAAGAAGCGGGAATATGAAAGGGAATATCGAGAAAATAACAGAGAAAAGATGAGAGAATATGAACGGAAATACCGAGAAAATAATAGAGAAAAGAAACGAGAAGCTGATCGAAAGTATCGAGAAAAAATGAAAAATAGAAAAGAAAACTTACAAGATCCAAGAAATGTTGATTCTGATAATAACGAAAGAGGAACTTCTAATCCACAAAATGATGATGCTAGAAATAAAGGCAAAATGCCAAACGTTTACGAAGATAGCATTCAATCTGAAGAAAGAAATCTTATTAATCAGGAGGAGGAGGAAACAGAAACTTTTTTGGATGAGCAAAATCAACAAGAGGTAGAAGAACCAAAAATTCCGGAGAATTGTATGACTCAGATAGATTTGAATGAGAAATATTATCCTTTTGATTTGAACGAGAAACCTGAGGACAATGATGAGGATGTCTGTTAGAAAAAGATTAGAAGAAAGAAAATTTAAAAAAAAAGTTTTCAGAGCAAATAAAATTTTTTATTTACTTTAGAATTGAAAAAATATTTCAGCTGTGTCGGTTTTAGTTAGATACTGTATTTGTAATTGTTAAATAGTGGGCCCAAAACCCGAGTTTCCTTCCAGTTGGAATAACATTTTCTGTCAGAACAACGCTGAATTCACCTAAATTCCGGTCATTAGGAGTGCATTTTTTGTTTCATTGTCGGGGCACGAAAGTGCGAAAAGGTACGAAATTTCGATCACCCATGGTTAAGACCTTTCACAATGCACTTTCCTTTTTTAATTTAGACATGCACTTTATATTTTTTATTATGAAATGTAAAATGTGTTTTTTCATCTATATTGCTTATTTAAATTAAATAAATTAAAATTTATCATTTTTGGTTAATTTGTAGTAAATAAAAGTTTATTTTAAATAAATTTTAAAAATTAATTTATGATGAAACTTGATAGTATTTTAATAATTTTAATCGTAAATGCGATATTTTGGAGTTTAGTTAATTCTGTTAAAAATAATAAAAATCAAAATGAGTTAACTAGAGTTGGGGAAACCTCAAAAAATAACGATGGGGCTGAATCATCGGTTAATTCTCAAACTCTAATGTTAAAACCACAACCTGAAATTACAAAAAAGGGCACAAAAAAAGATAAAAAAGAAGAAAAGAAGTTTAATAGAAAGGAATATATGAAGATTTACTGGAAAAACAATAAGGAGAGCAAGCGGGAATATGATCGAAAATATCGAGAAAATAATTTAGAAAAGAAGCGGGAAACTGATCGAAAATATCGAGAAAATAATAGAGAAAAGAGGAGAGAATCTGCTCGAAAATATCGAGAGAAAAAGAAAAATAGAAAAACAAATTTACAAAATCCAAAAACACTTGTTGATTCTGATAATAATGAAAGAGGAACTTCTAATCCACAAAATGATAATTTTAGAAATAAAGATAAATTGCCAATCGTTTATGAAGATAGCATTCCATCTGAAGAAGGAAATCTTATTAATCAAAAGGTGGAAGAAACAGAAACTAATTTGGATGAGCAAAATCAACAAGTGGTAGAAGAGCCAAATGGAATTCACGAGAATTGCATGAATCAGATAGATTTGAATGAGAAATATTATCCTTTTGATTTGAACGAAAAACCCGAAGATGAAGATGTTTGTTAGAATAGAAGAAGGAAAATTTTTAAACATTTTTCAAACATCAAAGAATTTTATTAACTTTAAATACTCTATTTGTACGAATAAAATCATTTTTAACCAATGGTGGGCCTTATTAAAGCCCTGGACGTATATTTTCAGTGGGTCTCCTTGGGTGGGCTTATATTAGATATGGGTTTCTATTATGGGATGGGTGTTTATTTTTCAATCCTTAAACATATTAGCTTTTCAACCAACATACAAAATAAACTATTTTACTCTTTTCGTCGTGAATTTTGTCTATTTCGTTTCGAAACGTACGAAATTTCGATCATCCCCGGTTTTACTTTAACTTTTCTTAATCTATCGCAATGCACTTTTGTTTAATTGAGACATGGACTTTATATTTTTTATTGTGAAATGTAAAATAATTTTCCCAATGTGTTTTTTCATCTATATTGCTTATTTAAATTAAATAAATAAAATTTATCATTTTCATTTAATACTACATAAAATTTAATTTTAAATAAATTTTTTAAATTAATTTATGATGAGACTTGATAGAATATTAATAATTTTAATCGTCAATGCGATATTTTGGAGTTTAATTAATTCTGTTAAAAATAATAAGGATAAAAATGTGTCAACTAGAGTTGGGAAAACTTCAAAAAATAACGATGGGGCTGAATCATCGGTTAATGCTCAAATCAAAATGTTAAAACCAAAACCTAAAATTACAAAAAAGGTCATAACAAATGATAAAAAAGAAGAAAAAAGGTTGAATAGAAATAAATATATGAGAATTTATTATCAAAACAATAAAGAAAAGGCACTAGAAGCTAATAAAAAATACCGAGAAAATCATAAAGAAAATAAGCAAGAATATGATCGAAAATACTACCAAAATAAAAAAGAAAAGAAGCAAGAATGGAATCGAAATTACTATCAAAAAACTAAAGAAAAAATGAGAGAAAGTGCACGTAATTACTACCAAAACAATAAAGAAAAGATGAAAAAATATGGTAGAAACTACCGTCAAAACAATAAGGAAAAGGTGCGAGAAATTAATCAAAATTACTACCAAAATAATAAAGAAAAGAAGCTAGAACGGGGTCGGAAATATCGAGAAAGTAGAAAAAATAAAAAAGCAAATTTACAAAATGTTTACGCAGAAAAAAGAAACGATTCTAATAATGAAGGAACTTCTTTTGTTCGGAATGATTCAAGAAATAAAGGCAAATTGCCAATCGTTTACGAAAAGGGCATTCAACATGAAGCAGAAAATCATTTTAACCAAAATGAGGAGGAGGAATGTGGAGAAGCAGAAAGCAATTTGGATGGGCAAATTCAATCTGTGGTTAAAGAGGCAAACATGAATCAGTTAGATTTAAATGAGAAATATTATCCTTTTGATCTGAACAAGAAACCTGAGGAAGAAGATGAAGATGCTACTTCTCTCGAAGATGAAGATTCAGTGTAAATTAAATGTCAATGACGAGATTGATGATATAAAATTTCTGATATTTTTTATACTTTTGAGGAATTGTTTGTTATTTTCTGGTAACTCTGGGTCACTTTCCATTTCAATTTTATTTTAACTCTTGCATAATTTTTATGTTTTTAAACTTCGCTTATATTCTTATTTTTATTACTTTGGATAAACTATTACTTTTGTGCTTGTCGGCTTTAGTAAACCCCAACACGGATTTAACCATATCGATCCTTAAAAACAGTAATCTTACAGAAAATAAGAATGTAACGATGTGAGGTTTGCTGATGTTCCACGCATTTACATCCCAAAGTCAGTCAACAACAGTATTATGATCTATTTTCAATAATCATTCACATAAATCTAGAAAACATCAACAATTAATGCTCACAATTGAGACAATATTCCAAGTTGTAAAGCTACTACAAAGACCTCATTTCCTCACACCACTAATCATTTTTTAAAGTGCACTTGTTTATAAAATGACAAACAAAAAACAGACAGATTTTAAAAAACACCACAGACTTTTCCCGTAATGCACTTTATTTTCCTGAGAAAATTATATTTTATTACGAAACATAAATTTGTCTACTATTTCCACCTAAGTATTATTTAAATGCAATTATACATTAAAATTTATAGTTTTTAGTTAATAAAATATTTTAAATAAAATTTTTAAATTTAGGATGAAGCCTATTAGTATTTTAATAATTATTATATTAAATGCAATATTATTGAATTTGATTGATTCTGTCAAAAATAATAAAGATAAAAATGAGTTAAGTAGAGTTGAGGAAACCCCAAAAGATTTAATTAAACTGTTTAACGATGAGGCAGAAACATCAGTTCAAAAAACTGAAGGAACGTTAAAACCAACTGCAAATAAAGGCACAAAAATAAATAATAAAGAAAAGAAGAAAGAAATTAGCCGAATATACTACCAAAATAATAAGGAAAAAATTCGAGAAAGTAATCGCATTTACTGCCAAAATAATAGGGAAAAAAGGCGAGAACTTGATAGAAAATACCGTCAAAATAATAAAGAAAAGAAGCGAGAAAGGAACCAAAAATACTGCCAAAATAACAAAGAAAAGAAGCGAGAATGGAACCGAAAATACAGCCAAAATAACAAAGAAAAGAAGCGAGAATGGAATCGAAAATATCGAGAAAGAAGGAAAAATCGAAAAACAAATTTACAGGATCCAAAAATACTTGTTCATTCAGATAATGGTGAAGGAACTTCTAATCCACAGAATGATGATATTAGAAATAAAGGTAAAATGCCAATCATTTACGAAGAAGCCATTCGGTCTGAAGAAGGAAATCTTATTAATCGAGAGGAGGAAAAAACAGAAACTTATGTGGATCAGCAAAATCAAACAGTGGTAGAAGAGTCAAATAAGATTAGTGAAAATAACATGAATCAGATAGATTTGAATGAGAAATATTATCATCCTTTTGATTTGAACGAAAAACCTGAGGGCGTAGATGAGGATATTTGTTAAAAAGAGAAATATGTATATTTAGAAAGAAAATGTTGAAATTTCGAGTTTCAAGAGTGCACTTTCCTGTAATTGAGACATGCACTTTATATTTGTTATTATGAAATGTAAAATAACTTTCCCAATATATTTTCATTTATATTGCTTATTTAAATTCAATAAAATTTTAAATTAATTTATGATGAAAGTTGATAGTAATCTAATAATTCTAATCGCAAAGCGATTCTTTAGAGTCTAATTAATTCTGTTAAAAATAATAAAGATTGACGTGAATTAACTAGTTGGGGAAACATCAAAGGTCATGGACAATTTTTATATGGATGAAGTTTTGCCGGTGCGGAGGTAGCCGGGAATGTCAAGCGATACGACGGCCGCTCCTTCCAACGGTCGCCGCGTGCAAAGCAATTCAATTTCTCAATATACATTTATATTTCATAAAATAGAGGTTTTCTCAGTGAAAGTGCATTGTGATAAAATTTTAGGATGCACTTTCGGTCGTCAATCTCAATCCTGGTATTGACGACCGAAAGTACATCCTAAAATTTTGTCACAATGCACTTTCACTGAGAAAACATATATGTATTTTAGTGTGAAATATAGACAATGTATTTCAATAACATAAGTTCAATTTAACAATATTATAAAATTTATTATTCTTGGCTATTGACTCAACATAAAATTAATATTTTTAATAAATTTTTAAAAATTAATTAATGATGAAACTTGATAGAATATTAATAATTTTAATCATCAACGCGATTTTTGGAGTTTAATTAATTCTGTTAAAAATAATAAGGATAAAAATGAATTAAGTAGAGTTGAGGAAACCTCAAAAGATGATGATGGAGCGGGATCATCGGTTAATCCTCAAATTCAAATGCTAAAACCAACCTCTAAAATAACAAAAAAGGGCACAACAAAAGATAAAGACGAAGAAAAAAAGTTGAATAGAAAAGAATATATGAAGATTTACTGGAAAAACAATAAAGAAAAGGCACAAGAAGCTAATAAAAAATACCGAGAAAATAATAAAGAGAAAAAGCGAGAATACGACCTGAATTATTACCAAAATAATAATGAAAAGAAGCGGGAATATGAACGAAAATACCGAGAAAATAATTTAGAAAAGAGGAGAGAATCTGATCGAAAATACAGAGAAAAAAATAAGGAAAAAAGACGAGAATTTACACGAAATTATTACCAAAATAATAAAGAATGGAAGCGAGAATATAATCAAAAATACAGAGAAAAAATGAAAAATAAGAAAGAAAACTTACAAGATCCAAAATTACTAAGAAATGTTAATTCTGATAATAATGGTGAAGGAAATTTCAATGCACAGAATGAAGATCTTAGAAATAAAGGTAAATTGCCAGTAGTTTACGAAGATAGCATTCAGCATGAAGAAGGGAGTCTTTTTAACCAAGAGGAGGAAGAATATGGAGAAACAGAGACCAATTTGGATGGGCAAATTCAATCTGTGGTTGAAGAAGCAAACATGAATCAGATAGATTTAAATGAATATCCTTTTGATCTGAATGAGAGCATTCAGTCAGAGGGATATCATTTTAATCAAGGGAAGGAAGAAAGTAACAACGACAAAGAAACTAATGTGGGCGAGCAAAATCAGAATGTGGTAGAAGAGCCATATAAAATTCCCGAGAATTACATAAATCAGATAAATTTAAATGAAAATCCTTTTGATCTGAACGAGAAACCTGAGGACGAAGATATTTTTAAAGTGTTAGAAGAAAATTTTTAAAGAGCAAATATAGAATTTTATTAACTTTAAAACTTGAAAAATATTTTTTAAAACTTCAAAAAAATATTACCGCAATACACTTTTCTTTAGGTGAGACATGCACTTTATATTTTTTATTATGAAATGTAAAATAATTTTCCCAATGTGTTTTTTCATCTATATTGCTTATTTAAATTCAATATATTAAAATTTATCATTTTTGGTTAATTTTTAGTAAATAAAATAATATTTTAAATAAAAATTTTTTAAAATAATTTATAATGAAACTTGATAGAATATTAATAATTTTAACATTCAACGCGATATTTTGGAGTTTAATTAATTCTGTTAAAAATAATAAACATAAAAATGAGTTAACTAGAGTTGGGGAAACCTCAGAGGATAACGATGGGGCTGAATCATCGGTTAATGTAAAAATTCAAACGTTAAAACCAAAACCTAAAATTACAAGAAAGGGCACAACAAAAGATAAAAAAGAAGTAAAAAAGTTCAATAAAAGTGAATATGATAGAAGATATCGCCAAAATAATAAGGAAAAGAGTCGAGAAGCTGATCGAAAATATCGAGCGAACAATAAGGAAAAGATGAAAGAACGTGCCCGAAAGTATTACCAAAATAATAAAGAAAAGAGGAAAGAATCTGCCCGAAAATACCGAGAAAATAATAAAGAAACGAGAAGAGAATCTGTTCGAAAATATCGAGAGAATAATTTAGAAAAGTACCAGGAATATCAACGAAAATACCGAAAAAAAATGAAAAATAAACAAGAAAACTTATCAGATCCAAAAATAGTAAGAAATGTTGATTCTGATAATAATGGTGAAGGAACTTCTAAACCACAGAATGATAATTTTAGAAATAAAGGTAAATTGCCAATAGTTTACGAAGAGGGGATTCGGTCTGAAGAAATAAATCTTATCAATCGAGAGGAGGAGGAAACAGAAACTTATGTAGATGATCAAAATCAACATGTGGTAGAAAAGCCAAATAATATTACCGAGAAATGCATCAATCAGATAAATTTAAATAAGTATCCTTTTGATCTGAACGAGAAACCCGAGGATAACGAATAATATGTTTGTTAAAAAACCTAAAAGAATGAAAATATGATGAAATTATGAAAGAACAGATTAAAAATTTCCATTTTAATTTTAGAATTAAAAAAATTTTTCCTGTGAAAATATTGAAGATGAGATAAATTTTATTTTATAAAGGATTGTTGGTTTGGAAGTGTTGAGTAGTGGTGTCACTATAGTTAAAAGCCAGTGAAAGCGCCCGTCTATTTGGATCATACTATCCCGGCTAGTAACTAATCCCCCGTCTGTTCCATCCGATCCAACTTCACATACACTGTACATTTCTACTACGGATAAACTGTTATGCTTTTGCACGTTGATATTAGTAAAACTTCGCCAACCCTCAGATATATCAGGAAGTATATAAAAATTTTAGAATTTTTCTCTGGAAAAAGTTTTCAAGCGAACATTTCAAGCTATGCGACGGCCGCTCCTTCCATCGACCGCCGCGAGTAAAGTAAGCAATTTCTCAATATACCTAATATCAATGTGTTGTTTCTCAATCTAATATTTATTAATGATAGTCTATCAAAAAAATTTATCGCAATGCACTTTTCTTTCACTGAGAAAATAAATTTTATTGTGAAATATAGACAATGTAAGTTCAATTTAATGTTATTCTAAAATTTATTATTTTTGGTTATTTACTCAAACTAATTAATATTTTTAATAAATTTTTTAAAAATTAAGTTATGATGAAACTTGATAGAATATTAATAATTTTAATATTCAATGCGATATTTTGGAGTTTAATTAATTCTTTTAAAAATAATAAAAATAAAAATGAGTTGACTAGAGTTGGGGAAACCTCAACGGATAACGATGGGGCTGAATCATCGGTTAATCCTCAAATTCAAATGGTAAAACCAATCCCTAAAATTACAAAAAAAGACACAACTATAAATATTGAAAAAGGAAAAAAGGTTGACAGAAGTGAATATATGAGAACTTACTGGAAAAAGAATAAAGAAAAGAAGCGAGAATATAATCAAATCTACCGTCAAAACAATAAAGAAAAGAGGAAAGAATATGACAGAATTCACTACCAAGACAATAAAGAAAAGAAGCTTGAATGTTGCCGAAAATATCAGGAAAATAATAGAGAAAAATTGCGAGAATCTGCTCGAAAATACCGAGAAAATAATAAGGAAAAGAAGAAAGAATGTAACCGAAAATACTACCAAAACAATAAAGAAAAGCTTAATGGAAAAAAGCGAGAATCTAGGAGAAAATGCCGAGAGGAAAGGAAAAAGGGAAAATTAAATCCTGATCACGCTGATAATAATGAAGTAACTCCAATCGTTTATGAAAAGGGGATTCAGTCTGAAGGGGGAAGTCGTTTTAATCAAGAAGAGGACGAAGCAGAAACTTATGCGAATGAGCAAAATCAAAATGTGGTAGAAGAGCCGAATAAAATTCCCGAGAATTGTATGAATCAAATAAATTTAAATGAGTATCCTTTTGATCTGAGCGAGAAACCTGAGGACAATGATGAGGATGTCTGTTAGAAAAAGATTTAGAAGAAAGAAAATTTGTTAAAATCTTGAGAGCAAATTAAAGAATTTTATTAACTTTCGAATTTAAAAAATATTTTTGATGTAAAAGCGTTTTAGAGCCCATTATTTTTTTTATTACTCATTTGTAAGGGCTCAAGTTCCTATGAAGCCAAGGTTTCCGAAAAAACTTGGAGCCCAACTTTTCAGAGTACAATTTTAAGGATATTGAAAGAGTATTTTTTTTAAATTTGAAGATCAGAAGCCAAATTTAATTGATTTTTAGCGTACATACAAAATTTTTGAGATCGGTGATCCAACTTTCAAGAGGATGATGGGCCGGGTTACGCAGAGCTTGTAATATTGCATTTTTGACTTTTCACCCAAACCCTGACCCGGCGTTTTTCCCAACCCGATCCATTCTTGGATTTAATTTAAAAAATATCGAAATAAAATCCATCCCCTGTGGTTAATTTCAAGTCTCAAAAGGACAAAAATAAGTTCAATTAAAACGGTATGAGGACATATATCGGACCAGACATATCGGGATTGTGTGAGAATAACGTCTTTTGTGCTTCTAGAACAAAAATTCTTTTCTTTAAAAGGGTCACGAAGATCCTGAATGTGAGGTCGTAGATTGCAAAATAACTAGGGAAACTCTTCATACATTAAATCCCGATAAGTCCATCCCGATATGTCATCCAGATGTGGGTCGGAACAGTCAGGTGTCGGAAATCGGAAGAGCCGGAAATCGGAACTGGCTCAAAAGTCGAAACTTGGAAATCAAAATTTTCCTGAAATCAAAAAGAAAAAAACGTCGGAAATCTGGATTCCGACCCACCTCTGATGGCAGCCATTAAAACACCAAAAAAATGAAAACGGACCTGCTCTTTCCCTGATATCCAATTAAATATAAATTTTTCTCGTCCAATTTCATACCATTTACAACATTATTAAATTCAGTTGACGAATTAATTATTTTAATATTTTCTTCATTAAATTCTTCTTCAGCATTATCTTCATAAAGTAAAAGACACCCTGTCTTAAAAAAATTTTTTTAATTTAAAAAAAATTTTAAAAAAACCAAAATAGCCCAATGCGCTCCAAATCCATTACGATTACAAGGCTCAAAATTTCCTCTATCACAATCATAAGGAATTAAAATTGTCGGAATCTGTGAATAATTAAATTAATAATTAAATAAATAATATTTTACTAGGTGTTAATTATTTTAAATATTATTCAGAAAATCAGAAAATTTGTGGGCTTAAAACAAAGCGTGATATATTGTTATGGATCCACACCTTGTGAGAATATAACCTAAACATGAAAAAACTAAATTGGGCATAAGTGGCTCCTTCCAAAAATTTTTATAGTAATGTTAAGGATGGGGAGCTCAACCACAGATTTTGGAAAATCTGTGGTTTTTCTCCGATCTGGAGAAATTTTGAAACCCCGCGTCCTAAAAACAAAATGATGCCCCTATTAGAGATCGGAATTTTTTGAAAACCTGGGCCTATACCTGGGTTCCGGATTTAGTTTATTGCTCTGGGCATGAACCTGGGCCAGCAGTCCAGGAAAAACCGAGACCCAGAAAAAACCCAGGAAGGTCAAAAAATGCCTTGATCTCCAGCAAAAACCGAGGCCCAGGAAAAACCCAGCAAGGTCAAAAAAATGCCTGGGCCTGGACTCAGGATACAGGAAAAACCCATGCTCTGGTCCAGACCCAAGCCGATCTCTAGCCCCTATACATAAATAAATACAAAAATTATTCCCCCAAAAATTTCGACTAATTTTAATTTTTAATAATAAATGTAAAAAATTAAAAAAAACCTTATTATTTTCCCTTCTTCCAAAATATTCAATTATTGAAGACTTCATTTCACCAAATTCTGCAATTTTCGGGTGTAGACTAGGCCAATATTTTTGTATAAAATTACAAAACCATTCAACAGAAAATATTTCCCCTCCGTTTGTTATTCCAAAAAAGCGTCCCAATTCTACCAAATCATTCAAATTGGGAGATTTTAGGTTGTAAATATTTAAAGCATTGGATAATGATGCAAAACCACAACTGAAAATTTAAAAAATATTTTTAATGCAAGGAAAATGACTTCTGTGGAAAAACACAAGAGGAACTGATTAAAAATCGATATTTTAAAAAAAATTCAGCCTCCAAAAATCAGTCTCCAAAAATGTCTTCCTTAACCCGTCACGTCCTAAACAAAACGACGTCTCTATAAATACAAAAATTATTTCCCAAAAAGAAGAAAAACAATCTCAAAAATCGAAATTCTAGGCAAAATCTTTGAGAATTTCAGAAGGCGAAAATTTTACAGGTTAGGGTTACGAATCGAAAGTTTGGATTTGGTGTATCGACTAAAGAGGCCTATCCTTGGTTGAAGCTAAAACGGAGACGGGAACTTGTTCGAAAGAATTACTTAAATTTAAGCAAAGAACCATTGTTTAACCAAAAAATTAATTTTTTAGATCAAAAACAATGGACTTGTTAAATGTTACTAATAAAATGGAAAGGGAAATTTACTAAAAAAATAATGTTAAAACCCCCAGACTATCATATTTTACAAAATAAAAAAATAAAAATTAAAAAGAAAACCCCGTACGTTGGCCCAACCTGAAGTACCGGCTTAACAATATGATGAGCAAAACAAAAAGCTTTAAAATTTGTAGATTGATTCAATACTCGATCCAAACGAGATTTAAAAAGAGGGCCAAAAGTGTTGGAGGCATCCATGAATTTCTTTAAAAAAATTTTTTTGAGCCTCTAAAAAATTCTAAAAAAATTTTTTAAATAAAAAATATTAATCGAGTAAATTAACCTTAATCTAATAAAAAAATTTTTTTTTCAAATTATTTATTCACAAAAAAAGCAAAAAAAAATATAAAGCAAAATTCTGTGGGACACGCCCAACTAGGCGCACGTCCATAACGGCGCAAAGCCATAACTTGCTGAAAAATTTCTGGCCCATATCAATTTTAATACCATTCTCTTTAGCTCGATGAGAGGAATCGTTTAATACTAAATTTGGTAAGATTCGGAAATCTTGAAGGAGTATATGGCTTTGCGCCGTTATGGCCGAACGCCTACTTGGGTAGTATCCAAATTTTGTTGTAGTTATTTGAGATACATCTAAATTTTTTTTGATAGTTTAAGTAATTATAAAAACTAAAATCTGGGAGAAGCATAAATATATAGATTGCATTTAAATTTAAAAAATAAAGAGAGAAAAAGCAATTAGAAAATAAAGAGACAAATGTGGAATAAAATTCCAAAATTATTTTGAATTTTGGAAGACCAAAAAAAATTTTCAAAAATTTCTAGAGACTGAAAGAAAATTTCATTTGTAAAAAATTTCAGTTAATATTAGGGGGAATTAAAAGAGAATTTTTTGAGAGAAACCTATTTGCGAGAAACGAAAAAAATTTTTTCCGACAACATTGGAGGGGAAAGGGAACTAAAAAATATTTTTTTCTAGATCCACATTTGTTTCAAAAATAAAATTAAAGAATGAAGAGAGGAAAAAATGAAAGAATTTATTATAATATAAAAAATATTATTAAATATTTTTCAAAAATACTCTAATTTAGATTAAATCAGGAAAGCAGAATGTCATGGGAAAATTAAAAAAAATTTTAAAAAAATTTAAAAATAAAAAAGCAAGAAATATAAAATATAATTGCTTTTGGGTAGTCGATTCTTGAAAAATCTTTTGGATATCCGGAACTAAACTTGAGCCAAACAGGATTTTAAAAATTTCCTTTATATCGAGGCTAGGCCGGGTTTTGGAAAATTTTTAGGGATTTCGAGTCGGACGGGGTGTCGGCTGAAGCATGGTAGTATCCCTGTTCGTCGATTCTTGGAAAATCTTCGGATATCCGGAATTGAACCAAAAACCGAAACAAAAAATCATCGATTCCTTCGGTTCAGTTCCGAACCGACAACCCTAATTGTTCCTTATAAAAATGAAAAAATAAAAATTTTTTTAAATTTTAACCTTCCACATTTGTATTTTTTGTAGGACAAATCACTATAAAATTAAAAAAAATTTTATTCTAAATAAAAAATAAATTTAAAAAACCATTCAAAATATAGTCAGTAAGTAAAGACGGTAATTGATCACTATCATCGCTCATTGCTTGCAAAACTAGAAAACGACAAAAAATTATTTTAAAAATTAAAAAAATATACTTTTGTTTAAAGATTCCAAAACACGAACATCTGGAACTTTCTGAGAATTATCATATGGAATTTTGACAGAACACAACTTTAAAAAAATTGAAAAAAATTTATTTAAAAAAAGATAAGAGGTGACGATCAGGCTTGGTAATAAAAACGAAAAATATCCGGACATCAGCGGATACGGATACCAAAATCCGTGTCCATTACCAAGCCTAGTGATGAATAACAAAAATAACACTTCATTTGACTTAAAAAAGCTTTGGGGATTTAAAGAAAAAAACGGACTGAGAAGAGCTCTCAAACAAAAATCTCAATTATCGAACTATAATATTTAAAAATTGATCTCAATTCTCGAACGACTCTCACAATTCTATATTTGTTTGTAGCAGTTCTGGGAATATCAATTAAAAATGTCAAATACCCAGAAAATAAAGAAAATCTTAAAAACAGTTTAAAAATTTTTTTTTCACAATATTCTTAAATTTCCTAGCTTTTTTAATCCCAAAAATTACCTAACCTATTTTATTCTAAAATGAAAAATGTTCGAAAAAATTAATTTAAAAATGGTTCTCCGATCAAATAAACTCTTAAGTTAAGTTAAAAAAAAATTTTAAAAATTCAACAAACATTATTTTTCGTAGCAGCAAATTTAGTTTCCTTTTGTTTTTGCTTTTTTACACTTCCAGCCTTTCGCCGCTTTTCTTGCACATCGATTAATAACGTAATAAATTGATTTCTAACTTCTTTGGCATAGTCTAATTCATCACGTCTAGCAAGTTCATTGACCAATTCCTCATTGTATAATTGGATTATTTGCTCAATTTCTGAGACTATTGTGATCAATTTACTTTGACTATAACGTGTCATTTCTTTAAAAAATAGCAAAAAATTGCAAAAAAATTTAAAAAACCTTCAGCGTCAATAGGAGCCAATTCGCTGTTTTTAGGTTGTTGTTTAACACTAAATAGCTGCTCGGCATCTATACAATTGTTTGGAGAACGCATCGAAGAGTACATTGAGTCGAAGGATTCTAATGTACGTGGAGTGTTGATTAAGGAACGAGTCATCAAATCACCGGCCTAATTTTTTTTTTGAAAAAAGAATTGGAACTGGGCCAAAATCTGAGGAACTCCCTATGCCCTAATGTTTAGCTTCCTTGGCTTTTACTGACATAAGGGATTCTCTGGGGTTTCGCGGCCTTTCAAAACTACATCTCAAAACCACCGAGTTTTTAGAAAAGAACTAGAGCTGGGCCAAAGTCTGAGGAATCTCCTGTACCCTAAAACAAGAAATTCATTAGTTTCCTTGGCTTTTACTGACATAAGGGTTTCTCTGGGATTTCGCGGACTTTCAGAACTACATCCCAAAACCCGTGAGGTCAGCAGATTGGAGAATAAATCCAGACCCAGACTTCCAATTCTAGTAACTAAATTGAACTAAAAATCAAAAGAAAACCTGAATAATATCATCAATCTCTTCAATAACTCTATCAGCATTAACAGGAGGCAAAGCATCAGTACCAATTGACGCTGCAGCTGCATGAAAGTCCAAACGTTGAGTGTCATTTTTACCATCACTATCGTCATCCTCCCCGCTGTCCGTATCGGAAAAACTGTCTGGACCAGTTGGAGTAGTTCCCTCGTGGTTGCGCTGCTAAAAACAAATTTTTGAATAAGCAAAAGAACAAGAAACCTTTGGAACTTTCAAATCTAGCGCTGCCATTTGATTACGACGAATGACTGATTGGTGAAAATCAATAGGGGGAAGACTGCCGTAATTGCCTGTGAGTGTCCACCAGAACCTTAAAACGAGTAAAATAGTTAAAAAACAATCCAAGGACAAGTCTAAACTTACTGGCTCTCATTCATAATCTCCTCTTGGGAACGAATTTTGACTGGCGCAATTTGTTCAGTACACTTGTTCATATCCTTCAGAACGCCTGAAACGTTTTTGTCAAAGGATTCAACCAAGTCTTGAAGAGAAGTAGAGATCATAGAGTTGGAAGTAGAAGAGCCAGATTTGTCCATTTCAGCAGCTATTTTCTGTGGGGTTTGTTGATTGCGTGGCCTTTAGAAATGATTTTTTGGGATTAAATGACTCGTAAGGTCGTTCACCTTACGTAAAGACGGGGAATTAGGAGGTTTCTAAAAATTCCAAGTCCACCGTGCTGCCCTACGAAAACATTCCCCGATCCCCTTTCTCTAGGAATTTGGAGGTTTCTAAAAATTCCCCGTTCATCCCCCGTGGTGCTGCTCTACGGAAACTTCCCCGATCCCTCTCCCTAGGAATTAAGATGTTTCTAAAAATTCCCGTTCATACCCCCGTGGCGCTGCTCTACGAAACTCCACAAAACTTTCCCCGATGCCTTCCCTACGGCGGGGACTTAGACTTGACTTAGACTCATCAGAACTCATTAAACTTTTCATTACCTATTTCCAAGAGTTGATTTTGGTAGAACACATCTTTCTAGATTCGAATCATCCAATATTTCAAGATCGTCAAATTGTGCTAGTGGTACATCCGGAACTTCAATATCGCATGCTGAGCGATTAGGCATGTTGATTTTGGAAGAAAATGATTGTGGAATGCGTCTAGTTTACATACATGTTAAAGAACACTAAAAGTACCTAACTTTTAACAAATATTAATCAATCAACACAGTTTAAATGAAACATAAGTTAAATAGAAAGGATAAAGTACAAATACTCTCGTCAATAATAAGCTGTTGAAAAAAAGGCAACAAACTAGCTAATCCGTAGAAGATAAAAAAGAACCGATAATTCTCTGCCGTCTCTCTTCAATTTCTACACTATTTCAATTTTAATAAATTTTGGGACATAATGTCATTTATCTAAACATAATGCCAAAATAAATTTTTTTGAGTAATCGCGACGGTTTAAATTCAAAATCGAAGCAGAATTGGGGTTTTATTTTCTATTTACAGTAAAGGATTTGCATAAAATCGTGATATGTTTAAGTCTCAGATATTTGCTTATTAAATGTGTCAAACCCTAAAAGTACCGATGTGCTGTTAAAACAAGAAAGATATTTTCTAAATTTTATACTGTTTACAACGAAATAGTCTACTCTCTCTGAAAATTTCAACTTCTTCAAATTAATTTCTTTTTTAACAATCGTCCTCATCTTCATCCTCAGGTTTATCGTTCAGATAAATAAGATAGTCTTCCTCATCCGAATCTATCTGATTTATGGAATTAATTTTAGTTGGCTCTTCCACCACTGTTTGATTTTGCTCTTCCATATAAGTTTCTGCTTCGTCTTTATTACATTCTTCCTCCTCTTGATTAAGAAGACATCCTTCTTCAACCTGAATGCCCTCTTCGTAAACGATTGGCAATTTACCTTTATTTCTAAAATCTTCCTGTGTATTAAGGCAAGAAGTTCCTTCATTATTATCAGAATTAATATGCCCTACTTTTGGGTCAGCATTTTTTAAGTTTTCATTTTTATTTTTCATCTTTTCTCGGTATTTTCGAGCAAATTCTTTCCTATTTTCTTTATTATTTTGGTAATAATTTCGGGCAGCTTCTCGCCTCTTTTCTCTATTATTTTGGACATATTTTCGGTCACATTCCCGCTTCTTTTCTCTATTATTTTCTCGGTATTTTCGGTCGTATTCTCGCTTTTTTTCCTTATTTTTTGCTCGATACTTGCGGTCAGCTTCTCGCCTCTTTTCCTTATTATTTTCACTTTTATTAAACTTCTTTTCTTCTTTTTTATCTTTTGTTGTGCCCTTTTTTGCAATTTTAGGTTTTGGTTTTAGCGTTCTTTCATATTTTTGAATTCGAGGATCAACCGATGATTCAGCCCCATCATTAATAGTTAAATCCTTTGAGGTTTCCCCAACTCTACTTAACTCATTTTGTTCTTTATTATTTTTAACAGAATTAATTAAACTCCAAAAAATCGCATTGACGATTAAAATTATTAATATTCTATCAAGTCTCATCCTAAATTAATTTAAAAAATTTATTTAAAATATTAATTAGTTTGAGTAAATAAACAAAAATAATAAATTTTAGAATAATATTAAATTGAACTTAAGTAGGTAAATTAAATACATTGTCTATATTTCACAATAAAATTTATTTTCTCAGTGAAAGGAAAGTGCATTGCGATAAATTTTTTATAGACTATCATTAATAAATATTAGATTGAGAAACATAACACATTGTTATTAGCTATATTGAGAAATTGCTCACTTTACTCGCGGCGGACGGTGGAAGGAGCGGCCGTCGCATAGCTTGAAATGTTCGCTTGAAAACTTTTTCCAGAGAAAACTATAGTGACACCACTACTCAACACTTCCAAACCAACGATCTTTTATAAAATAAAATTTATCTTATCTTCAACATTTTCACAGGAAAAAATTTTTTTAATTCTATAATTAATATAAAAATTCTTAATCTGCTCTTTTTCGATTTCAACATATTTTCTTTCTTCCAGGTTTTTAACAAACATATTATTCGTTATCCTCAGGTTTCTCGTTCAGATCAAAAGGATACTCATTTAAATTTATCTGATTGATGCATTTCTCGGGAATATTATTTGGCTCTTCTACCACATGATGATTTTGATCATCTACATAAGTTTCTGTTCCCTCCTCCTCTCGATTGATAAGATTTATTTCTTCAGACCGAATCCCCTCTTTGTAAACTATTGGCAATTTACCTTTATTTCTAAACTCATCATTCTGTGGATAAGAAGTTCCTTCACCATTATTATCAGAATCAACATTTCTTAATATTTTTGGATCTGATAAGTTTTCTTTTTTATTTTTCCTTTTTTCTCGGTATTTCCGTTCATATTCTCGCTTCTTTTCTAAATTATTCTCTCGATATTTTCGAAGTGATTCTCTTCTCGTTTCTTTATTATTTTCACGGTATTTTCGAGCAGATTCTATCCTCTTTTCTTTAGTATTTTGGTAATACTTTCGGGCACGTTCTTTCATCTTTTCCTCATTGTTTGCTCGATATTTTCGATCAGTTTCTCGTCTCTTTTCCTTATTATTTTGGCGATATCTTCTATCATATTCCTTTTTATTCAACTTTTTTTTTCTTTTTTATCTTTAGTTGGGCCACTTTTTGCAATTTTAGGTTTTGGTTTTAACATTTGAATTTGAGCAGTAACCGATGATTCAGCCTCATCGTTATCCTTTGAGGTTTCCCCAACTCTACTTAACTCATTTTGTTCTTTATTATTTTTAACAGAATTAATTAAACTCCAAAATATCGCATTGACGATTAGAATTATTAATATTCTATCAAGTTCCATCATTAATTAATTTTAAAGATTTATTAAAAATATTAATTAGCTTGAGTATTAAATTTAAAAACAATAAATTTTTGAATGATATTAAATTGAACTTAAGTAGGTAAATGAAAATACATTGTCTATATTTCACAATGAAATATCCGTTTTCTCATTAAAAGTAAAGTGCATTGCGATAAATTTTTTAATAGACTATCATTCATAAATATTAGATTGAGAAATTTAGAAAGTATTTTGAGAAATTGCTTTCTTTACACGCGGCGACCGTTGGAAGGAGCGGCCGTAGTATCGCTTGACATGCCCGGCTTCCTCCGCACCGGCAAAACCTTTTCAATAGAAAAATTCTCAAAGGAATTTTTATACACTTTCTGTTTTGTCGTAGGGTTGAACGAGGTTGCGATAAATAAAAATTTTTTTAAAATTTATCGCAATGTACTCTCCTTTAATTGAGACATGTACTTTATATTTTTTATTATGAAATGTAAAATAATTTTCCCAATGTGTTTTTACATCTATATTGCTTTTCAAATTCAATAAATTAAAATTTATCATTTTTGGTTAATTTGTATTAAATAAAATTTTATTTTAAATAAATTTTTTAAATTAATTTATGATGAAACTTGATAGTATTTTAATAATTTTAATTGTCAACGCGTTTTTTTGGAGTTTAATTAATTCTGTTAAAAATAATAAAAGCCGACACGAGTTAAGTAGAGTTGGGGAAATTTCAAAGTATAAAGATGGGGCTGAATTATCGGCCGCTCCTAAAATTCAAAAAGATGAAACGTTAAAACCAATACCTAAAATTGCAAAAAAGGTCACAACTAATCATAATGAAGAGAAGGGGCAAGATTATTATAGAAATTATTACCAAAATAACAAAGAAAAGATACAAGAAAGAAAGCGAATTTACTACAAGAACAATAAAGAAAAGTTGAAAAAATGCTCCCAAAAATACCGAGAAAATAATAAAGAAAAGAGGCTAGAAAATGACCAAAAATATTACCAAAATAATAGAGAAAAGTTGAAAGAATCTGTCCAAAAATATTGCCAAAAGAATAAAGAAATATTGAAAGAAAATAAACGAGAATACCGAGAAAATAATAAAGAAAAAATTTGAGAATCTAATCGAAAATATCGAGAAAAAATGAAAAATAAAAAAGAAAACATAAAAAATGTTGATCCAAAAGTAGGAAATATTCATTCTGATAATAATGAAGGAACTTCTTTTGTTAATACACAGAGAATCGAGGAAGGAAATCTTTTTAATCAAGATGAGGAAGAAACAGAAACTCATATGGAAGAGCAAAATCAAACTGTGGTGGAAGAGCCAACTAACATTAATTCCATAAATCAGTCAGATTCAGATGAGGAAGATTATCTTATTTATCTGAACGATAAACCTTATAATGAAGATGAGGATTTTTATTAAAAAATTAATTTGGAGAAGTTAAAATTTTCATAGAGTAAATTATAAAGATCGGACAAACAAATATTTAATGACGGGTAATTAAATATTTGATCAAATTTTATGTGATTTTATTTGATCAAATATTTGTTGATGAGCTTTTGAAGAAATTTGATTTTTTCAAATATTAAATAAATATTGTTATGTCCGTGATTTGAATATTTTTAATATTTTCCTTCATTTAAACTTTTTATCTGTTTTGCCCCATTTCTAAATGTATATTTAAATAATTCCCTCATTCCTACCTTTCAAAGTGAAAATTTAATAATTAATTTACAATTAGTCGAAACAAATTGGTTAGGATAAATTTTTACTAAATTTTTCTCCAAATAATGTAAATTTGTAGAACTGACGAGCTGAAGCGAAACTAGCTGATTAAGACAAGTGTGCGAAACTTATTAAGTTTTAAAAGATTAAATATATTTTATTCTGTTTATTAAATTATTATGATTAAACATAAATTTATTTCCAATCGAAGCAAAAACAAAAAAGTTTAATTAATTAATTAAGTTAATTAATTAATTCTGTTAAAATTAACAAAGATAATAATGAGTTAAATAGAATTGTGGAAACCTCAAAGGATAAAATGGAACTGGATCACCGGTTAATGCTCAAATTCAAAAGGATGGAGTAACAAAGACGAAGAAGAAACTTATGTGGAAAAGCTTATGTGGACTTTTCTGTTCTTCTTAAACACTTTCCTATTAAATATTTTTAACACTTTTTAATCCTTAACTTAAAAAGTTAATTAAATGTATTTTTGATTGAAAGAAAATAAATTTCTATATTTGTTTTAAAAAAGTATTTTTAATTAGTTTGGCATTTTAACTTAGCGTTACGAGCCAGACGCTAAAAGAATTTCACTTTCCTGTTATCTCCTAAGTTGCCGCGGGGAATGCGACATCGATGTCCTCTCTCAGTGAGGATTTAACTAGACCATGCCGTACTTCAATATTTCAAATCCCATAATCTACATCTTATCAGAATTCTATTTTCGATAGGATATATTCTTAATCCTTCAAATAAAGAACATGATCTTACCCCTCCGTTGCGCATAGTATAGGTTCATTCTCATTGTTTCTATAAAACTGATTCAAAGAAATTGTACAATTTAATTTCTTTTAGAACCTGCTTTTATGCACAGCAGGAAAAAGTTTTGAATTTTCATAAGGCCAGAAGGCAGAAATTATCTTTTTATGAAAAAATTGAAAAAAATGGGAAAAGCGCAGGACTGGACTAAATCCCAAATTCGGTGTTTTTGCCGGAATTTTTTATTATGTTACGAAACGAAATGGAAAAAAGGGCATGAAATAGCAGGCGGTACGAAATTTCGATCATCCCTTGTTTAAACCTTTCGCAATGTACTCTCCTTTAATTGAGACTTGTACTTTATATTTTTTATTATGAAATGCAAAATAATTTTCCCAATGTGTTTTTTCATCTATATTGCTTATTTAAATTCATTAAATTAAAATTTATTATTTTTGGTTAATTTTTATTAAATAAAATAATTTATTTTAAATAAATTTTTTAAATTAAATTTAAGATGAAACTTGATAGTATTCTAATGATTTTAACATTCAACGCGATATTTTGGAGTTTAATTAATTCTGTTAAAAATAATAAAGAGAAAAATGAGTTAACTAGAGTTGGGGAAACCTCGAAGGATTTAACTATTAACGATGGGGCTGAAAAGGGTAATAGAAGTGAATATATGAAAATTTACTATCAAAATAATAAAGAAAAGTTGAAAGAAAATATCCGAAAATACCGAGAAAATAATATAGAAAAAAAGCGAGAATGGGACCGAAATTATTACCAAAATAATAAAGAAAGAATAAGAGAAGCAGATAGAAATTATTACCAAAACAATAAAGAAAAGTTGAAAGAAGATAAACGAAAATACCGTGAAAAAATGAAAAATAAAAAAGAAAACTTAAAAAATGTTGATCCAAAAGTAGGGCATATTCATACTGAGAATAATGAAGGAACTTCTTTTGTTAATACACAGGAAGATTTTAGAAATAAAGGTAAATTGCCTATCGTTTACGAAGAGAGCATACAATTTGAAGAAAATGTTTTTAATCAAGAGGAGGAAGAAAGTAACAAAGACGAAGAAGAAACTTATGTGGAAATGCAAAATCAAACTGTGGTAGAAGAGCCAAATAAAATTCCCGAGAATCGCACGAATCAAATAAATTTAAATGAGCATCCTTTTGATTTGAATGAGAAACCTGAGGATAACGATGATGATGTTTGCTAGAAAAAAGATTAGAAGAAAGAAAATTTTTAAAAATTTTTCAAAGAACAAATAAGCAATTTTATTAATTTTAAAATTCAAAAAATATTTTTCTGTGTATGTTTTAATTAAATACTGTGTTTAAACGGGAGTACGATTTAACAAACATCCTCATCATCGCCGCAGTGAGGACGCTGTTAAGGATGGCTGTTAAGTTTTGGCCCATTTCTCAATGTATATTTAAATAATTCCCTCATTCCTACTTTTTAAAAAAAATTAAATAATTAATTTATAATTTGTCGAAACAAATTGGTTAGGATAAATGTTTACTAAATTTCTCTGCTAAGAATGTAAATTTGAAGAACTGACTAGCTGAAGCGAAACTATTAGATTTATGGAGACAAGTGTAGAAAACTTATTGAAATTAGGATTGGAAACATAAAACAAATTTTATTCAGTTTATTATATTATTGTGATTAAACATAAATTTATTTCCAATCGAAGCAAAAACACAAAAGTGAAAAGATTAAAGTGAATGAATTATGAATAACATAAAAACTCTATGAAAATTTTAACTTTTTCAAACCAATTTTTTTTTAACAAACCTCCTCATCTTCATCATCAGGTGTATCTTTCAGATAAATAAGATAGTCTTCCTCATCTGAATCTGTCTGATTTATGTAACAATTTTAGTTGGCTCTTCCACCACAGTCTAATTTTGTTCTTCCATATGAGTTTCTGTTTCTTCCCCTTCTCGATTTAAAAGACTTCCTTCTTCAAACTGAATGCTCTCTTCGTAAACGATAGGCAATTTACCTTTATTTCTAAAATCTTCATTCTGTGTATTAACAATAGAAGTTCCTTCATTATTATCAGAATGAATATTTCCTACTTTTGGATCGACATTTTTTAAGTTTTCTTTTTTAATTTTCATTTTTTCTCGGTATTTTCGAGCAGATTCTCGCACCTTTTCTTTATTATTCTGGTAATAATTTCGGTCAGCTTCTCTCTTTTTCTGCTTATTTTTTGCTCGATACTTGCGGTCAGCTTCACGCCTCTTTTCCTTAATATTTTCACTTTTATTAAACTTTTTTTCCTCTTGATAATTAGCTTCGGCTGTGTCCTTTTTTGCAATTTTAGGTTTTGGTTTTAACATTTGAATTTGAGGATTAACCGATGATTCAGCTCCGTCGTTATCCTTTGAGGTTTCCCCAACTCTAGTTAACTTATATTTATCTTTATTATTTTTAACAGAATTAATTAAACTCCAAAATATCGCATTGACGATTAGAATTATTAATATTCTATCAAGTTTCATCATTAATTAATTTTTTAAATTTTTAGAAATATTAATTAGTTTGAGTAAAAAACCAAAAATAAATTTTAGAATAATTACTTACATTGTCTATATTTCACAATAAAATTTATTTTCTCAGTGAAAGGAAAGTGCATCGAGATAAATTTTTTTATAGACTATTATTAATAAATATTAGATTGTGAAACAACAAATTGATATTAGGTATATTGAGAAATTGCTTGCTTTAACGCGGCGGACGGTGGAAGGAACGGCATCGCTTGAAATATTCGCTTGAAAACTTTTTCCAGAAGAAAATTCTCAAAAAATTTTTATATACTTCTGTTATATCTGAGGGTTGGATACGGGGGATCAGTGACTAGCCGGGATAGTATGATCCAAATAGACGGACGCTTTCACTGGCTTTTAACTATAGTGACACCACTACTCAACACTTCCAAACCAACAATCTTTTATAAAATAAAATTTATCTTATCTTCAACATTTTCACAGGAAAAAAGTTTTTTAATTCTAAAATTAAAATGGAAAATTTTAATCTGCTCTTTCATAATTTCATCATATTTTCATTCTTTCAAGTTTTTTAACAAACATATTATTCGTTATCCTCAGGTTTCTCGTTCAGATCAAAAGGATACTCATTTAAATTTATCTGATTGATGCATTTCTCGGGAATATTATTTGGCTCTTCTACCACATGTTGATTTTGATCATCTACATAAGTTTCTGTTTCCTCTTCCTCTCGATTGATATTATTTCCTTCTTCAGACCGAATGCCTTCTTCGTAAACGACTGGCAAGTTATCTTTATTTCTAAAATTATCATTCTGTGGATTAGAAGTTCCTCCTCCATTATTATCAGAATCAACCCTTCTTAATATTTTTGGATATGTTAAGTTTTCTTTTTTATTTTTCCTCTTTTCTCGGTATTTTCGTTCATATTCCCGTATCTTTTCTAAATTATTTTCTCGATATTTTTTTTTGCATTCTCGCCTCCTGATTTTATTATTTCGAAGGTATTCTCGCCTCTTTTCTTTATTATTTTTGTAATAATTTCGTGCTGATTCTCGTCTTTTTTCCCCATTTTTTTCTCGGTATTTTCGTTCAGCTTCTTTCCTCTTTTCTTTATTATTTTGACGGTATCTTCGATAATATTCACTTTTATTCAACTTTTTTCCTTCTTTATTATCTTTTGTTGTGCCCTTTTTCGTAATTTTAGGTTTTGGTTTTAACATATGAATTTGAGGATTAACCGATGATTCAGCTCCGTCGTTATCCTTTGAGGTTTCCCCAACTCTATTTAACTCATTTTTATCTTTATTATTTTTAACAGAATTAATTAAACTCCAAAATATCGCGTTGACGATTAAAATTATTAATATTCTATCAAGTCTCATTATACATTAATTTAAAAAATTATTTAAAATATTAATCCTTTTCAATTAATCAAGAGTATTAAATTTGAATATTAATATTGAACTTAAATAAAAGTATAAATGAACTTTTATTTAAAATATTTTTTATTTATATTTCTTAATGCAATATCCGTTTTCTCATTAAAAGAAAAGTGCATTATGATGAATTTTTGAATAGAGACTACACTCAGAGAAAGATAGACGCACTTTATAAGACCCTTAAACTCAACGTAGAATAGAGGTTTTTCCAAAGTATTTCTAAAAAAAATTTTCTAAACTTAGGAAAAGTTACAAAAATTCCAACAAACATATTTATCGATACTAAGAAGAAATATAAAAGAATTTAATCAAACTCAAAAATATCGCATTGACGATTAGAAGTTGACCAGCCCTGGTATTGACAACCAAGAGTACATCCTAAAATTTTATCATAATGCACTTTCACTGAGAAAACGTATATTTTATTATGAAATGTAAGTAAAATAGATTACTTAAGTTCAACATTAACGGCAAAATTTATTATTTTGACATTAAGTTTAATAATTAATTTATAATGAAACTTGATAAAATATTAATAATTTTAATCGTCAATGCGATATTTTGGAGTTTAATTAATTCTGTTAAAAATAATAAGGATAAAAATGAGTTTAGTAGAGTTGGGGAAACCTCAAAGGATAACGATGGGGCTGAATCATCGGTTAATGCTCAAATTCAAAAAGATGAAAAAACGTTAAAACCAAAACCTAAAATTTCAAAAAAAGGCAAAACAACTATAGATAACAAAGAAAAGTTTAATAAAAGTGAATATATGAAAATTTACTATCAAAAAAAATAAAGAAAAGATAAAAGAAAGTAAGAGAATTTACTGGCAAAATAATAAAGAAAAGAGGAAAGAATGTTGCAGAAAATATATAGAAAATAATAAAGAAAAGAAGCGAGAAAGAGAAAGAAAATATTACCAAAAAACTAAAGAAAAAAGGAAAGAAAGTGTCCGTAATTACTACCAAAATAATAAGGAGAAAAAGCGAGAATATGGACGAAAATACCGAGAAAATAATAGAGAGAACAGGCGAGAATATGATCGAAAATGCCGTGAAAAAAGAAAAAATAAACAAGAAAACTTAAACAAAGTTGATCTAAAAGAAAGAAATGTTCATTCTGATAATGAAGAAAATTCTTTTGCTAATCCACAGAATGAGGATTTTAGAAATAAAGGTAAATTGCCAATCGTGTATGAAGAGGGCATTCAGTCTGAAGAAGGAAATCTTTTTAATCAAAAAGAGGAAGAAAGTAACCAAGACGAAGCTGACGACTGTGGGTGAGCAAAATCAACTAGTAGAAGAACCAAATAAAATTCCCGAGAATTGCATGAATCAGATAAATTTAAATGAGTATCCTTTTGATCTGAACGAGAAACCTGAGGATAACGATGAGGATGTTTGTTAAAAAGAAATAAATTTGAAGAAAGAAATGATGTTAAATTCAGAGTAGATTAAAGAATTGTAAAACCTAAGACAAATTTGTATAAACTTTCGAGCATTCCTGATTAGAGCTGCTCGAAATAAAAATTTTTTCCTGGTTTCGGACGAATTGAGATATATAAAGATTTAAAATAATAATTTTTTATCTTCTTTATTGCTTCTGCAAAAACTATAATAATTCTGTATTACTGATAAATTTGTGGGGAATTGGAATTAACATTAGTGATGTTCGGGAGAAGAAAAAATTTGGGGGGAGTCGGGTCGGAATTGAAATAACGGGAGTCGGGATTGCGATACCCGAACATCATTTGAACATCCCTGAAAAAAACTATTAATTAACCAAAAATAATAAATTTTAATTTATTGAATTTAACTAAGCAATATAGGTGAAAAAACACATTGGGAAAATTATTTTAGATTTCATAATAAAAAATATATAGTACATGTCTAAATTAAAGGAAAGTGCATTGCAATAAATTAAAAAATAATTTTTTGAGGTTTAAACTACCAAGTAAACTGAGCCAAAACGCCTGAAACGTTTATGTCTAATGATTCTAAGTATGTCTTGAGAAAGCCATCTTGAGAAAGCTATGAAGTAGAAAACAAAGAATTTTAAGTGATTTTACAAGTTTTACAAGTCGATTCTATTTTTTAAAACATTGAAAATTGACATAAAACATCAACAGAAATAAATTTCTTTAAAATAAAATTAGTCAGCAATTAACAAATATTTAAGTCACACATATACCTACATAGCTCAAACAAGTAAATGAAACGGCGGCCGCAGACAACACATCCTCGGTCGGTGGTAGAAAAATATGTAGCTTATCTTGTGTAGATCCTCATGATTGATTGAAGAGATATCGGAGGATTAATGGGATTAAGAGGGATATCAGAAAATTAATTGGCATGTTAAGTAATATCAGAGAAATAAGAGGACTTGGAAGGATTATGGGAGAAGCATTAATTATTATTAATAAATATTTGATTTTTTAAATTAATTTAAATATTTTTCTATAAATTACGAATTACGGCATTTTTTAAATTACGAATTACGATTATGAAAAATTTTTTAAATTACGAATTACGATTAAAAAAATTTTCAATTACGACGCAACTCTGATGCTATCCACAGCCGAATCATTACGGCAGATTTTTAGACAACGCACTTAGGGCATAACAGAAAATAGGAATGCTCGAAATTTTATACAATGTTGACTAAAGTTTTACAATTCTTTAATTTACTTTGAATATTTCAACATCATATCTTTCTTCAAATTTATTTCTTTTTAACAAACGTCCTCATCGTTATCCTCAGGTTTCTTGTTCAGATCAAACGGATAATATTTCTCATTTAAATCTATCTGATTCATGTTTGCCTCTTCAACCACCGATTGATTTTGCTCATCCACATTAGTTTCTGTTTCTTCACATTCTTCATCCTCTTCGCTAAAAAGATTTCCTTCTTCATGCTGAATGACCTCTTCATAAACGATTGGCAATTTACCTTTATTTCTAACATCATCGTTGTGTGTATTAGCAAAAGAAGTTCCTTCACCATTATTGTCAGAATGAACATTTCTTGGATCTTGTAAATTTGCTTTTTTATTTTTCTTTTTTTCTCGGTATTTTCGATCAGATTCTCGCTTCTTTTCTCTATTATTTTCTCGATAATTTCTATGATATTCTTTCTTCTTTTCTTTATTACCTGCAATTAGACGGTATTTTCGTTCATATTCTTTCCTGTTTTCTTTATTGTTTTGGTAATAATTTCGGCCATATTCTCGAATCTTTTCTTTATTATTTTCTCGGTATTTTTGGCAATATTCTCGCTTTTTTTCTTTGTTATTTTTGTAATAATTTCGGTCAACTTCTCGTCTTTTTTCCTTATTATTTTCCCGGTATTTTCGATCAGATTCTTTTAATTTTTCTTTATTGTTTTGACGGTAAATTTTCATATGTTCACTTTTATTAAACTTTTTTTCTTCTTGATTATCTTTTGTTGTGCCCTTTGTAATTTTAGGTTTTGGTTTTAACATTTTTTCATTGTTTTGAATCTGAGGATTAACCGATGATTCGGCTCCATCGTTATCCTTTGAGGTTTCCCCAATTCTACTTAACTCATTTTTCTCTTTATTATTTTTAACAGAATTAATTAAACTCCAAAATATCGCATTGAAGATTAAAATTATTAGAATACTATCAAGTTTCCTCATTAATTAATTTTAAAAATTAATTTAAAATAAAATTTTATATCATTAAAATTAACCAAGAATGATATATTTTAATTTGATTTAATTTAATTAAGCAATATAGGTGAAAGTACATTGGGAAAATTATTTTACATTTCATAATAAAAATATAAAGTACATTTCTCTTTTGAAAGAAAGTGCATTGCGATAAATTAAAAAATTTTTTAAGGGTTTAAACTAGTGTACGTAGAGTACCGAGTAATTAGGAAAAAACCGATTTTGAGTACTCGGTTTTAACCGAGTCAGTCGAGTAAGATGTTTCCGAATACGAGTAATGCCGAGTATTATGATCCCGAGTTCCGAGTCCGAGTAATGACGCAAAAACCCGAGCGGTCGAGTCGAGTAAATTCGAACTCGCTCAACTCGGACGTACTCTAGTTTAAACTGTGCCAAGTTAACTGCACCAAAACGCCTAAAACGTTCCTTGTCAAATGATTTAAACTCTTGAGAAAGCCTTGAAGAGAAGTAGAAATCAAAGAATTTGGTGTAATTTTCTCTTGTCTCTCTTCATTTTACACACTATTTCAATATTAATAAATTATGGGATAAAAAGTCATTTAATAAAACATAATGCCAAAATAGTTTTTTTATTTTGCGAGTTGTTTTAAATACAAAAACAAAACAAAACTTCGATCTTTAGTCCAGGAATTTGCATAAAATTAGTTTATGGTACACGTGTTTGACAATTATTTCCATTTTTTAACAGCATAACTATTGATTTTATCAACTTTATTCTCTTGCACCCTACAGAAAGGAGATTATTTGTTAATTTTTCATCATTCCTTGTTTATTTTCAACTTTTTCAATGTTTTTTTTGGTTTTAATACATTTTAAAAAATTCCTTTTTATTTCTCTTTTATCAGCTTATTAAAAGATATCGGACCGAGAGTCTGGTACGAGACACCTAGAAAAATCCCATTGATAGGGATTTCTGGGTACTAGTTTGTTTCATACCCCCCCCCCCCCCATCTCTGCTTTTTCCTAATTTCATTTGCAGCTATTCTCTTTTTGCCAAATTATATCATTCAAATCTTTAGGCTGATCGAAATTTACTCCCTTGCAGCGACACAAAAAGTTTATTAGTTACAATTCAGCTTTCAGTTCAGCCTTCTATTCATAAGCACCTAACCGATCTAGGTATCATTCATCATTCACATAGCTTGAGAAGCTTTTTCAAATATTACTATATATGTAACATTATAGATCAACAAAAAAGCTCAAAATGGTCAGCGAAACGAGAAAAGAAAGGTGGTCTAACCCAAACTTTTACTGATTTTTCTTCGAGATTTCGTCTATCCGACCTATAGATATAATTATTAATTTATTTGTAATAAGCTTTTTAAGCTTGGTTTGTTTACTTATTCTTTAAAGTAACCGAAATATTTCTTTAAATCCTTTTCGTTTCCTAACACTTTTACTGTTTGTCTTCTTTACATTTTTTTAGTTTTTCTAAAGCTAAAAGTTTACAAATTTAAAGATCAAGACCTTAAAATATTTAAAATTGACTTTTAAAAATATTTTGTATTGATCACTTATTGAGGAAGTGAGTAATCGACAGTTTTTGTCCTTATTTTCATATAATGCTTGCTCCAAGGTGAATAAAATTTTTGATTAAATTTTATTAAAATTTTAAAAATTGTGTTAATCTTTCACTTTACTTGTCCCTAGAAAAAATTGAGGAAAAAGTGCTAGTTTGACATTTTTTAGGCATGCCGTAGCCGTAGGTAATCGAGCTTGATGAGTCCTAGTCTTCTTCTAGTATACCCTCTTCCCGCTTTTCCTCTTTCATGTTGGGTAAAATAAATCATCGTGCGGAATTCCTTTCCTCAACCAAGGTCTATTGGATGGATCATCATCCATATATTTTTTCCAAATTTAAAAAATATTCTCTGAACCATCCGGTGCAACCGGTAAAGCAGCTGGGCTTTACATACAATATCAAGCTTCAATTTTTTAATTTTAGAGGAAGTCCTTCAAGAATTATTGCTTTAATAGCTGCCGTCGCTGCATTATCTAATTTTCTGGTATTTAAAAAAATTTCTGAAATTTTTTAAAATTAATTTCCGAATTTTTCTTATCACTAAAAATTTTTAATTAAATCCCCAAAAAATATTTTCACCCCAAAATTTATTTTTTTTATTAGGAAGGCTATTCCTCTTCATATCCCAACACAGCTGGTATTTAAATTTTAAATTATTCACAAAAATATTTCTTTTTCAATTTATAGGAGACTCGTTTAGGTAAATTTTCTTTAAAATTCCTCCTTTATTCATTTATTCCACAGAGAATTCATTAATAATTCTTATATTGCGCGAGGAAGTGTTTTAACTGTATGGGAATTTACTTGGTTATTTTCCCTTTTTTTCAAAGTAAAAAAAAATTTTTTGAGGTATTGGTCTTTGCTTCTCAATATTTGGTTTATTGGCTATTTGTTTGGTACAAAAATTTTTTTTGCTCGTTTTCACTAAAAACAAACGAAAACTTAGACCAATGTTTTTTAGTTAAACGAATCTAACGGTCCTTAGTTCTGGGTATATACGGTACTAGACGTTTCCGTGGTTCATGAAACAAAAAATTACATTACCAAAAATATTTTTAATAAGGGAATATAATCTTTTTATGGACATTAAATATGGGATATGGGATAATTTTAAAATAAATAAAAAAATTTCAGGCACAATTTTAACTCCTTTATTCACAGAACGTTATGGACGCAAAAGTAATTTTTAATTTATTTTAAACAAAAAAGGGGAAAATATTGTCGCAAAAACAAATAAAATATTCCAATGAATAAACAATATTTTTTATTTTTAATCTTTTTACTCTTTTCTTTTCTATTCAAAATCAATTTCTTTAAAAATCAAATTTATTCAACAATTAAAATATTACGCAATATTTTAAAAGAATTTTGAAGTTAAAATTTAACTTAAATCCTATTTAAAAATTTTCACAAATAATATACTTTATTTAAATCTTTTTATACAATCCAAACTTTATAAATTCTAGAAATCTCTAGAAAACTCAGATTTAATTCAAATAGAAACACACTAAACTCTTAGTCAAAGAACTCTAAACTTAGAAAACTTAAATCAAACTTTAACTTTTATTTCAATTGTTTATTTTAAATAAAACAAATCAAAAGTTACACAACTTTTATTCAAACAAAATCTATTACAATTAGAAAAGCTCTTGAGAATCTAAACAGACTCTTATTTCTGAGAATTTACAAGATATACTTTGATAAACTCTGTTACGACCTCGCTTACGTAGAGGACGATAACAAATTATCACACGAACGAAATACAATGAAGGTTGGTAGGAAGAATGGACAGGTGAAGAGACTCTCGAATTAACTAATGGCTGGCTTTTATAGTATACACTTTAAGGGCTGACGCCCATACACAACAAACTCTAAATTACTAACGTTTAAATAGAGGAAAAAATGTGAGGGTTTTACAAAAAATAGCAAAAATATACAAAGTGCAATGAATAATGGGAAGAATTTGAAAGAAGTAGGCGTATTTGATTACGCATGATTAAAAATAGAAATTTAAAAAATAAAAATATTTCCACAAAAAGACAAGGGAAAAAAGGTCAAAAAATATAATACAAAAGTCGCATTTTGCGACAAACATAAAGGGCAATTTTATATTTTTTATTGCGACGTTGTTTAAATTTATAAAAGATTAATTACTCTCAAATTTTAACATCTTTTCTTTCTTAATTTACGTCTTTCTTAATAAACGTCCTCATCTTCGTCCTCAGGTTTCTCGTTCAGATCAAAGGGACAATATTTCTTATTCAAATCAATCAAATTCGTACAATTCTCGGGAATTTTGTTCGGCTCTTCTACTAACGTTTGATTTTGCTCATCCATATTAGTTTCTCTTTCCTCCTCTTGATAAATAAGATTTCCTTCTTCAGACTGAATTCTATCTTCGTAAACTATTGGCAATTTACCTTTATTTCTAAAATTATCTTTTTTTGGATTAGAAGTTCCTTCCCCATTATTATCAGAACAAACAAGCATTTTTGGATTTTGTTTGGAAGCATTTTTTGATTTTTGGACTACTACCACAGCTTGATTTTGCTCATCCACATTAGTTTCTGTTTCTTCATAGTCATCCTCATCATAGTTACAATGACTTTCCTCTTCAGACCGAATGCCCTCTTCGTAAACTATTGGCAATTTACCTTTATTTCCAAAATCGTCATCATTTTGTGTATTAGCAAAAGAAGTTTCTCCATTATCTGAATGAATATTTTGTAAATCTGCCTTTTTATTTTTCAGTTTTTCTCGATATTTTCGATCACATTCTCGCCTCTTTTCCTTATTGTTTTGACGGTATTCTGCCAGTTTTTCCTTATTATCTTCTCGATATTTTCGATTCCATTCTCGTCTCTTTTCCTTATTATTTTGTCGGTATTTCCGTTCATTTTCTCGAATCTTTTCTTTATTGTTTTCTCTATATTTTCGATAATATTCTCGCTTCTTTTCTCTATTATTTTGGTTGTACTTTCGGACAGTTTCTCGCCTTTTTTCTTCATTATTTTGGATGTATTTTCGATCATATCCACGCTTCTTTTCCTTATTATTTTGCCAATATATTTTCAGATATTCCTTTCTATTACTGCCATTTTTTCTAATTTTTGGTTTTACCGTTTCTTTATATTTTTGAATTTGAGCATTAACCGATGATTCTGCCTCATCGTTAAACATTTTAGTTAAATCCTTTGAGGTTTCTCCAACTCTACTTAACTCATTTTTATCTTTATTATTTTTAACAGAATTAATTAAACTCCAAAATATCGCATTGACAATTAAAATTATTAATATTCTATCAAGTTTCATCATAAATTAATTTTAAAAATTTATTTAAAATATTAATTTTATTTACTTTGAGTTAATAAAAAATATTAAATTTAAATGTAATATTGATTAAAGTAAGCAATATAAAGGGAAAATACATTGTGTAATTTTATTTCATAACAAATTACATGTACTTTTCTCATTGAGACGGAGGTGCATTACAAAATTGCACTTCCGTAGACATTAGTAAGGACAAAATATTATTTCTTAATTAGAGAAAAATAAACAGGCGATTCAAAAGTGTATTCGACAAATATTTAAGTCACAAATATGTCAAACAAGTAAATGACTATCAAACTTTATTCACGTGCACTCCCCCAAACGAAACAATCATTGAAATGAAAGTGCAGTGTGATAATATTTTCAGAAAGGCCCAAAGCGGAACCCATACAGACTCGGGTGTTGTTTAATGTTTACAATTTTTAATCTACTCTGAACAATTTAAAAGCGTTATTTTAAACAAATATATTTCTTTTTTAATAAAAATCCTCATCATTGCCCTCAGGTTTCTTGTTCAGGTCAAGAGGATAATATTTCTCATTTAAATCTATCTGATTCATGTAATTTTCACGAATGTGCTCTTCTACTAGTTGATTTTGCTCATCCACATAGTTTTCAGTTTCGTCTTTGTTACATTCTTCCTCTTCTTGATTAGAAAGATTTTCTACTTCATGCTGAATGCTCTCTTCGTAAACAATAGGCAATTTACCTTTATTTCTAACATCATTATTTTGTGTATTAACAAAAGGAGTGTCTCCAGCATAATTAGAATGAATATTTCCTATTTTCGGATCAAGATTTTTTAAGTTTCCTTTTTTATTTTTGAGTTTTTCTCGGTATTTTCGATTAGCTTCTCTCCTCTTTTCTCTATTATTTTCCCGGTATATTCTTTCATATTCTTTGAACTTTTCTTTATTTTTATGACGGTATTTTCGAATATAATCTAGCGACTTTTCCTTATTATTCTGCTGGTAAATTCGTCTACTTTCTAAAATTTTTTCTCTATTATTTTGGTAGTAGATTCGGTCATAGTCTCGCTTTTTTCCTTTATTTCTTATTCTTGTGCCTTTATTTGCAATCGGTTTTAACTTCCCTTCAGATTTTTGAACCGATGATTCTGCCTCATCATTGATAGTTAATTCCTTTGAGGTTTCCTTAACTCGAATTAACTCATTTTTCTCTTTATTATTTTTAACAGAATTAATTAAATTCCATAATACCGCATTTAATATAATAATTAATAAAATACTAATAGGTTTCATCCTGAATTTAAAAATTTATTTAAAATATTTTATTAACCAAAAATTATAAATTTTAATGTAGAATTGAATTTAAATAATACATAGTGAAATAGTAGACATACATATTTTTGTTTCGTAATAAAATATAATTTTCTCAGTGAAAATAAAAAGTACATTACGGGAAAAAAATCTGTGGTGTTTTTTACAAATTTTTGTTTGTCCTTTTATAGACAAGTGGACTTTTAATTAGAATGATTAGAGTGAGGAAATGAAGGCCTTGTACTTAGCTTAAATCCTTAAATCTCTGGGTTCCGTTAGTTCAGTAAAAATTAATGACAACTATAAACAAAATTTTATTCTATACATTATCTTACTAATCATATTTTAATAAGTGCTAGGCAAATATTGTTTTTCAGAAGATTGTTTTTCTGTTTTTTATACTATTCTTGGGACACTTATAATATTCTTGGGACGCATATACTCCCATGGACGCGTATTCTAGGTGTGAGACGATAGGTGAGAGTAAAGAGTATTATGAAATTTTGTCGTGCTTTTTTTTGTTTTAATTTTTTTATCAAAGGAGGGCGGAAGGTGACAAAGTGCAAGCCTTTAGATTATTGTACTATAATAAATATACAAACTACAAATTATTCCATTTCATAATCAGAGAAAAATCAACAGACAATTCTAAAGTGTATTCGACAAGTCTATTATATTGTCTAAATACATTGTGTAATTTTATTTCATAACACGTTACATGTAGTTTTCTCACTGAGACGAAAGTGCATTACAAAATTGCACTTCCGTCGACATTAGTAAGGACAAAATATTCCATTTCTTAATTAGAGAAAAATAAACAGGTAATTCTAAAGTGTATTCGAGGGAAAAGATTAAATAAAAATCTAAAAAAAGAATGCGCCACACAAACTTCATTCACGTGCATTCCCGCTATTGAAACAATCATTGAAATGAAAGTTCAGTGTGATAATTTTTTAAGAAGTTTTGAAGAAAGGCCCAAAGCGGAACCCATACAGACTCGGGTGAAGCAAAATGCATCCGAACGTCTAAGACACACGGCAACTTAGGAAATAATTGAAACGTAAAATTCTGATAGGAATGCTCGAAAGTTTATACCGAGTTGTTTAATGTTTACAATTTTTAATCTACTCTGAATAATTTAAAAGTGTTATTTTTTTCAAATATATTTCTTTTTTAATAAAAATCCTCATCTTCGCCCTCAGGTTTCTTGTTCAGGTCAAAAGGATACACATTTAAATTTATCTGATTCATGTTTGCCTCTTCAACCACCGATTGATTTTGCTCATCCAAATTGGTTTCTTTTTCGCTACATTCTTCCTCCTCTTGGTTCAAAAGATTTCCTTCTTCATGCTGAATGCCCTCTTCATAAACGATTGGCAATTTACCTTTATCTCTAAAATCATTCCGAACAAAAGAACTTCCTTCATTATTATCAGAATGAACATTCCCTACTTGTGGATCAACATTTTTTAAGTTTTCTTTTTTATTTTTCATCTTTTCTCGGTATTTTCGATTCCGTTCTCGCTCCTTTTCTTTATTATTTTGATAGTAATTTCGATTAGTTTCTCGTCTCTTTTCCTTATTGTTTAGACGGTATTTTCGATCCCATTCTAGCCTCTTTTCTTTGTTATTTTTGTAGTAATTACGCGCACTTTCTCTTATTTTTTCTTTAGATTTTTGGTAGTAATTTCGAATGTATTCACGCATCTTTTCTTTATTTTTTGAATAGTAATTTCGATTCCGTTCTCGCTTCTTTTCTTTGTCATTTTTTTCATATCCTCGAATTTGAGAATTGATAGATGGTTCTGCATCATCGTTAATAGATAAATCCTTTGAGGTCTCCTTAACTCGAGTTAACTCGTTTTTCTCCTTATTATTTTTAACAGAATCAATCAAATTCCATAATAGCCCATTTAATATAATAATTATTAAAATACTAAAAAGTTGCATTCTAAATTTAAAAATTTTATTTAAAATATTTTATTAACCAAAAGTTATAAATTTTAATGTAGAATTGAACTTAAATAATACATAGGTGAAAATAGTAAACATATGTTTCTTAATAAAATATAATTTTCCCAGCGAAAATAAAGTACATTATGGGGAAAAATCTGTGGTGTTTTTTTCATCTCTTTTTTAATTGTCCTTTTATAAACAAGTGGACTTTTAAGTAAAATAATTATTGGAGTGAGGAAATGAGGGCTTTGTAATTAGCTTAAATCCTTAAATCTTTAGGTTCCGTTAGATCAGAAAAACGTTAATGACAACTATAAACAAAATTTTATTATATACATTTTCTGACCAATCGTATTTTAATGTCCTAGGCAAGTAGTGTTTTTCCTAAGATTGTTTTTCTACTGTTTTCTTAATTATTTTTGGGATGCTTATAATATTCTTGGGACGCATATACTTCCATGGACGCGTATTCTAGTTGTGGGACGATATTCTCTAAAGAAACAGCTATAGTGAGAGTAAAGGGTATTTTGAAATTTTTTCATCCTTTTTTGTGTTTTAATTTTTTTATTAATGAGGAGGGGGTGACAAAGTGCAAGCCTTTAGATTATTGTACTATAATAAATATACAAACTACAAAATATTCCATTTCTTAATCAGAGAAAAATCAACAGAAAACTAAAGTGTATTCGACATGTCGATTCGATTGTTTAAAACGTTGAGAATTGACAGAAGAAATCAAAAGAAATAAATTTCTATAAAATAAAATTAAATCAGCAATTAACAAATATTTAAGTCACATATACCCGCATACCCCAAACAAGTAACTGAATTGTCGGTCGCAGCCAAATCATATAGGTAAATTTATATATAAAAGCACCTTATGGCATAACAGAAAATCAGAAATGATCGAAATTTTATACAAAGTTTTTAAAGTTTTAAAGTTTTACAAATCTCTAATCTACTTATAATATTTTAACATTTTTTAAAAATATATTTTTTATAAATCGTTCTCATCTTCGTCCCAAGGTTTCTCATTTAAATCAAAAGAATTTTTATATTTGATCTCAGGTTTCTTGTTTAGATCAAAAGGATATTCATTTAAATCTATCTGATTCATATTTGCCTCTTCAATCTCAGATTGATTTTGCTCATCCAAATTAGTTTCTGTTTCGCTACATTCTTCCTCCTCTTGGTTATAATGATTTTCTTCTTCAGACCGAATGTCCTCTTCATAAACGATTGGCAATTTACCTTTATCTCTAAAATCATTTTGTATATTAACAAATGAAGTTTCTCCAGTATCTGAACCAACATTCTGTAAACCTGCCTTTTTATTTTTTCTTCTTTCTCGGTATTTCCGATTACATTCCCTCCTCCTTTCTTTAGTATTTTGGTAGTAATTCCGTTCATTTTCTCGGATCTTTTCTTTATTAGCTTCTCGATATTTTCGATAATATTATCGTTTCTTCTCTCTATTATTTTGGTAGTAATTTCGGAAACTTTCTCGTTTTTTTTCTTCATTTTGGATGCATTTTCTATCATATTCCTTCCACTTTTCCTTATTATTTTTATAGTAATTTCGAAAGTATTCTCGATTCTTTTCCTTATTGTTTTGACGGTAAATTTTCATATATTCACTTTTATTAAACTTTTTTCCATTACCTTTACTTGTGTTCTTTTTTGTGATTTCTTCATTTTTTTGAATTTGAGGTTCGACAGAAGATTCCACCCCACCGCCGCTAGTTAGATCCTTTGATGCTTCCTGAACTTTATTTTGTTGCTTGTTGTGTTTAACAGAATTTCGCATTGAAGATTAAAATTATTAATATACCGACAAGTTTCATCCTAAATTAATTTTAAAAATTTACTTAATATATTAATTTTATTTACTTTGATTTAATAAAAAATTTTAAATTTAAGTGTAATATTAACATATATAAGCAATATAAAGGGAAAATACATTGTGTAATTTTATTTCATAACACGTTACATGTAGTTTTCTCACTGAGACGTAAGTGCATTACAAAATTGCACTTCCGTCGACATTAGTAAGGACAAAATATTCCATTTCTTAATTAGAGAAAAATAAACAGGTAATTCTAAAGTGTATTTGACAAATCGATTGTTTAAAACATTGAAAATTGACAAGAAAAATCAACAGAAATAAATTTTTTTAAATAAAATTAAAGTCAGCAATTAACAAATATTTAAACCACACATATACGCATATCTCAAACCAAGTAAATGACTATCAAGTTTTATCCAAAATTAATTTAAAAATTTATTTAATATATTAATTTTATTTAATTCTAATTAATCAAAAATGATAAATTGTTGAAGCCCAATTATGAAAGATGGGCTCAAATTAAAAAAAAAAGGAAAAAATTAAAATAAAGAATAAATATTTGCAAAAGAAGGGGGGAAGATTAAATAAAAATCTAAAAAAGGAATGCGCCACACAAATTTCATCACGTGCATTCCCGTGATTGAAACAATCATTGAAATGAAAGTGAAGTGTGATAATTTTTTAACAAGTTTGAATGAAAGGCCCAATGCGGAACCCATACAAACTCGGGTGAAGCAAAATGCACACCACAACTCAACTTAGTATATAATTGAAACGTAAAATTGTGATAGAAATGCTCGAAAGTTTATACAATGTTGTTTAATGTTTACAATTTTTAATCTACTCTGAATAATTTAAAAGTGTTATTTTTTTCAAAAATATTTCTTTTTTAATAAAAATCCTCATCTTCGCCCTCAGGTTTCTTGTTCAGGTCAAAAGGATAATATTTCTCATTCAAATCTATCTGATTCATGTTTGTCTCTTCAACTACGGTTTGATTTTGCTCATCCAAATTGGTTTCTGTTTCTCCATATTCTTGCTCCTCTAGGTTAAAATGATTTCTTTCTTCATGCTGAATTCCCTCTTCGTAAACGATTGGCAATTTACCTTTATCTCTAAAATCATTCCGAACAAAAGAAGTTCCTTCATTATTATCAGAAGGATCGTTGCTTCCTTCAGAATGAACATTTTGTAAATCTGCCTTTTTATATTTCCTACTTTCTCGATATTTCCGATTCCGTTCTAGCTCCTTCTCTTTATTATTTTGATAGTAATTTCGATTAAGTTCTCGTCTCTTTTCCTTATTGTTTAAACGGTATTTTCGATCCCATTCTCGCCTCTTTTCTTTGTTATTTTGGTAGTAATTACGCGCACTTTCTCTCATTTTTTCTTTAGTTTTTTGGTAGTGATCTCGAATGTATTCTCGCCTCTTTTCTTTATTATTTTTCCGGTAAATTTTCATATATTCTTTTCTATTACTGTCATTTTTTGTAATTTCTGGTTTTACCGTTTCTTTATCTTTTTGAATTTGAGAATCAACCGATGGTTCTGCCTCATCGTTAAATATTTTATTTAAATCCTTTGAGGTCTCCTCAACTCTAGTTGACTCGTTTTTCTCCTTATTATTTTTAACAGAATTAATTAAACTCCAAAATATCGCATTGAATGTGATAATTATTATAATAATAATAGGTTTCATCCTAAATTAAAAATTTTTATTTTAAATATTTTATTAACTAAAAATTATAAATTTTAATGTAGAATTGAACTTAAATAATGCATAGGTGAAAATAGTAAACATATTTATGTTTCGTAATAAAATATAATTTTCCCAGCGAAAATAAAGTGCATTACGGGAAAAAATATGTGGTGTTTTTTTCAAATTTGTCTGTTTTTTGTTTGTTTGTCCTTTTATAGACAAGTGGACTTTTAAGTGAAATGATTAGTGGAGTGAGGAAATAAGGGCTCTGTACTAGCTTTGAAACTCTATTTGACAAATTCTGATCCTTATTAGTTTTACCAGAATTAAACTCCAAAATATCGCATTGACGATTAGAATTATTAAAATACTATCAAGTTTCATCATAAATTAATTTTTAAAAATTTATTTAAAATATTATTTTATGTATTACTAATTAACCAAGATAATTAAATTTATTGAATTTAAATAAGCAATATAGATGAAAAAAACACATTGGGAAAATTGTTTTACGCTTTATAATAAAAAATAAAAAGTGCATGTACAATTAAAGGAAAGTGCATTTAATATTGTATTTAAACAATTAATATATGTAAATGAAAATAGTGTAAATTATATTTATATTTTGTATTAACAAGCAATATATTTATCATTGAAATGATAGTGCAGTCTGATAGATTTTTAAGAAATTTGAGAAAATACCCAAAAGCGAAACCCATACAGACTTGATAGAAGGTAATGAAAAATGAAATTCTGATAGGAATGATTGAAAGTTTATACAAAGTTGTCTAAAGTTTTTCAAATATATCTCTTTCTTAACAAACATCTTCATCTTCGTCCTCAGGTTTCTCGTTCAAATCAAAAGGATACTCATTCAAATCTATCTGATTCATGCAATTCTCAGGAATTTTATTTGGCTCTTCTACCACAGTTTGGTTTTGCTCATCCACACAAGTTTCTGTTTCGTCTTTACTTTCTTCCTTTTGATAAGAAGGATTTCCTTCAAAATGTATGTTCCCTTCGTAAACAATTGGCAATTTACCTTTATTTCCAAAATCCTCATTCTGTGAATTTTCAAAAGAAGTTCCTTCTTTATTATCAGAATGAACATTTCTTTCCTTAAAATAAACACTTTCTAACCCTGCTTGTTTATTTTGCATTTTTTCTCGATATTTTCGATTCCATTCGCTCTTCTTTTCCTTATTATTTTCTATGTAATTTCGGTTATATTCTAGCCTTTTCTCATTAATCTTTTTCTTATTATTTTGATAGTATTTTTGATCATAATCTCGCTTCTTTTCCCAATTATTTTGATGGTAAATGCGTTTTCTTTCTCGAATTTTTTCCTTATTATTTTGGTAGTACTTTCGGCTAATTTCCCTCCTCCTTTCTTTACTGATTATTTTTTTGCCTTTATTTTCAATTGGTTTTAATACCCCTTCAGATTTTTGAACCGAAGATTCTGCCTCATCGTTAAACATTTTAGTTAAATTTTTTGAGGTCTCCTCAACTCTAGTTAACTCATTTTTATCTTTATTATTTTTAAAAGAATTAATTAAACTCCATAATATCGCATTGAAGATTAAAATTATTAATAGACAATCAAGTTTCATTATAAATTAATTTATTTAAAAAATAATTTTAAATATTAATTTTATGTCTACTAATTATTCAAAAATGATAAATTTTCCTTTAATATTGAATTTAAATAATATGACATAGGGCAAACTATTCCGTAATAAATATTTCGTATGAGGGTTACGAATTTTTTGGGTTACGAATTATGGTTACGAAGATACCGGAAAAAATTCCGAATTACGAAAATAAAAAATAAAAATTACGAAAAAATCTCTTGTACTTTGAGAGATTTCTCTTTGAGAGAATTTTTTTCAAATTAATTTTTTATTCTTGTAATAGACATGTGAAAAATTTTTTTCATAATACAATACACATACTTTTCCCATTAAGGGGCGTAATATAATATAATTTTCTCATAGAAAGGTCATTATTACATTGCGGAAAATTTTTTGCCGACATGTCATCATCATATGTCATCTTATTATATAATCGAGAAGTGTTTGTCTGTCTGTTTTTGTTTGTTTGCCCTTTTATAGACAAGTGAACTTTTAAGTTAAATGTTTAGTGGAGTGAGGAAATAATGGCTTTATAGTAGCTTTGCAACTTGGAATATTTTCTCAAATTGTGAAGAATTAATGAAAAGTATTAACGTCTTCTATACATTTAGTGAACGAGAATTGAAAATAGATCATAATACAGTCGTTGACTGATTATTCGAGGTGTATATGCTGGAAACATCAGCAAACCTCGCATTAATACATTCTTATTTTCTGTAAGATTCCTGTTTTTAAGGATCGATATAATATTTTTGAAATGGGTCGCTTTTCATAAGACGCGAAACTTGAAATTTTATGCTTGAAATTTTATACTGTTTACTACAAAGTTGTTTAAAATTATAAAATTATTTTTTAATCGGTCTTTGAAAATTTTTTTTTAATCGGGTTTTTTCAAATATATCTCTTTCTTAACAACTATCTTCAACTTCGTTCTCAGGTTTCTCGTTCAAATCAAAAGGATAATATTTCTCATTCAAATCTATCTGATTCATGCAATTCTCGGGAATTTTATTTGGCTCTTCTATCACAGTTTGGTTTTGCTCATCCATATAAGCTTCGTCTTTGTCTTCATCCTCAGGTTCCTCGTTCAAATCAAACGGATATTCATTCAAATCTATCTGATTCATGCAATCTTCACGAATTTTCTTTGGCTCTTCTACCAGCTTTTGATTTTGCTCATCTACATAGTTTTCAGTTTCGTCTTTGTTACATTCTTCCTTCTCTTGATTAGAACGATTTTCTTCTTCATACTGGATATTATCTTCATAAACGATTGGCATTTTACCTTTATTTCTAAAATCATCATTCTGTTTATTAGCTAAAGAAGTTTCTCCATTATCAGAATAAACATTTTGTGAACTTGCTAGTTTATTTTTCCTTCTTTCTCGGTATTTTCGATTCTTTTCTCGCTTCTTTTCCTTATTTTTTTGGAAGTATTTTCGTTCAGTTTCTCGCCTTTTTTCTTTATTTTTCTGGCAGTATTTTCGGACACTTTCTAGAATCTTTTCTTTGTTGTTTTGGTAGTATTTTCGACCTAGCTCTCGCATTTTTTCGTTATTATTTTGCCTGTATCTTTTCATATACACTCTTCTCTTTAACTTTTTTTCTTCATTACCCATAGTTGTCTCCTTTGAAATTTTAGATTTTGGTTTGAACAGTGGAATTTGGGGATCGACCAATGATTCTGCCCCTTCATCAAACATCTTATTATTAGTCAAACCCTTTGAGGTCTCCTCAACTCTTGGCAACTCCTTTTGATCTTTATTATTTTTAACAGAATTAATCGAACTCCATAATATCGCATTGAATATTAGAATTATTAAAATTCTAATAGGGTTCATCCTAAATTTAAAATTTTTAAAAATATTTTATTAACCAAAAATAAAATATTTCTAAATATTTTTAAGTATTTTTATATTAATAAAAATATATTATTTTTATATTTTTATATTAATTTATAATAAAATATTTTTAAGTCTGTCTGTTTTTTGCTTGTTTGTCCTTTTATAGACAAGTTTAAGATATTAGTTTATTCACTATTAATTAACCAAAAATATAAATTTTAATGTTAAAGAATTAAATAATACATAAGTAAAAATATATATTTCTTAATAAAATATAATTTTGTCGATGAAAGGAAAGTAATTGGGAAATTTTTTTGTTCAGATGATTAAGCCTGGGAAGAGGATAATAACCCAGAAAAGATCAAATCATCTCTGTTTGTGTGTTTGCACTTTTATAGACAAGTCTCTTTTCTGTTTTTTCTAAGGACATGTCCGCATGCCCCCCCCCCTCCAATATAAAATACGTAAACCACGCCAATGCTTTCGTGGACCTTTACCTTGACTTTATAAGTCAGGGTGAAGGTCCACGAAAGCATTATCGCTTTCTGGAACCCAAAATATATGCTACCGAAAAATCGTTTTAGCATAGAATAATCCTGTTTTGTGTTAATAAAGGTTTGTATTCTCATTTCAACCACTTACCTGTCACAAAACACAGGAAAAATCATTGTGGGGTTTTACCCCAGACTTGTGTAGTTAGTTAATAGTGTCGAGTAAATGATTTTGTTTTCGAAAGCGCCTAGCTTAATTCGTTAATCATTGGTTCGGATAGATAAGCAAAAACATGATGGAGCAATTAAAAATTATTTAAGTCACGCACACTGCAACTATCTAAAACAAATGAAAGAAATGTCGGCCACAGCCTACTCATTCCAGGCCGATGGTCGAGAAATGTTTGGCAAATTAGACATACCGCTCTTAGGGCATAAAAGAAAATTTAATTTCTGATCAGTACTCGAAATTTTATACAAAGTTGTCTAAAGTTTTACAATTCTTTAATTTTAACATTATTTCTTTCTTCAAATTTATTTCTTTTTAGCAAACATCTTCATCTATGTCCTCAGGTTCCTCGTTCAGATCAAACTGATAATATTTCTCATTCAAATCTATCTGATTCATCTTTGCCTCTTCTACCACAGATTGATTCTGCTCTTCCACATAGTTTTCAGTTTCGTCTTTGTTACATTCTTCCTCCTCTTGGTTAAAATGATTTTCTTCTTCAGACCGAATGTTCTCTTCATAAACGATTGGCAATTTACCTTTATTTCCAAAATCGACATTCTGTGTATTAACAAAAGAAGTTTCCCCATTATCAGAATGATCATTTTGTAAATCTGCCTTTTTATTTTTCCTTCTTTCTCGGTATTTTCGTTGCCTTTCTCGCTTCTTTTCTTTGTTATTTTGGTAGTATTTTTGGTTCCTTTCTCGCTTCTTTTCTCTATTTTTTTGGTAGTATTTTCGTTCAGTTTCTTTCCTCTTTTCTTTATTATTTTGGTAGTATTCTCGATCATATTCTCGCTTTTTTTCCTTTTTATTTTGAAAGTAATCTTTTATATTCTCATTTTTCTTAAACTTTTTTCCTTCGATACCTATAGTTGTGCCCTTTGCAATTTTGGATTTCGGTTTTACCGTTTTTTCATATTCTTTAATTTGAGGATCCGCCGATGATTCTACCCCATCGTTAAATGGGGTAGAATTCTTTGAAGTCTCCTCAACTCTAGTCAACTCCTTTTTCTCTTTATTATTTTTAACAGAATTAATTAAACTCCAAAATATCGCATTCAAGATAATAATTATTAAAATATTAATAATTTTCATCCTAAATTTAAAAATTTTATTATTAAACTATTAATTTTATTATTAAATAAAAATTACACATTTTAATGTAGAATCGAATTTAAATAATACATAAGTGCAAATATCTGTATGTTTCATAATAAAATATAATTTTCTCACGGAAATTAAAGTACATTACGGGGAAAAAACATGTGGTGTTTTTTGAAATCTGTCTGTTTTTGTTTGTTTGTACTTTTATATGTAGACAACTCTTTCTTGTTTCCCTAAAAACTCTTACTAACATGAGCATTCTAAACAGAATATATCTACCAAAAAATCTTTTTAACAGAAAATAATCTCTTTTTTAGTAATGAAGGGTTATATTAATAAAGTGTTAGACATTAAACACATTAACCACACTACATACACATATAAAAAATTTAAAAAATTCAAATAAGGCAAGAAGCAAAACCCATCCAAAAGCAGTTGGATTTCGCCATGTAACCATTGTTTGTTTCGTCTGGCAGAATTTACAGGATGTCTTCTATTGTTTCTTGTGAACGCAAATTGAAAATAAATAGTCGTTAACTGGAAGAAATATTTGAGGAACTGTTTAAGGAAGAATATTACTATTGTTGAAATAGATGAGTCGACAACACAGTGAGAGTTTTACGCCAGACTTGGATATTTGGTGAAAGTTTTCGAGTAAATGATTTTTGCAACAATATATGTTTGACTAGCTTAATTCGTTAATCATTGATTCGAATAGATCAGTAAAAACATGATGGAGGAATTAAAAATTACTCATTCCAAGCCGATGGTCGAAAAATACTTGGCAAATTAGACACACCACATCTTAGGGCAAAGAAAAAAAATTTCTGATCAGTACTCGAAATTTTATACAAAGTTGTCTAAAGTTTTACAATTCTTTAATTTTAACATTATTTCTTTCTTCAGATTTATTTCTTTTTATCAAACGTCCTCATCTATGTACTCAGGTTCCAAGTTCAGATCAAACGGATAATATTTCTCATTCAAATCTATCTGATTCATGTTTGTCTCTTCTACCACAGATTGATTCTGCTCTTCCACATAATTTTCAGTTTCGTCTTTGTTACATTCTTCCTCTTCTTGATTAGAAAGATTTTCTTCTTCATACTGAATGTTCTCTTCATAAACGATTGGCAATTTACCTTTATTTCCAAAATCCTCATTCTTTTTATTAGCTAAAGAAGTTTCTCCATTATCAGAATGAACATTTTGCAGACTTGCTAGTTTATTTTTTCTTCTTTCTCGGTATTTTCGGTCCCTTTCTAGCTTCTTTTCTTTGTTATTTTGGTAGTATTTTCGTTCCCTTTCTCGCTTCTTTTCTTTATTATTTTGACGGTATTTTCGATCATATTCTCGCTTCTTCTCCTTATTTTTTTGGTAGTATTTTCTATCAAATTCTCGCCTTTTTTCCTTATTTTTCTGCCAGTAACTTTTCATATACTCATTTTTCTTAAACATTTTTTCTTCGTTACTTATAGTTATACCGTTCTTCGCAATTTTAGATTTTGGTTTTAACAGTGGAATTTGGGGATCGACCGATGATTCTGCCCCTTCATCAAACATCTTATTAGTCAAACCCTTTGAGGTTTCCTCATCTCTAGGCAACTCCTTTTGCTCTTTATTATTTTTAACAGAATTAATTAAACTCCATAGTATCGCATTGAATATTAGAATTATTAAAATTCTAATAAATTTCATCATAAATTAATTTTAAAAATTTATTAAAAATATAATATTAACTAGGCAATTTAGTGGAAAATATAATATTAACTAGGCATTTTAGTGGAGGAAAAAAATTTAAATACTACATAGGTGAAAATAGTAAACATATTTATGTTTCGTAATAAAATATAATTTTCCCAGCGAAAATAAAGTGCATTACGAGAAAAAATCTGTTGTTGTTTTTTTTTTTTAAATCTGTCTGTTTTTTGTTTATTTGCCCTTTATACACATCTTTTTCTGGTTTTCCCAAAGTTTTCCACAAATGTGGTCTCAAATTCTCTAACAAAGAATAAGAGATGTGAACCGTTGTAGAATCATTCCCGACCGAGAGTAGAAAACTGCCGGGAAAATACTGTTAGTCCTAAGACATCTTAAAACATAATAGATTTTTGATTATATTTGGGTAAGCAATGAAATTCTACTTATACATTTCTTGAGGTAAATGATTGGCATGAAGAACAAATAAATGAGCCTCAAACTATGGATGAGGGCGGCACATCCAAAAAGTACCGGATAGGCTTCTATTAGAGATTTAATATATTTGGCTTTGCTGGCTCAGTTAAATGATATTGCGGTTTAGAATTGGAAAACGATTTTATTTACTACAAATTTATTAAATTTTACATTTTTTTAATTTATTGTGAATATTTTAACAGCTTTTCTTTATCATAAAATTGGTCCTTTTAAAAAATATCTTCGTTCTCAAGTTCCGCGTTCAGATCAAACGGATAATATTTCTCATTCAAATCTATCTGTTTCATGCAATTCTCAGGAATTCTGTTTGGCTCTTCTACTACAGGTTGATTTTGCTCATCCACATAGTTTTGTCGCGTTGCGAATATTTTCCCAATTAATCATATTTATTTTTACTTTCCGGTCGTTTATAAAAAATATTTTTTCCCAACAATTCCTAAGATTAAAGAGATAAAACTTCCTTATATAAACAATTCCTGTAAACTCTTTTCTCAGCTTTTTCTGTATCGAGTTGCTTTTTCTTTATTCAGTTCTTTTATGTGTTCATTCTTTCCTTACAGCTTAGTAATCGCACTAGCTGATTTCTCATTGCTCTTTGTTCCCTGCAGCCTTGCATTGGCTGAACTCTTTTTCCTTAAATTTTTAATTCTGCTTACTCAATAAGCTAATCTTTAACTTTTCTCTATTAATTTAAATTTGTTAATATTCTTTGTAAATAAATATTGGAAAATTCTTGTGTACTTACTGAGCCCTAGGTTTACATTCGGAATATTACTATTTTTCTTTTTTCCGACAGCTCAGCCGACTCCGAAACAACTCTTTCCTATACCCCAGCTCATTCTTTGAAGAATGTCACTTCACCTCCGTACCCAAATTTCCCTCTTGCATACAGAGGCCACTGAGTTATTAGACAATAAAAAAGAATTCCCGTCCCTCCCAGAATTGGAGGACAAACGGAAAATGAATATAAACTCATAATTGAAAGTACTTTAAATGATTTAACCGCTGAACAGGTAGAAATAGCGGAAATTTCAACGCAACTTTCTGACGTCGATGATAAATGGACAAATCTCCGTACCAATATGACAGGTAACGAACGGTTGCAGGACAACACAGAATATGATGCTTTTATAATCACTGTGCCATTTGCTCAAACAATGTCCGACCTCCGTCGGTATCTCCGTCTTTTGCGGTCTCAACGCCGCCGTTTAGAACATTTAATCCCAAAGGTGGACAATACTTTACCCGCAGCCTCTTCTTTAATCCACCTTCCTAAAACCGAACTTCCCTCATTTTCAGGGGACTGCGTCTCCTTCCTCTCGTTCTGGAATACATTTAAAGCAGGCGTCCACGACCTGCCCATTCCCGACTCAATTAAATTTACTTATTTAAAACAATGCCTTTCTGGCCCACCTCTTACTCTAATTAATGCCCTACCCGTTACTGATGGGTCATATGCTATAGCAATTGAACTATTGCGAAAAAATTATGATAACCCTACAGAAGTAGCCCGATCTTTGCACAACTCTCTTCGTAAATTGCCGCATGTACGCGGTGGAGATCACTTTTGTTCAGACCTTCGTAATCTACTGGATCAATTAGAAGGTATCTGTGTCCAAATGTCCCAACGTAATCAATCATACGACACTACCTCCTTCCAGATGGAGGTTGAAGAACGTTTACCCAGTTTTGTACTGGACGAAATTTTTAAATCTAAAGAAGTAGACCATGAATGGTCATCACTCAAGCTCAAAGAGAAGCTCCACAATATACTTAAAAGGAAGGAACAAATCGAAACCCTAACCATAAATTCCACCTCCCTTCGGAGTCCCATATCCTCTTCATCCACAAAATCACCCCAAATCTCCAGAACTCCGAATAATATCCCAACTCTCACGTTTAATACTCTAATAGAGGAAAATATTGAAAGCCCACCTATGCAGACATTGTATAATGAAGCACAACCTCGTATAACGAATTTTTCTTACCAGAGAATAAATGGCCACTCCCCTTATAAATCTTCATTCAAAAAACACAAATTAAAGCCTCCAAATAAGGAGCCTCTCGTATTTAACTCACCTTTGAAAAATCCCAAAGATACTTTTGGGTCAAATCGTTTCTCATGCCGTCCTAAATTCCAGAAAAGGAATGCAGGACATCAAATTCGTCCTCCTCTCCCTTTGGACATAAATCGTCCATACGGCCATCCTTCTTCTTATCATCAGAATCAATTTAAAAATTCCAATGTACTTAATTCGAAGCCCGGTAATATCCCTAAAATAGCAAAAAAATCCTTTTCACCAATTTTTGCTGGGCGGGAGCGCGCTCATCGCGTGTTGCCCTCGACATATAATCCCATTATTACCTACCCTGCCCCAGTTAATTATAAAAACAATTTACACCCCACTTTCAAAAACATCCCCCCTCTCATCCCCTCTCTTTTCAACAAAATTTTTCTTCCCACAGGTGTTGCTCTTCCTTCAACCTTAGGTGGTGTGTTCGCACATGGAGAATATGCATCCACTCTTCGTCCGTATCAATTCACTCCAAGGAACTCAATGATCAACTCTTATCCAAAACAACACATGTATTCTACTTATGGCTCAGTTCCATTCTGCTCATTCATCCCAATGGCCAATTATCAAACTTGTTGCTGACCCGAAGAAAAGAATATACAAATCGAAGAAAAAAATAAATAATTCAAAAACTAAAATTTTTTTTCTTCCCGCGGTTTTCCGAAAACAATTCTTACTCTTATCCGCGGAGTGTCGCGTTGCGAATATTTTCCCAATTAATCATATTTATTTTTACTTTCCGGTCGTTTATAAAAAATATTTTTTCCCAACAATTCCTAAGATTAAAGAGATAAAACTTCCTTATATAAACAATTCCTGTAAACTCTTTTCTCAGCTTTTTCTGTATCGAGTTGCTTTTTCTTTATTCAGTTCTTTTATGTGTTCATTCTTTCCTTACAGCTTAGTAATCGCACTAGCTGATTTCTCATTGCTCTTTGTTCCCTGCAGCCTTGCATTGGCTGAACTCTTTTTCCTTAAATTTTTAATTCTGCTTACTCAATAAGCTAATCTTTAACTTTTCTCTATTAATTTAAATTTGTTAATATTCTTTGTAAATAAATATTGGAAAATTCTTGTGTACTTACTGAGCCCTAGGTTTACATTCGGAATATTACTATTTTTCTTTTTTCCGACAGTTTACAGTTTCGTCTTTGTTACATTGTCTTTCCTCTTGATTAGAAAGATTTTCTTCGTCATGCTGAATGCTATCTTCGTAAACGATTGGCAATTTACCTTTATTTCCAAAATCGACATTCTGTGTATTAACAAAAGAAGTTTTCCCATTATCAGAATGAACACCTTGTAAATCTGCCTTTTTATTTTTCCTTTTTTCACGGTTTTTCGGTCCCATTCTCGCTTCTTTTCTTTGTTATTTTGGTAGTATTTTCGGTCAATTTCTCGCCTCTTTTCTTTATTATTTTGACGGTATTTTCGGTCTCTTTCTCGCTTCTTTTCCTTATTTTTTTGATAATATTTTCGGTCCCTTTCTCGCTTCTTTTCCTTTTTATTTTCCCAGTTACTTTTCATATTCTCATTTTTCTTAAGCTTTTTTTCTTCGATACCTATAGTTGTTTCCTTTGTAATTTTAGATTTTATTTTTAACACTTCTTTATATTTTTGAATTTGTGGATCCGCCGATGATTCTACCCTATCGTTAAACATCGTATCATTAGCTAAATCCTTTGAGGTTTCCTCAACATGAGTCAACTTGTTTTTATCCTTATTATTTTTGACGGAATCAATCAGATTCCATAATATCGCATTTAATATAATAATTATTAAAATACTAATAAGTTTCATCCTAAATTTAAAACTTTTATTATTAAATTATTTTATTAACCAAAAATTACAAATTTTAATGTATAATTGAATTTAAATAATATACATAAGTGCAAATAGTAGACATATTTATGTATGTTTCGTAATTAAAAATAATTTTCCCAGCGAAAATAAAGTGCATTACGAGAAAAAATCTGTGGTGTTTTTTTGAAATCTGTCTGTTTTTTGTTTGTTTATTTGTCCTTTATAGACAAATCTTTTTCTGGTTTTCCTAAAAAACTTCCCGCAAATGTGGTCACAAATTCTCAAATAAAGTGTAAGAGATGTCAACCGTTGTAGAATCACTTCCGACCGAGGGTCGAGAACTGCTGCGCAAATTCTGTTAGTCCCAAGACAACTTAGGACAAAATAGATTTTTGATCATATTTGGGCAAACAATGAATTGCTTGAGGATCTTTAACAGAATTATCGGATAGGAATATAATGGTGATTAAAATTGTAATGACGATTGAAAAAAAATCTTTATTTATTACAAATTTATTAAAGTTTACATTTCTTTAATTTACTTTGAATATTTTATCAGCTTTTCTTTCTTATAAAATTAGTCTTTTTAATAAACATCTTCGTTCTCAGGTTCCTCGTTCAGATCAAACGGATAATATTTCTCATTCAAATCTATCTGATTCATGCAATTCTCAGGAATTCTGTTTGACTTTTCTACCACAGTTTCGTTTTGCTCGTTCGTATAAGTTTCTGTTTCGTTTTCGTCACATTCTTCCTCTCCTTGATCAGGAAGATTTTCTTCTTGAGAATCATTTTTTCCTCCATTATCAGAATGAACATTTCTTTCTTCTGGATCAACATTTTGTAAATTTGCTTTTTTACTTTTCCTATTTTCTCGGTATTTTCGATTCCATTCTCGCTCCTTTTCTCTATTATTTTCTCGGTATTTTCGACGATATTCGAGCTTTTTTCCTTTATTATTTCTGTGGTAGTTTCGATCGTATTCTTTCAGTTTTTCTTTGTTTTTTTCTCGATATTCTCGACTATATACTTGCATTTTTTCTTTATTATTTGAGCGGTATTCTCGGAGATATTCTCGATTCTTTTCCTTATTATTTTGACGATATTTTCGATTCCATTCTTTTCTCTTTTCCTTATTATTTAGGTTGTAGTTTCTATTATATTCTCGCTTCTTTTCTTTATTGTTTTGCCGGTACTCTGTCAATTTTTCTTTCTTATTTTGGTTATATTTTCTATTAGACTCTCGCCTTTTTCCCCTATTATTTTGACACCACATTCTCATATATTCATTTTTATTCAACCTTTTTTCTTCTTCATCCTTAGCTGTGCCCTTTTTTTGTAATTTTTCGGTTTGGATTTAACATTCGAATTTGAGCATTAACCGATGATTCAGCTTCGTCGTTATCCTTTGAGGTTTCCCCAACTCTAGTTAACTCATTTTTATCTCTATTATTTTTAACAGAATTAATTAAACTCCAAAATATCGCATTGACGATTAAAATTATTAATATTCTATCAATTTTCATCATAAATTAATTTTAAAAATTTATTTAAAATATTAATTTTATGTCTAATAGTTATTCAAAAATGATAAATTTTCCTTTAATATTGAATTTAAATAATATGACATAGGACAAACTATTCCATAATAAATATTTCGTGCGAGTTCCATCGTAATTACGAATTACGGCGTTTTTTGGGTTACGAATTATGGTTACGAAGATACCGGAAAAAATTCCGAATTACGAAAATAAAAAGTAAAAATTACGAAAAAAATCTCTTATACTTTGAGAGATTGCTCTTTGAGAGAATTTTTTTCAACTTAATTTTTTATTCTTGTAATAGACATGTGAAAAAAATTTTTTTCATAATACAATACACATATTTTCCCATTCAGAGGAAAGTCCGTTTCAATTTTTTTTGGTTTGTAAATTACTTTTATTCGTATGCGTTTTATTCGTATGCGCTTAGCCTACTTCTGTAATTTTTTAAGGAGGAGATGATACTATTGTTGAAATAGATGAGATGCTTTTTATAAAACGTAAAAACAACGATGGAGGAGTTTTACCCCAGACTTGGATAATTGGTGACGTGTTGAGAGAATGATTTTTGTAATAGTATTTTTTTAAAAATAAAGGACAACTTAAATCGTTATCAAGAGATTCCAGATAGAGAAGTAAAAATGTTAAAGGCATAATTAACAAGTATATAAGTCACACACACTACAATTCTCAAACAAATGGATGAAATATTTGCCGCTTTCATCTTATTCCGGCCGTTGTTAATTTAACTTTATACCGCACATTCGGATTGTGTTAAAATCATGCCGCTCCACAGTATAATAAAATAATAACGAACAAAATAATAACGAAAATACACAAATTAATAACGAACCAAACTCATCTAAAACCGGAAAAATATTTCAGCTTTCCAAAAGGTACGGAAAGGCTTAAATTAGGAGATTTACTATATTTAGTTTTGCTTGCTCTATTGAATGATATGGCGATTTGAACTTTGAATAAATTTTATTTACTACAAATTTATTAAATTTTACATCTCTTTAATTTGTTCTGAATATTTTAAATCTTTTCTTTATTATAAAATTAGTCTTTTTAATAAACATCTTCGTCCTCAGGTTTCTCGTTCAAATCAAACGGATAATATTTCTCATTCAAATCTATATGATTCATGCAATTCTCATGAATTTTGTTTGGCTCTTCTACCAACGGTTTCTCGTTCAGATCAAAAGGATACTCATTCAAATCTATCTGATTCATGCAATTCTCAGGAATTCCGTTTGACTTTTCTACCAACGTTTTGTTTTGCTCATCCGTATAAGCTTGTGTTTCGTCTCTGTTATCTTCTTCCTCTTCTTGATCGGAGAGATTTTCTTCTTGAGAATCATTTTTTCCTTCATTATCAGAATGAACATTTCTTTCTTCTGGATCAACATTTTGTAAATTTGCTTTTTTATTTTTCCTTTTTTCTCGGTATTTTCGATTAGCTTCTCGCTTCTTTTCTTTGTTATTTTTATGGTATTCTTTCAATTTTTCCTTATTATTTTCTCGGTATTTTCGATTCCATTCTCGCTTTTTTCCTTTATTATTTCTGTAGTAGTTTCGACCAGATTTTGTCAGTTTTTCTTTATTATTTTCACGATATTCTCGAAAATATTCTAGTATTTTTTCTTTATTATTTGAGCGGTATTCTCGGAAATATTCTATCGTCTTTTCCTTATTATTTTGACGCCACATTCTCATATATTCCCTTTGATTAAACTTTTTTTTTTCTTTATTATCTTTAGTTGTGCCCTTTTTGTAATTTTAGGTTTTGGTTTTAACATTCGAATTATCTGAATGAACCCCATTATCTGAATGAACATCTCCTACTGTTGACTGTATATTTTGTAAATTTGCTTTTTTATTTTTCCTTTTTTCTCGGTATTTTCGATTCCATTCTCGCTTCTTTTCTTTATTATTTTGACGGTATTTTGACGGTTATTTTTGCCCTTTTTTGTAATTTTAGCTTTTGGTTTTAACATTTGAGTTTGAGCATTAACCGATGATTCAGCCCCATCATTATTCTTTGAAGTTTCCTCAACTCTAGTTGACACATTTTTATCTTTATTATTTTTAACAGAATTAATTAAACTCCAAAATATCGCGTTGACTATAAGTTTCATCATAAATTAATTTCAAAAATATATTTAAAATATTAATTTTATGTCTAATAATTAATCAAAAATAACAAATTTTAATTTAAATTAAATTTAAATAATATGACATAGGGCAAAATATTCCGTAATAAATATTACGTAATAAAATATGAATATTTTCACATTGAAAGGAAAGTGCATTATGAAATTTTCTGTACTTTTTAATTAATTTTTTATTGTGATAGACATAATAAACAGGTGAAAAGCATTCATGTTATCCTTTTAGTATTCTTTAATAAACATCTTCATCTTCGACCTCAGGTTTCTCGTTCAGATCAAAAGGATACTCATTTAAATTTATCTGTTTCACACAATTCTCGGGAATATTATTTGGCTCTTCGATCACCGAATGATTTTGGGCATCCACATAAGTTTCTGTTTCTTCCTCCTCTCGATTGATAAGATTTCCTTCTTTAGATTGAATGCTATCTTCGTAAACTATTGGCAATTTACCTTTATTTCTAAAGTTATCATTCTGTGGATTAGAAGTTCCTTCTCCATTATTATCAGGATTAACAAGTATTTTTGGACCTTGCAAGTTTTCTTTTCTATTTTTCATTTTTTCTTTGTATTTTCGAGCAGATTCTTTCTTCCTTTCTTTATTATTTTGATAGTATTTCCGTTCATATTCCCGCTTCTTTTCTAAATTATTTTCTCGGTATTTTCGCTCATATTCTCTCCTCTTTTCCTTATTATTTTGATGATACTTTCGGACAAATTCTCGATTTTTTTCCTTATTGTTTTTACGATAAATTCTCATATATTCATTTCTGTTCAACCTTTTTTCTTCTTTTTTATCATTTGTTGTGGCCTTTTTTGTAATTTTAGCTTTTCGTTTTAACATTTGAATTTGAGGATTAACCGATGATTCAGCCCCATCGTTATCCTTTGGGGTTTCCCCAACTCTACTTAACTCATTTTTATCTTTATTATTTTTAACAGAATTAATTAAACTCAAAAATATCGCATTGAAGATTAAAATTATTAATATTCTATCAAGTTTCATCATAAATTATTTTAAAAATTTACTTAATATATTAATTTTAATTAATTCTAATTAATAAAAAATGTTAAATTTAAATGTAATATTAACTTAAGTAAGCAATATAAAGGGAAAATACATTGTGTAATTTTATTTCATAACAAATTACATGTACTTTTCTCATTGAGACGGAGGTGCACTTCCGTAGATTGGAAGGAAAGTGCATTACAAAAATTTTTTTATTTTTAAATTAATTTTTTATTCTTGTAATTAATTTTTTATTCTTTACATGTGAAAAAGTTTTTTGTTATTCTTTTAGTTCTGTATTTTTTTAACAATCCCCATCTTCGTCCTTAGGTTTCTCGTTCAGATCAAAAAGATATTCATTTAAATTTATCTGATTCATGCAATTCTCGGGAATTTTATTTGGCTCTTCTACCACCTTTTGATTTTGCTCATTCACATAAGTTTCTGCTTCGTATTTGTTACCTTCTTCCTCCTCTTGACTAATAAGATTTTCTTCTTCAGACCGAATGTCCTCTTCATAAACGATAGGCAATTTACCTTTATCTCTAAAATCATTCTGTGTATTAACGGAAGTTTCTCCATTATCAGAATGAACATTTTGTAAATCTGCCTTTTTATTTTCCTTTGATTCTCGGTATTTTCGATTCCATTCTCGCTTCTTTTCCTTAGTATTTTCACGGTATTCTGCCACCTTTTCTTTATTATTTTCTCGATATTTTCTAGCATATTCTAGTATTTTTTCCTTATTGTCTTGACGATATTCTTGAGCATGTTCTTGTCTTTTCCCTCTATTATTTTTTCGGTATGCCTGATCATATTTTTGCTTCCTTTCTTTATTATTTTTTACGTAAATTTTTATATATTCTTTTCTTTTAATCTTTTTCTCTTCTTTATTATCTTTATTTTTGCCCTTTTTTGTAATTTTAGGTGGTTTTAACATTTGAATTTGAGCATTAACCGATGATTCTGCCTCATCGTTATTTTTCGAGGTTTCCTCAACTCTATTTAACTCATTTTTATCTTTATTATTTTTAACAGAATTAATTAAACTCCAAAATATCGCATTGACGATTAAAATTATTAATATTCTATCAAGTTTCATTATAAATTAATTTAAAAAATTAGTTTAAAAAATTTATTTTAAATTATTAATTTTGTTTACCACTAATAGGCCAAAAATGATAAAATTTAAAGTAAAATTAGGTCCATATTTCATAATAAAATTTACTTTTCTCATTGAAAGGAAAGTGCATTCTAATAAAAAAAGATTTTAAAATTTATTTTTTGTACTTTCCAGACAGTATGTCTAGCCAATTGTATTTCCTTACTTGGAACTTTATTTAATACTATACATAGCTGTTTATTTAAAATTTAATTTAATTAAATATGTTTTTGCCATTTCTCTAGAGAAGTGGCTAAATTTTTCTAGAAAAAAAACACTTCGCTCGCGGCGACCGTGGTCATAACAAAAGGTCATAACTTAAAATGGTCATAACTTTGGCAAATCAATTTGGGGTCATTCGACTCATCTCGTAGAGCTCTTTCGAATGAGTTATTATTTGCATATTCAAATTTTTCACATCAAAATCGAGCTTACTCCCTCCTTTGGTTTTTCAATGTTTCGGGGCTTATAACTCGGTCCAGAATCATTTCCTGAAAGCGGGAGTGGTGCGACTCAGCTCGTCGAAACGAATCGAATGACATATGTCACGTCCCGAACTTTTACCTCTGGTACACTACAGCCAAAACTCGGGCGTGTGTCCCTTTTACATTGAAAGATTACAAAATTCTTTGTATTTTTAAATTAATTTTTTATTCATGTGATAGACATAAATAGACATGTGAAAAAATTTTTTGTTATTCTTTTGGACCTGTATTTTTTTAACGATCCCCATCTTCGTCCTCAGGTTTCTCGTTCAGATCAAAAGGATACTCATTTAAATTCATCTGATTCATGTAATTCTTGGGAATTCTGTTCGGCTCTTCTACCATAGTTTGATTTTGCTCATCCACATAAGTTTCTGCTTCGTCTATGTTACCTTCTTCTTCCTCTTGGTTAAAACCATTTCCTTCTTCAAACCGAATGCCCTCTTCATAAACGATAGGCAATTTACCTTTATTTCCAAAATGATCGTTTTTTGTATTAACGGAAGTTTCTCCATTATCTGAATAAATATTTCGTAAATTTGCTTTTTTATTTTTCTTTGATTCTCGGTATTTTCGATTCCATTCTCGCTTCTTTTCTTTATTATTTTGACGGTATTTTCTACTTTTTTCTTGCAGCTTTTCCTTATTATCTTGACAATACTTTTGAAAATATTCTTGTATTTTCTCTCTATTATTTTTTCGGTATTCTTGATCAGATTCCCGCCTCTTTGCCTTATTGTTTTGCCGGTAAATTTTCATGTATTCTTTTCTATTAAACTTTTTCGTTTCATTATTACCTACAGTTGTGCCCTTTTCTGTAATTTTAGGGGTTGGATTTAACATCCTTTCAAATTTTTGAATTTTAGCATTAACCGATGATTCAGCTCCATCGTTATCCTTTGAGGTTTCCCCACCTCTAGTTAACTCATTTATTTCTTTATTATTTTTAACAGAATTAATTAAACTCCAAAATATCGCATTGAAAATTAAAATTATTAATATTCTATCAAGTTTCATTATAAATTAATTTTAAAAAATATTAGTTTAAAAATATTAATTTTGTTTACCACTAATAAGCCAAAAATGATAAAAATTTAAAGTAAGATTGGGTCCATATTTCATAATAAAATTTACTTTTCTCGTTGAAAGGAAAAGTACATTGGGATGGAAAAAAATTTTAAAATTTATTTTTTGTACTTTTAAGACAGTTTATGTCTAGCCAATTGTATTTCTTTACTTGGAACTTTAATTACTATAGCTGGTGATTTAATTTATTTTTTAATTTGATTGGATTTGTTTTTAGCCATTTTTCTGGAAATTCCCGAGTTGTTAATTTTTGGTAGAATTTTTGCTGCTGTTGGTTCTGGACTATCTTTTGGGTCTCTAATTCTTTTTATTCAAGTAAATTTTTGAAAAAAAAACAAAAAATCTAGGGATTTAGAGGGGTTATGGAGAAACCCAGCTCTACGCAGACAAGACCCGGTCTGCATTTTATAGAGATTCTCTATAGAGATCTCTATCCCCTTCAGTCACAATAAGGCCATCGATATTCCCTTAATCCCTCCAAATCTTTCGATATTCCCTTTCAAATTTGTGGGTCTTTTGGGTTAGTATGTCTTTTGGGAGAGGTCTTTTGGGTTGCAAATTTGCAAACATTAAAAAAATAAATTTTTTAAAGGAAACAACACCAACACAATTGAGAGGAACATGTAGCTTTCTGAGTGAAGGTTAATCTATAAATTGAATCAAATTTTAAAAATATTTTTCTAAGTTTCTTATATTGCTGTTAGCGTTATTGGAATGGGTATGGGAATGGATTTAATGTTGGGGAGGAATTTGTTGGCTCTTGTTGGTATTTTTTTGAATTTTTTTGAATTTTTTGAAATTTTTAAAAATTCAAAAAAAAAATTTTATTTTTAGGTTTTGGAGCCATTCCTGGCATTTTGTCTATTTTCATTGTTCTCCCGCTAAGTGAATCTCCAAAATTTTTATTATTAAATCGAAATGATAGAAAAGCAGCAATTAAGTCATTGGAATTTTATCAAGGTTAGATTGTTGTATTATTGAGTTAAAAAAATTTTTTGGGGCAGCTATTTAAAATCTATATTAAATTTTTTTTATTTTAAAATTAAACTTTTAAAAGGAATTTTAATTTTTAAAAAATTTCAAAAAAAATTTTGGGTAGAAAATTTGTTGGCGGGTATATGTAGCTGAAATAATGAAAGAAAATCTTTGAAACTTAAGTTTCCGGAACTTAATTAAAGTTATATAAATTTAAGTTCCCGGAAAAAAGAATAAATTTCCGGAAAAAGAAGTTTTCCGGAAATATTAAAATACCTAATAAACATAAGTTTACGGAAACACTAATAAAAATAGTAGAAACAAGTTTTCCGGAAGTAAGTTTCCGGAAGCTTAATAAAATAAATAGTATAAACTTAAGTTTCCGGATAGTTTAATATTTTTCTAGAAAATAATATTTTTCTAGGAAAACTTAAAAACTTAAGTTTTCCGGAACTTAAAGTAATATAAATTTAAATTTCCGGAAGTAAAAATGTTTCCGGAAACATATACCTAATAAATAATAAACTTAAGTTTTCCGGAAACATTAATTAAAATAATAGAAACAAGTTTTCCGGAAGTAGAAATGTTTCCGGAAACTTATTAAAATACCTAATAAACTTAAGTTTCCGGAAACACTAATAATAATGAAACAAGATTTCAGAAAAAATAAGTTTTCCGGAAATTTATTAAATTTACTAGGAAAACAACCAGACAATCACCAAATTGCTATAAATGAAATATTAAAAGAAGCTGATACTTGTGGACATAAAAGAAAAGAAGGGGGAGGACACCATAATATATCTTTAATTAAAGCTTTAATTCAAATATTAAAACAACCACATTTACGGAAGGCTTTTATTATTGGAACGTTGTCTTTACAAATTATTGGTGAATTTTATTAAATTTAATTTTAATGAGGGGTTGGAAATTTTTTAAAAAAATTTTTTTTTGAAAATTTTTTTCCGGAAATTTTTCGAAAGTTTTTACTAAAATTTGAAATTTTTTAGGGAATTTCTTTGGAAATTTTTTTTTAATTTTTTTCTGAGAATTTTTAAAATTATTTTTTTGAAAATTTTGTTCAAATTTTTTTTTTCGAAATTTTTTCCGAAAATTTTTTTTTGAATTTCTGAGAATTCTCAAAAAATTTTCATAAAAATTTCAAAAATTTTCAAAAAATTTTTGAAACTTGTGAAAAATTTTTTGGAAATTTTTTTAATTTTTTTTGAGAATTTTTTCAATTCTAAATTAAATTTAGCTTATTTTTCCTAATTTTTAAACAATCTTAGTTGGTATATGGCCAATAATTTACATATCTACAGATTTATTAGAAGCCCATTTTGATGCTAATGCTAGTCAAGTTAATTTTAATTAAATTAAATAAATAGAAAAATAATTCATTTACAGTATTCCTCATTTGCTTTTATTTGCGCGAATTTTGTTGCTTCAGTTATTGGGACTTGTAGTGTTGAAAAGTTATAAATTATTTTTAAATTAAATTCCGGAAAACTTAAGTTTGTAGGTTTTCCGGAAACTTATTTTCTAGAAAAATATTAAATTATCCGGAAATTTAAGTTTATACATATAGGTATTTTAATAAATTTCCGGAAACATTTTTACTTGCGGAAAACTTGTTTCTATTATTTTAATGTTTCCGGAAACTCAAGTTTATATTAGTAATTTAATTGATATTTCCGGAAAACTTAAGTTTTTAAGTTTTCCGGAAACTTATTTTGTAGAAAATATTAAACTATCCGGAAACTTAAGTTTATTAGGTATTTAAACTTTCCGAAAAACTTAAGTTTATATTATTTATTTAATTAATTTCCGGAAACATTTTTACTTGCGGAAAACTTGTTTTTATTATTTTAATTAAATTCCGGAAAACTTAAGTTTTTAAGTTTACGGAAACTTATTTTCTAGAAAAATATTAAAACGATCCGGAAACTTAAGTTTGTGTTATTTATTTTGTTAGGCTTCCGGAAACTTACTTCCGGAAAACTTGTTTCTATTATTTTAATGTTTCCGGAAACTTAAGTTTATATTAGTAATTTTAATAAATTTCCGGAAAACTTCATTTTTCCGGAAACTCTTGTTCATATTAATATTTTAATATTTCCGGAAATTTATTTTTTATTTTCCGGAAAACTTAAGTTAACGGCAACTAGGCTTAAATTAATTTTTCTTTTTCAAATTTAATTTAAAAAAGGTTTGGCCGTCGTCCAATGTTAATATGGTGTGGGATAGCAAATACATTATGTTTATGTTCTTATATTTTATTTGATAGAATGACTAGTCAAAGTAATTAAATTTTAAATTTTTTTTGAATTTAAAAAATAATTGGAAATTTTTTTGAAAATTTTTAGGCTCGAAAAAATTCTGAAAAAATTTTTTTAAGGATTTTTTGAATTACAAAAATCAGTAAAAAAATTTTTTTATCTCTAAAAAATCCTCAAAACGTTTCCGGAAACATTTTATTTTTTTTACTTCCGGAAACTCGAGTTAGCATTAATTTAACGTTTCCGGAAAACTTAAGTTTACAATATTTCATTAAGTTTACGGAAACTTAAGTACTCGAAAAAATCCTCAAAAAATTTTTTTGGAATTTTTTTAATTCGAAAAATTTTTTAAAAATTTTTAGGCCTTAAAAATAATTTTTTAAATACGGTAACTTAAGTACTCGAAAAAATTACAAAAAATCCTCAAAAATTCAAAAAAAAATTTTGGGGGGATTTTCAAAAATTTCTGAAAATTTTTTTAAAAAAATTTTTTTTAAAGGATCAATTTTCTTCGTCAACCCCCAATTTAAATATGGCTGTGTTTTCTCTTTAATAGCTTATGGAATAACTTATGGAGCTGCTCTTGGCCCAATAGCATTTTTTATCACTTCAGAACTTGTTCCCCAAAGATTTCGTTCACTTGTGCAATCTATTGTTTTTATGACTAACACGGTTTTTTTGAAAAAATTTTTTGAGAAAAATTTTTTTTGAAATTTTTTGAAAATTTTTGGAAATTTTTTAGGGATTAAAAAAATTTTTAGAAATTTTTTTGAAAAATTTATTGAAAAATTTTTGAAAATTTTTAGAAATTTTTTGGAAATTTTTTGGAAATTTTTTAGGCTCGAAAAAAATTCTAACAAATTTTTGAAAAATTTTTAGAAATTTTTTGAAATTTTTTCGAAATTTTTTTATTTTTTAGATTATCAATTTCGTCTTCTCTTTCATCACCCTACCCTTATATGTATGCCTTTAAAAATTTTTTTCTTAATTTTTATTTTTTAAATTCAGGAAATAATCGATGTCTGGTCTTTTATACCTTTGTAAATTTTTTAATTTTTTTTAATTAAAAATTTTTTTCTTCAAGATTTATCATTCCCTCAACTATTTCAATTTGTTATCTGATTAAAGAATTGCCTGAAACTAAAGGTTTTATTTTTGAATTTATTTTAAGTGCTCTTTTATTTATCCGCCTCTATTTTCTACCTTTAATTTACCTTAAGACATGTCTTCTGTCAAACTCTCTATCCGATTTTTTTCCAAGCCTTCAGTTATCACAGCGTTCTAGAGCGTTTAACACACTTATTTGTTAGGCGGGGGTTAAACTATCTAAATGATAAAAGAGAAAATTTTTTTTTGAAATTAGTCGTTGCTTCGGCAGCTCTCTGGTAGAGCTCCTATAAGCGGTGAGTGAAAGCGCCTAGCAATAACTACGAGGAGGTCGCATGTCCTGCCCGGTGGGTAACCTAGTGCTAAACTCCTTTTATAATAATCCTTTACACATCCTGTACTTCCAAAGTATCCAAATCTCCAAATTATCCCGATTAGGAACTGTCCTTAAGGGTGAGATAAACCAAAGGGTATTGACACATATTAAAATAAAATTTAAAAAAAATTTTTTAGGCCGTGAAATCCACGAAATCGTAGAACAACTCAAAAAAGGAACAAAAAAGAAAAAGAAGAGTGGAGTAATCCATCCAACAGCTAAGGGTTCTATAGCAACTGCTGATTCATCTACAACTATATCTGATGAAGAAAATGATGATATTGAAGATTTTGAGGTTTATTTTTAAAAGGAAATTTAGGGGAAATTTTCGGAAAAATTCTCGAAAATTTTTCGAAAATTTCCAGAAATTTTTTAAAAATTTTCAAAAAAAAAATTTTTTATTTCAAAAAATTTCGAAAAAATTTCAAAAATTTTTTTTAAAATTTTCGAAAATTTTTCGAAAAAATTTTTTTTGGAAATTTCAAAAATTCTCCAAAAAATTTCTTTTGAAAAAACACGGAATTTGAAAAATTTTTAATTTAAAGGAAGGCATCCCTGACATTCTTCTAGCCACAACAGGGCACGGAAAGAATTCACTAATCAAAACAGCAGCTGGAAGTATGGCTATAGCCGCTGCAATATCTAAAGTAATTGGAGGGGAACAACAGAATAAAAATAATTTGACCACAATAACTCCAATACCTGAAGAAAAGGATGAGGAGGAAGGGAAGGAATAAATCGAAGAAAGTGAAGGATTTGAAGATTTTTTTCTATATTAGAGGTTTAAATTTGTAAATAATTAATTGTATAGTAGTTGGGGCAAGGGCGTAGCCAGTCGAGCTTCTGGGCCCAGAAGCCCCCCCCCCTGAAATTGGGAAAATGAAAAAATTTTAGGAGCCAAAGCAAACGCCGAAATTTTTGGCGCACACCACATCTTGGCCCCCCTTCCTTGAACGACCTTCTGGCCACGCCCTTGAGTTGGGAATAGAGTTGGATCGAAATGTTGATTTTTCAACAATTCGGGATTTTTTTATTTTCGAATTAAATTTCGATCATTTTCTAATTTTTGATCCAGCCCTGTTTGAGGATTGAATATTTGGGGATAGATTCTGTGAGAGACTCTTGTAGAATAGTTAATCTATAGTTTCGGGACTGACTCGGAAAAAGATTTCTTAGAGACCTTTCTCCTATGTCTGTCCTCAGACTGTACACCAAATTTCTTGTGGGATCAAATGTCATCTAATAGTAAATTAAGGTTTATATAAATCTACTGATTAGTGGGGGATTTTTTTGGAAATTTTCGATTTGTTTGACCCTCATAAATTTCTTTTTTTCTAGCTTTTCTAGTTTTTTTTTAATTTTTCCGCAAAAATACTGTCTATATTTTCGGAGCAGTTCAACTGAGTCCGCACGATTGAGTCCCCACGATTGAGTCCGCACGATTGAGTCCCCCTTGTATATACCTCAATTGAGTCCCCGTGGATTTAATAAGTTTAAAATTTCCATATCCGGCATGCGGGATTATTCCAAAATTTCTATTTTTAAGGTATAAATGCCGGACAGACCACCTGTGCACCCCTGCTGCACCCCACATACCCTCCGTAGCAGCACAAAACAGTTTTCCAGCGCAGATTCAGTTGGTCATAACTTTGTTCAGAATCATTGAATCAAGTTGATTTTGATGTCATTCGACTCAGCTCGTCGAGCCCTTTCGAATGAGGTATAATTTAATATCCGAATTTTTTGTCCCCAAAATTCCCCCGTGGATTTGACCATTTCGAGCCCCATATCTCGGCGAGAACCATGTTGATTTTTGTGTCATTCGACTCAGCTCATTCGAATGAGCTGTCATTCAAAAAATCTCTCGATATCTCTCCTAATCCCCAAATCCACAATATCCACCCATATCCCCCTTAATCGCTTAAATCTACTTATATCTCTTAATATTCACCGATATCCAACTTGATCCCTCGATATCACATACAGGTCCCCTGATGTTCACTTTAATCCCCCCAAATCCCCAGATATCCCTCTTAATCCTTTTTAATATAAATAAATCCACGGGGACTCAATTGAGGTATATACAAGGGGGACTCAATTGTGCCGGGACTCAATCGTGGGGACTCAATTGTGCCGGGACTCAATCGTGGGGACTCAATTGTGCCGGGACTCAATCGTGGGGACTCAATCGTGCGGACTCAATCGTGGGGACTCAATCGTGCGGACTCAATTGAGGTGTACCGCTATATTTTAAATTAAATTTAATAAACATAATGCCAATTTTATTTTTTTAATTTATTGATTTTTCTAAAAATGGGATGATTCATCGTTTTTCTAATACTTTTTTGTTTTTTTTTGACGTTAATCTCTTTTTTAGCTTATTAACATTTCTTTTTAACATTATTTGCCCTTTAATGGATGGATTAGCAAAACGAAGTTCACGCCGTTCTTTGTTCGGTTCTGGACGGGCGCCTGAGACGGACGAATGGTTAAAAGGTTTGTTTTTGTGTAGAATACTTTTAAAATTTATTTTGGTGATTTTTAGAGTTGGAAAACAAAAATATGGAAGAAAAAGTAAAAAAATGGAACTTTGATTTTCGGGAAGACAAACCTCTGGATACTAATGAAACTTCGACTAGTCATGTTTACGAGGCGGTGAACGAGGAGAAGGTTTGTTTTTGGAAAGTTTGGAGGGAAGGGGATGTCACGGGGTACATATGGCCTGAACACGGGCCCTTCTTGACCTGAAACCGGTCCAAAAAATGTTTCGAAAACCCAAATACGAAACCTTGACTTTTAGTTTTGAGACCCGACCCGATAAAGTTTCAAAGACCTAAACAAAACCCTGACTTTTGGACCCAGAACCGATCCCAAGTAAATGTTCGAAAACCTCATCACGAACCTCTGACTTTTTGGACTCAAAACCGGCCCTGAGAAATTTTTGAAACCCCACCCCGACTGCTTTTCTCATTCCATGGCATCCCTAATTATAAATCAAAATATTACTTTAAAAATTTTAGGTCCCTTCATTTTACCATGCAAAGACTGTTGGAGCTTCTGGTGTTTCTCGTTCATTATTTATTCATCCAGCAAAGGTTACTAAGCAATCAAATTTGAAAATTGTACATGAAAAAGTGGTTAAAACAACAATTAGTTCAAAGGCAAAAGAATGTATTCCATCCACTAGTGAATTGAATGATGCACACGAAGAAGAGGTTTTTAATTTTTAAATAAAATTTTTAATGTTAGAGAGGGGTCGAGTAACCATTGTCCTTCAAATTTAAAGTTGGGATTTTTTGTCATCCTTATTTTTAAGGGATTGGATTATTTGAAAATTCATATTTTTCCTTGAATTTTGTGGAAGTCCGAAACGCGTAAAAAACTATTTTTAACCAAGAGAACATCAAGAAGACGTGGGCTGGATCACTCTCTCACCATCCTTCTACATATATTGAGAGAAGGATGATGGGGAAAGTGAATTTTTCGCTTATGCCATTCCACTTCCACAATTTTTGCCTAAGGGTTGGGGTACCATAGATCGAGATTTTTGAAAAGACTGGGCCTTTTTCTTGGTTCTGGGTTTGATTTATTGCCTGCGCCGGATCATAGGCCTGTACCATAAAAACCCCAGGAAGGTCGAAAAATGCTTAGGACTGGACTCTGGGTACAGAAAAAACCCAGGGGTTGGTCCAGACCCAGCTCGATCTTTAGTTGGTACTAAGTTTGGCGGATAGCTGGAAATCTTCGGATATCCGGATCCGGTATCCAATCCGAAAATTTCGGATATCCGGATCCGGTATCCGAACCGAAAATTTCCGGATCCGGTATCCGAACCGAAAAATTTCCGGATATCCGGCCTTTTTTCGGATCCGGATATCCGGATCCGCCAACCTTAGTTGGTACCATAAGGTAGGACATAAATTCCAAATTTTGAGATTTTCATATTCCATCTTTAAATAATTTTTACTCATTTTTTTCAGAAGCCAACAACAGTTTCAACATCAACATTGCCCTCTTCTTCAACTTCGCTTCCAAGCCCTCACAAGCGTTTACGCAAAGCTCGACGTAGTGAAATTACTCCGCAAAAGAGGAAAAAAGTTGTTGCGACTTCAACAACTGGGATTGGTAGGAAGCGGGCTAAGAGAGGAATTAAAATGGAGAAGGATGGTTGAAGGTTGAATTTTAAGAAAATGAATTTTGTTAAGACTTTTTTAGGTGTTCAGTTATGTTCCTAGTCCGCAATTTTTAATTGCAAGTCGAATATTTCTATTACTGATTATTTTGTGTAGCCAGGCCCGTAACCATGGGGTATGGGCGAATTCCCCCCCCCCCTCGAAATGGGGAAAAGGAAAAAATGGGGAAGTGTTTGGGCAAAAACCCTTAATACCAAACCACTAAAACCGTCGAAATACCAAACTGGAATTGAGGACTGTGGTAACAAAAATTGAGGACTGTGGTAACATAACTGAGAAGACTTCAAATTACTAGTATCAAAAATTGGGAAGAAAAAGGCATTCACTAAAAATTAAAAAAAAATTTTTTTTTAATTTTTTGAAATTTTTTTTTTATTTTTAGGCCTTTTATTAAAATAGTATTATTATTTTTATTATCCCCTGGTGTGCATTATAAATTTAATAATCACTTTATTATTACCAGAAAATTACTCTTTTTAAAATTCCATCAAAATATTTACCTATACTTTTTTCTACTTTACAATTTATATATCTATTGTCCGCAAGTTTTGTCCGCAAAAATTTTATTTTTTCCTTTTTCTCTTCTTTTCTTTTAAACGTGCAAAAATATTCATTAAATTTTTGTCATTTCTTTTTTAAATTAAAAAAAGTTCTATTTTTTGTTTTACTCGATTTTTTTGTTCAAAAAATTTTTAAAAATTTCCGGAATTTTTCAAAAAAATTTTTTTCTGGGAATTTTTAAAAATCGAGTAATTCATACTCTTATAAAATCTCATTTATTCATGCCATTTTTTATTCATTCTTATATTCCGAGACTCGTTGTAATATCAAACACCGAAATACCAAACAAAAGCCGCTGCAGTTTGGCATTTCAACGGTTTTTGGCTACTTGTGTCGTTTACACCCCATAGGCCCCGCCCTATGCCCTATTTTCCTTTTCTTTATAAGAAAATGTCTATGAAAATATTGACCCAAATTATATTTTATTGGAAGAGGAGTGAAAGAAAAGGATGAAAGAATAAGGGGCGGGGCTTATGGGGGGTAAACTACACAAGTACCTTGTAGGGTTAGTATTTCGACGTTTTTGGTATTATAAATTAATATAACCTTATATTCCACTCATTTACTTAAAGATACACTTGCCTTTGTTTAATTTATTCAAGAAATTTGTTTTTCCATTGTCCGCAAATTTTTGCATTGTCCGCAAATTTTGTCCGCAAAAAATTTTTTTTTAATTTTATAGAATAAAAATGTTTGTATGAACTAGTAAATAATTTTTATATATCAATTACTTTATTTTTAATATTTTTAAAATAGAAAGAAATATATTTTAATGCTTTTTAAAATATTTTAGGTTTATTGAGTAGCTGAAATTTGAGAAGCCAACAAAAGCAAGAAGACGTTAAAATTGGAGGAGTGTTCTGTTAAATCAACTTTATTGAGTCATATGGATATGTGAATAGGTTTTTTTAAATTTTTTTTGTTTTTAATTAAACATCGATTTTACATGCTCCGTCATTTTAAGGTCAATGTGGGAGGTGGAGTGCCTAAGGGGCCCATAGTTTACCTTGATTTCTTTAAGCTTTTGGAGTGGGTGTATGTTAAATCGATTGGCTTCTAATAAGCGGGTAATAGTTTTTTGAGAATCGGGTTCTGTTTTGCATCCGACTTGCCCTAGACGGCCCCGTCTTAATCTCCCGTCTTATTGTTAGGCATCGGCCCATTGCTTAACTGTCGGACTCAACCGACCCCATTCGTGAAAATTTAGTCCCAGGTTTTTCTCTGATTTCTTTCTATTTTTCGTAGACACTCCTTAAATAACATTGTATATTTTCTTCTCCCTACTCTCTTTTTTAAAATATTTCAATTGATATTCTCATTTTGATTGTTTAAGAGCTTAAAAGCTTTCGATAACTTTTTTTAATTTTTTTAGTTAGTTTTAGCCATTTTTAGAAATTAATATTGCGATAATCCCCTCTTCATTTCAAAATCCTTTCCCACAATTTTTTAAATTTTTTTTCTCTATTTTTACTTTATTTTTTAAATTTTTTTTCTGCCTTTTTTTGCTGCTGGGCAACCGTTATGTGTGTGTGCTTTTTTAAGATTTTTTCTCCTCTCAATTTTTTCCTTTTTTTTTATTTTTCTCTTGATAAGTCAAAAAAAAATATTTTTTTTTTCTGGACCATCTGTTGACATTTTTCGATATAAAATTAAGAAAAAAAAATATTTTTGCGGACAATGGAGTTGTGGGAGAAAAAATTTTTTTAGAAGGGTAAACTTTTGTTTTTGTTTACAAAATTTATTTAGAGGGAATATTTAATTCTCCTAATTCTTTATTTTTTGCATATTTACGCAAAATTTTGGATTTATCCGCTCATTTCTTTTGTTATTCGTTAAATATTTTTTCTGCAAGTTTTATGTTTGTTCGCTAATTTTGTCCGCAAATTTTGCATTATCCGCAAGTTTTGTTTTTTGTCCGCAAATATTCTTTATATAGAGGCGGGTCGGAATTCCGACCTTCGATTTCCGTTGTTTTTTCCTTCCAATTTCCAAAAAAAAATTTTATTTCCGATTTCCGACTTTTGCTTCAGTTCCGATTTCCGGCTCTTTCGATTTCCGATACCTCTGACTGTTCCGAAAAAAAATTTTTTTCTGCTTTATATCCGCAAGTTGTATTTTTTTTCTATTTTTACTGCCCTCAATTTTTTCTTGAATTTTAAACGGCTTTGTTTATTAAATTAAAATTCCGCCTTTTTTAATTTGTTTTAAGCGGATGTCCATTAAAATAATTTTTTTATTATTTTTTCTTAGAAAGATTTTTTTGTGTTTTGTTCTGAAAATAGTCTATTTTTTCTGCAACATTTTTAAAGAAAATTTTTTTTCCTTCTTTAAAAATTTTTTTTCTTTTTAATCTTTAACACACCCAAAAAAATACAAATAAAAAATTTATCGAGAACACTCCTTTCAATAATTTTATTTTTTTTTATTTTCAAATTTAGAGCAAAACTTGAGGAATATTATTTTTGGTCTGTCCTTCATTTTCCTTTTTTTATTTTTAAATTTTATTATTTTTCCCTATTTTAGTAAAAAAAATATAAAATTAGGGAGATATTTTTTTAAGAGACGAGAACTTGCTTAATTTTTGCTCGAAATTTTGTTATTTCTTTTTGATTATTTGGTGAGGAAAAAAAAATTTTTTTTGCTTTAAAAGATTTTTTTTGTTTAATATGTATTAGGAGCTCTTTATTTTGCATTTTATTTATTATTATTTTATTTTTTGTTTCCATTTTTGATTTTTGTTTCTATTTTTTTTTTAGAAATTTTTTTAGAATTTTTTTTTCAAATTTTTGCTTTTTTTATTATTTTTTTAATAATTATTTTTGATACTCTAAAAATAGAAATTCTATTTATTAATTATCTTTCCCCTTATTTCCGTTCATTTTTTACCTATATAAATAATTAAAATAAATAGGTAAATGCTTCATCTTTTTATTCAAATTTTTAAAAAATTTTGCTTCATTTTACTGCGATTGGTAGGGCTAGAGATGGGTAGAAGACGTTCAGAGCATGGCTGGACGCAACTGCGCATTGCGGCTCCGTTGGGCTCAGTACTGCGCATTGCGGCTCCGTTTCTTTTTAATTTTTTCCCCTAAATTTATTGTTTTATTTCTCCTTTTCATTCATTTATCATAAGAGACTAACTTTTCCCATTTTATTAATTTTAAATGTTAGAAATTTCCCACCAGGTTATGGCTTTGTGCCGTTATGGCCGCGCGCCTTTTTTGGGCTTACCCTATTAAAATAACCTAATATTGACAGAAATCGAATTTATAATCTGTATTGTCGGACGGTGTTTTGCCTCCTCATATTTGCTTTTTTTGCAGATAAAAGAAGCAAGCTTTTAGTAATTTTTAGTCAATTTTTTGTTGTTTTTCTAACACCTGACTGGTAATTGAAAAAAAGCGATTTTTAGTTGGATGGTCATCCATCCATAAGTATATTCTTTAAAAACTAACAAAAACTTGGACGACAACAACAAACAAAACAAAAAAATAGGCTTCATTGACGTAATTAGACTTGTGTTGTATATTTCTTTAATTCTTTGTTATTTTATTATTAAATATTCTTTATATTTATTTTTAAAAATTCATTTTTTTACAGTTTTGGACCTCACCTTTTGGCTCAAAAAATTGTACACAATACTAAGGTATACATTAGGGCTGGATCTTCTTCAGCTTCCGTCTTACGCCAAATTTCGTCTTTTTTGGGTCTTCTGTCTTTTTTTAAATTTTCTTCCGTTTCTTCCGCCTTTCGCTTTCTATAATTCAAAATTATCTAGCCCTGGTATCCATGTGAAGGCGTATTTTGAAATCCATTTTTCGTTTAGATATTCAGTTGAATTTTGCTAATGCATCACCACCGGCTAAAACGAGTCTCGACGTATAAATACAAGCCAAGTGTGTTTTTGGGCGTCAAATCAGGCTAACTAAGGCATAATATTGAGAAGCATTATTTAAAATGTTAAAGACTGAACACCAAGAAGCTTTTTAATTTTTTTAAAATTTTTTCTTGGATTCAATAATTTTCAATAATTTTTTTCTATTTTTAGTCTTTTTATAAAATTTAATTTCCTAATAATCAATTTTTTCAATATTTAAAGCATTCCCCCTTTCATTTTTTTAAATATTTCCCCCATTTTTCTTTAATTTCCGTTCTTTTTTGTTCACACACATTTTTTCTTTTTCTTTAAAAAATTTTTTAAATTTTTTTCTTTTTTAAACTTTTCTGCCTTTTTAACTAGAAAAATGTCCAAAAACTAGAAAAATGTTCAAAAAAAACTAATTTTCCAGAAAACTCTTATTATTTTCCTTCCTTCCATTCCCGGTGTGTGTTCATTTCCCTAGAGAAGACATTAAAAAGAAAATGAGAAAATTAAAGGAAAAAATATAATTTTTTTGGGAGGGAAAAGACTTGAATAATAAAGAAAAATGAATATTAAAAAAGGTATTAAAAAAATATCCAAAAATTCTGTAAAATTAATTTTTCTCATTTTTATTTTTTAAAAAATATTTTTATGGTCGAACCTCAATTTTTAGTAGATGCTAGAAAAATTATAGAAAGTCGTCCAAAGTCTTTTCCCCTCATAAAATGATAACTAAAATAGTGACTCGATAAAAAATTAAAAATTATCTACCACCAACCGGGTTCGAACCCACGACCCTTGACCGCTCATAACCTGAACGTTTCTATCCTCTTATAGTGGGGAGTTCCTTAAATTGGGGGATATTTTCATGATTTCCCTGGGATAATTATTTTTTCAACCTTTTGCTATAGGGGTAATTGATCGAGGAGATAAGGTGCCGCTCAGATAGCCCCCCTCCACATCTCTCCCCCGCTCATCCATCGGCTTTTTAGACGTGTCTTAAAACGATTTTTTAAAGAATTGTTTAAATCAACTAAAATAGAAACAAGACGGGATATTAAAAAACATTTTTAGAAAAAGGGGGAAGCCTTTAAAACAGCTTTTTTTTATTGATTAGCCAACTTGTGTGTGTTTGTTAAGCCGCTTTTCTTTTTGTTTGGGTGTCTTGGTCAGAGGCTGTTAGAGTTTAAGGACAAAATGTAAAAGCACAAATTGACAGATTTGTTGCTGCCTTTTTGTTTTAATTTAGTCCGCTTTTTTCTCCATTGCCATTTTGTTCTCTTTTACTTTATTGGCATCTTGTCCATTTTTCCTTTTTTGTTATTTTGTCCATTTTACCTTATTGGCATTTTGTCCAATTTAACTTCATGGGCATTTTGTCCCATTCATTATCGTTTGTTACCCTTTTTTTCTATTACCATTATGTAATCTTCGTGATTGGCATTTTGTCTCTTTTTTACTTCATGGGCATTTTGTTCCAACTTCCTTCATTATCATTTGTTACCCTTTTTTTCTATTACCATTATGTAATCTTCGTGATTGGCATTTTGTCCCTTTTTCACTTTATGGACATTTTGTACCCTTTTATTTTATGGGCATTTTGTCTCTTTTACTTCATGGGCATTTTGTCCCTTTTACTTCATGGGCATTTTGTCTTGTCGGCTGTCATTTAATATTTCGAAACCTTCCCTATTTACTAGCTATCCTTTTACTAACATTTTGTTACTCTTATATATTCTCGTTCTTTTACCATCTGGCACTTCAAACAATCAATCATTACTTACACACACAATCTTTCTCTTTTGCTAGTTTGCGCACTTTTGTGACAGATGACAGCTTTTCCTTGTCTTTTTTAAAGCTTTTCCTTGTCTCTCTTTCTTTTCTCTCTATTAGCTGTCTCTCTCTACTAACCTTTTTCTCAATAAAATTTTTATTTTCCATTTTACTTTTAAAAATTGTCAAAAGCCATCGGCTGACTTTTCTCCTTTATATATATTTTCTTTTTTAATATTAAAAAAATTTTTTTTAGAAAATAGGTTGGTTGAATAAAATTATTATTTTATTTTATATTTTTTTTATTCTTTTAATTTTTTAAAAAAGGTTGTCGACTAGATGTTTATTTTTAATTATTTATCTTTTAAAAGACTGCGTGTCTTTTTTTGGTGATTAATCAATGATTTTGGATACAAATATTTTTTCTGTTCACAATTTTATTTTTGAAAATCTCAAAAATGAAAGATAGTTTTTGTTAGATAGGCTCATTTTTCTTTTATTTTATTTTTAAATTTTGTTCGATTTTAATACTTATTTTCTATAATAGTTTAGTTATTTATTGATCGATACGTCTCTCTCGATCGAATGAATTGTTCAATAATTTTTTTAATTCTTTAAATTCTCTCTTTTCGTTTTTAAAAATTTATTTTTTTATTTATTTTTGATCCCAAAATTATTTTTTCATTTTTTTTTCATATTTTAGAAAAAAATTAAAATTATTTGCCACCAACCGGGTTCGAACCCTCGACCCCTTAAATACCCTTACTAACCCAAACCTAGACGTTTCCGACTACACCAGCAATCAAATGAACGTCTGATTTGTTTAAAAATGCTTTAACTTTATTTCCGCAAAATTTAAAAATTATTTTCCACTGACCGGATTCGAACCCGCGACCCCTACCAACCCAAAACCTACTCGTTTCCAACTACACCACAGACCAACTTTTATTTATTTTTTGTTTAAAAATGCTTTTCCTCGTATAAATAAAATATAAATTAGCAATAATTATTAAATATACATATTTTTCCCATTTATTTTTTTCTCAATTTTATAATGTTTATTGCGCAAGTATATGGGAGAGAGATTAAAATAAAAAAAAATTTTTTATGTCCCTTAAACTGTAATTGACGAGAAATTATTTTTAATGGGTTTTTGGGGGAAAGGGGAAGGTGAGAAGTTAAGGGGAGAGAGGTTCGCGCATTTATGAGAAGAGAAAAAAATAGTGGCGGGTGAAAATAAAAATTTGGAAAACTGGGGGAAATAGGCAAAAATAATTTTTTTGATTTTTCGTTGGTTTTAAAAGGGCAAAAATTGCTTTTTTTAATTTTAATTTTTTCTCAGAATTTTTTGGTGAAAAATTAAAACTAGAAAAAATAGACACTTTTTTCCTTCTCTTAAAAATTAAAAAAAAGATTATCTTTTGAGGGCATCAGCTAGAGAGAAATAAAAAATGTAGTATTTATTAACGAAAGAGCGTCAATGACGAAGAAGCCTTGTAAAAATTGTATTTTTATTTGAGAAAAGGATTTTTTTCTTCGTTTAATTGGAGTATAAATGTCTTGTCTTTGTCTTAAAATATTTTTTGAAAATTTTTAAAATATTTTGAAAATTTTTGAAAATTGTTAGTCCAAGAAATTTTTAATTTGTGACGAAATTAAATATTTCTGTCTTCCTGGCAAATTGTACTTTAGGTGAATTGTCCTTTTTTCTGTCTATAGTACGATAGATAGACAAACAGGGATGTGTTGAACTTTGAAAAAAAAATTTTTTGTTGGCCTAGTCCTTTAAAAGCCTTAGAGTATTTTTTATCTCTTCTATCCTCATTCCTCTATACTTTAAGCTAGAGACAGTCAATATAAGCTGCTGCGAGCGTTTTGCCTTAAAAGTGGATATATCCATTGGAAGGCTTTTTTGCCTTAAATTTAAGCCTTTTATAGAGTAAAATAAATATAGTAGGCTTTCCGTAGGCTTTCCCACAGCTATATTATTTTTGCGCGCATTTTCTCTACCTTTTTTCGAAAAAAAAAAATTTTTTTTTATCCTTAGTAGGGGCAAAAAAAGAAGGTTTTAGGAGTGAGAGAGAGAGAGAGTCTGTGGAGGAGAGGGTCTGTGGAGGCTAACCTCTGTAGAGGAGCTACTAACCCCTACTAGAGGAGCTAACCTCTCTCCCCTTCCATTTTTCTAAAGCTATATCGGATTGCCAACAAGCACAAACAAGGCAAGCCAAAAACAGTCAGCCGCCATTTTTTTTTTATTTGAAGAGAAAAAAAGGCAGCTTTCCATGCTTTCATTCTTGTATATCTAATATTTATATTTTTTGCCTATTTTTCAACCCCAAAAATGTATGTAAACATCAATTGAAAAATGTTTATGTAAATATGAAAAATGCTCACGAGTTGATTATTGAGTTTTTTGGTTTGTTGGGGGGGTTGTTTTGGAGGGTTTTTCGGTTAATTTTGTGGAGATTTTTTTGGGGGGATTAGTAGAAGGTAATGGTTTTACAAAATTCTTTGGTAAAACCTTAGCTTAGCCGATAATGAACTGACAGTCTTTTCGGGTTTCCCGTTCGGGTTGAGACTGAGCCCCAGGGATTAGGGGGACTAAACTTTCTTTAATTTGAGGGATTTTTTTAACCTTGAGCTTTTTTAAAGTTTTCTTTACTTATATTTTTTCGACTCCTTCCTCTTCTATGTGTCACTTATTTTTTTTATTATTTTTCATAATTTTGTGTGCCATGCATTTTTAAATTAAACAGCGATATTGGTTGATACCCAATGGCCAACTAACTTTTAAAAGAACGAATATTAAATTAGGGTGTATTTATCGTATAAGGAGGTCCGACTATATTTTTGTTTACACTATAAAAAATAGGGTTGGGGTTTTCAAGTCGGGCCGTCGTTCGAGTCATTTTTTTATCGGGCCGGCCCGACCTAGTCTTTTTTCGGGCCAAAATTCAATGCCCGACTCGATCTTTCGGATCGGGCCCCCCAACCCTAATAAAAACTATAGGGGGATGTCTCATGTAGAGAAAAGTCGGGTAGGACTTCAAATCGAGTATCAAATACACTTATAACCATGTGACATACGTCATTTTTTCGGGCCTAATTTTTTCAGCTAAAAATTGAAAAAAAAAATCAGCTAAAAATTGAAAAAAAAAATTTTTCGGATAAAATTTGCGGATTCGTATTTTTTAAGGATTTTTGCAAAAAAAAAATATTTTCGAAATGACGTTAAAAAATACGTAAGCATTAAATATAATTGTTTTTTGAGGGAGAATGATGCATTTTATTGAATAAAAACAACAATAAAATGATAATTGGGGGAAGTGGGGGAGATTTATTTAGGTAAGTAGACAGACTTGGAAATAATAGTAAAAATGTGTTTGTTTTTTGGGTGTTCTAAAAATAGAATAAATATGTGAAGGAAGGTGTTTAGTTTGGGGTGTTTTTCATTTGCGGACAGGAAACCTAAGGTTATTTAAATTTGAACGAATTTTATCATTATATGGTTGTGGGTGCCTAATTTATATATTAACGTACTTCAGGCATCTTCGGCAGGAAAGAGTGGTACTGTTCATCTCAGCACCTTTTTTACCCTATTTATGACATTTTGAGCATTAATTTAAGGGGGCTATGGCATAACGGAAAAGTACCATGTCAACACTTGTTACTGAGAAACCTCACTAATATACTCCCAGAAACTTCGCTATACCTCACATCAGTTTAAGAGGCATCTTTTAAATTTTGGTTGCCACAGGGCGTGCCACGGGTTGGATGGGATATCTCGAAAAATGTCTATATTATCTAATTGTGATTTTCCTTTGAGATCTCATCTCGGTTCGGTTTTTAATATAGACAATGTTTTTGCACTTTACGGACACTGTTGATGTCCGCAAATTCAGTTTCAGCAACTTCCAGCCTATTTTTTAATTAAAAAAAAAATTTTTTTAATCTCTTCTTTTTTCGTTCAAAACATTCACATTTCTCTTTGTTTTTTCCTTCCTTTTCTCAAAAAAATTTTCCTAATAAGATTACTCACATTCCCAATTTCCCATTTAAAATCGTATACTCATTTCTCCCGAAGGAATTGTTGTTCCTCCTCTTTTTTGACCTCATTTTTCTATTAAATTCCAACAAAGATTCCCATTAAATGATTGTTTCATTCCTTTATTTTAATTTGGAATTTTTGAGATTGGTAAAATTGTTTTTGTTTTTTTTTTGTTTAAAAGGACATTTTTACCCATTTTTAATTCAAATATACTTACTTTTTTTTATTTTTTGGCATTCTATATATTTTAAAAATGTTTTCACATTTCACCAATACGACATAATGCCAGCAAGGATAAAAACCTACGTTTTGTCACTAACGTAGTGGTGACAAAACGTAAATTTTTACCCTTATTGGCAAAATGTGGTTTTGGTAAAATATGGGGAGCCTTTAAAAACTTGTTTATTTCTCTAATTTTAAAATTGTCTCTTGTTTTCTAGTGGTCTCTTATCATTTTTATTTCTCTATTTTCTTCATTTAATTAAGTTCTTTTTTCGTATCCCCTCAAAATCTCTATTCCTTATAATCTCTACGCAGCTAAAATGCCTTATAATCTCTACGCGGGTAAAATGCATTAAAATCTCTACTCGGCTAAAAATGATGAAAATATCTATTCCTTAAAATCTCTATTCCTCATAATCTCTACACGGGTAAAATGCCTTAAAATCTCTACACGGCCAAAAATATGATAAAATGTCTATTTTTTCATTCGGAAGCCTTTACAGTGCCAACTTTCAGTGCGGAAACGTTGCTCTGATTTCTGGTTTATCTTTTGGTATTATTTTGCTTGAATAGTGTCCAGCAGAACGATCAGGGTATGTCCAGCAGAACGACAGCAGCCGCTTCGGCTAAAGTACACTTTACCGGGCGATTTTAGATTTTTATGATTTATATGTCAATCGAAAGAGCTCGGCGAGCTGAGTCGAACGACACCAAAATTAGCCCGCGGACTCAACTATGGACCGAGATATGGGTCCCCAAAAATCGAAAAACTATAGGGGGGACCATGCACTTTTTTGGGGGTAAAAAGTTCGAATATGCAAATTATACCTCATTCGAAAGAGCTCGTCGAGCTGAGTCGAATGACACCAAAATCAACGAAATCCGACTTGATTTGACAAAGTTATGATCTTTTATTTTAGCTCCTTACCTATGGCATCTGTGGAGATTTTTGCTGCTACGGAGGCTCCAAATACGTCCAGAGCAAGGGAGATAGGAATAGGTTTATGTTACGAGCCCAGACCCAGCGCCCGTAGACATCCCGCGAGGCGCGTGCCGCAAAACCCCGCGCGAAGCGCGGGGTTTTGCACAAGCGCCTCGCCGACGCTCCATAGGTTTATGTTGTTTGTTTTTCTATTGTAACTTTGTCCAAACTTTTACAATCAACCTGATTTTGGTGTCATTTGACTCAGCTCGACGAGCTCTTTCAAATAAGGTATAATTTGCATATTTGAATTTTTTACCCCCAAAAAGTGCTTGGTCCCCCCTATGGTTTTTCGATTTTTGGGGACCCATATCTCGGTCCATAGTTGAGTCCGCGGGCTAATTTTGGTGTCATTCGACTCAGCTCGCCGAGCTCTTTCGATTGACATATAAATCATAAAAATCTAAAATCGCCCGGTAAAGTGTACTTAGGCCGCCGCTTCGATACGATCACTGCAAGCAAAATGAACACGACGCAGCGAAGCAGTCGCGTATTATATTTACGATATTTACGGCGGATACAGGTGGATATCCGCAGCCATTTTCAAATTAATTGTATCCATATCAGTATCCATCACCAAGTCTGGGTTTTCAAATGATAAGTTCATATTTTACACTTTTGTTAAGACTCTATTGTCCATTTGCGCGGGGTAGAGATTTTAATTATTTTTACCCCAGTAGAGATTTTAAGGAATAGTTATTTTAAGGAATAGAGATTTTAAGCATTTTTAGCCTAGTAGATATTTTAAGGAATAGCGATTTTAAGGAATAGAGATTTTGTATGGGAGCCTCTTTTTTTAATTTCTAAATGATTGATTATCAATTTTGTGATTTCTTTTCTTAGTTTTTTTGTCGTTTTTTTAAACTAATTTGATTTTAAATTTTTAATTTCAGCTCTATAAATTGACAAATCCGGTAACAGAAAAAAATCGAAACGCGTCAAGTTTATTTTAAATTTAATTCTGACTGACAACACACACAAATTTATCAATTTTTGGTGTGTTCTTCTACCTAAACTACATCAACCAAATCAGTTAAGGGGGACTTTAACTGATTGATATAAATAATTTATTTTCTCTCTCTTCCATTCATTCTCCTTTTTTCGCTTCCAAAAAGCGTTTTTAAACAACACAACTAAATAGACATACACACACATTTCCCCTTCTTCTATTTTTTTTTATTCTCGCAAGGCTTTTTGCTCTGACACATTTTCTGACAAAGAGAAGAAGAGAATATTGACTTGAAATTTCTCTATATTCTCTCTCAACCAATTTTAGAGACAACAAAAAGTTTTTAATTCCTAGCTTTATTTTTATTGAAAAACAACAAACTTCTTAAAAAATGGCTGATCAATTGACTGAAGAACAAATTGCTGGTATTTTTTTTAATTATTTTTTGATATGGAGGGGATTAATCGGTGGGGTTAGGCAGTGTTTTGTAAATGATCTTTTTCGTCCTTCAAGCGTTTTTAATAGGAATTGGTCAGGTCACGACTTTTTCTGACCCTAAACTTGTCCGGAAGAAAGCTTAGAAAACTCGACTAGACTCATACTTTTTCTAAGGACCTGGTTCTGGAGGGGATTAACCTTAGGGTTAGGCTTGGTTTTTTAAATTATTTTTTTCGTCATTCAAGGGTTTATAATTTGGGATTGGTCAGGTTACACGACCTTTTTTTGACCCCAAATCTGTCCTGAAGACAGCTTTGAAAACTCGACTAGACTCATACTTTTCTAAGGACCAGATTCGAACTGGCCGAGTATTCTTGTCCTTTGATTGGTACGAGGGTCTTTTTCGAGCATTTTTTCTTTAGAAAAGACTTCCACTTTAACCCCATAATTTTAAAATTTTCTTCTTTTGGAACTTAAAATAAATCAAAAAAGCCAAAGGGGAAAAGACACTTCGACAAATGACTCTTACCACATGGTATTTAAAAGGGGAAGTAAATTTGGGAAAGTAATCAATAAAACTTTTAAATGGGATTTTGAAATTTTGAGGGATTTAAATTTGAAAAAATGTTTTGGATTTTTTATAGGGAATTTTGGAATTTTTTTTAGAATTATATGGGTAATATGTAGTCGTTTGGATTAGGAATGCCACGGGTAGGGAAACAAGTCAGGTACGGATTGCGGATCCGGTTTTCCGTTTTTTTAAGATGTTGAGAAGAGTTTAGTTTTGTTTTAACCTTTTTTCTTTTTAAAGAATTCAAGGAGGCTTTCTCATTATTCGACAAGGACGGCGATGGTACTATCACCACAAAAGAGTTGGGGACAGTTATGCGCTCTCTTGGACAAAATCCGACAGAAGCCGAATTGCAAGATATGATTAATGAAGTGGATGCTGATGGTTGAATTTTTTTGATTTCGAAGTAATTTAAATAAATTAATTTTTAGGTAACGGAACAATTGACTTTCCTGAATTCCTTACAATGATGGCACGTAAGATGAAGGACACAGACAGCGAAGAGGAAATTCGAGAGGCTTTCAGAGTATTTTTTTGAACTTTTTAATTTTTATTAGTCTAAGCCTTTAATTTCCTTTAAATCAAGAAGTTTAGGTTTGTAAAATTGTAAGGGTCCGCTCCATTCATGATAAAAATGATCGCGTAGGGGTTGTCCTGACTGAATCGACGGACATTGTTTTAGGCGAACGGACCCCAATTAATTTAAATCCAAAGGGTTTAGGTTTTTAGCTTGAGAGAAGTCTGCTCCAGGTCGCTAAAACTGTTCACGGTCTTGTCTTGACGCGACTGTTTTCTAAGTGATTTTTGGTTTTTACTATGGCCCCTCTATACTTTCGATATTTTTTTTTGAATTGTTCTTTTTCTAGTTGTTAGTTTTTTTAGATATAGAGGTCGGACTGTTGGAATGTAGTATGAGATGGAGATCGATTCTCGAAAGATTTCTCCCGATAATTCTGATTTTTTTGGTTGAGGTATAGTCTGTCCAGTCTCTAGATTGGTGGGCATATTTCCATTTTCCTTACATTATTTAAATTAAATTTTTCTTTTTAAAAAAGGTCTTCGATAAAGACGGCAACGGTTTCATTTCCGCTGCAGAACTTCGCCACGTTATGACCAATTTGGGTGAGAAATTGACTGATGAAGAAGTGGATGAAATGATTAGGGAAGCAGATATTGATGGGGATGGACAAGTTAATTATGAAGGTTTTTTTTGGAATTTTTTGGGAAAGGATTTAAAAAAAATTTTTTTAAAGAATTCGTTACAATGATGACTACAAAATGAGGAGGATGAGAAGATATTGAAGGAAAAAGTTTTTTTAAAAAAAAATTAGAGAAGAGGGCGGATGCTTGCCGCGCTAATTAATATATTTTTTTGTGTCATTTTTCTCTCTATATTAAATGTCCACACAATAAAAAAAATTGATTGATTGACACTTTGAAATAAGAGGAAAAATGGACGATGGATGGAAATGAGAGTATAATTTTTTTATTTTATTATAATGGGTTTAAAAATAGGGGCTAGAAAATTTTGGGTAGTTTACGACCGATTATAGACAGATACTCCCCGATTTTTGGGTGTAGCGTGTTTTTGACTCCTTTTGAGAACTCGACTTTACCCGACTTTTTCTATGGACCAGGCCCAAACTGGTTTAAGTGTAATAAGAATTTTAAGACCATCCAAAGATCCTTTTCCTTTTTAATGAGCATTTTAAATTTTTTTTGTATAATTTTGATGAGGTACTTGATTTAAATTTTTGGAATTTAGAAAATTTTTTTGGATCCTTTATTGAAAAATCAAAAGGGAAAAATCAAGTATACTAATCAAAATTAATTAAAAAAAAATTTTTTTTGAGGGCTTTTCTTTAATTTATTTAAAGAAATTTCTTTTGGATTTTTGAATAATAAAAAATTAAAAAAAATTTTTTAAAAAGAAAGCGTCCTCTTGTTGTTTAATTTTATATATTTTTTTCGTTTTTTTTTAAATTTCTGTTTTCTTCTCTCTATCCTCATCTCTCCAATTTATTATATTTTTCTGGTTTCTTTATTATTGAGAGATTGAGATGAAAATTTTAGAAGAAATTTTGATAAATGTCCGCAAAATTAAATTTGCGGACAATATTTGCGGATATTTTATAAAGTCCGCAAATATTTGTCTGTAATGGTTTACTGGCTATCCGCAAATATTTACGGACTTTTTTATGAGTTTGTAATTATTTGCGGACATCCGCAAAAATATTGCAGATTTTAAAAAAGTCTGCAAATATGAAAAAAGACGGATTAAAACAATTTATTTAAGAAAAGTCCGCAAAATTTGTCCGCAAATTAAAAAAAATTCTCAATCTCTCCCAAATAATATACATATAAATTAAAATTCATTATTTGGTTTTTTCAAATATAGTTTTCCTTTAAATTAAAAAAAAAATTTCAAAAAAAAATTCGAAAAAAAAATTTTTTTTTCTTCGTTCCCTGCCACTCTTTCCCTTCCTTTTTTTGGTTGTCCTATGAATTTAAAAAAAATATTTTTAAAAAATTTTGTTTTTCAATTGACCACAATATATTTTTTTAGTTAAAAAATGAGCCCCGAAATTTCCTTCTTCCCTTTCTATTTTAAATATACACACATTTTTTTTCTTTTTTTTTGGATAAACATTTATTTTTGAACTTAAAATTTTTTTTGTTGTTTGAATGTTGTTAGAAGAAAAACACATTTTTGATTTTTAAAAATTTAAAAAATTTTTTGTAGGTTTAAATATTTGCGGACTCATAAAAAAGTCCGCAAAATTTGTCCGCAATTAAAAAAATTTTTTCCAGAAAATTTTTTGGGGAAAACCAGGGATATTAAAAAAAGTCCGCAAAAAAATTTGCGGACAATTTTTTTTGTCTGCAAAAAACTTGCGGACTTTTTTTTTGTCGCAAAAAATTTGCGGACTTTTTTCTGTCCGCAACTTTAATCCGCAAATTTTTTTAGTTATTTAAAAATAAAAAAGAATTACAAGTAGTCGAACCTTTCCAGATTTACCTATTTATAGGGAAAATGTAAACCACTTAACTACAAAGAAATATTGAGTTTTACTAGGGACTATAAGGGGGAATTTTGTAGACTATCAGGGGTACAGCCCGGCGCGAGACCATAACGGCGCAAAGCCATGACTTGCTTCAAGATTTCGGAATCTCTCAAAATTTAGTATTAAACGATTCCTCTCATCGAGCTAAAGAGATTGGTACCAAAATTGATATGGGCCAGAAATTTTCCAGCAAGTTATGGCTTTGCGCCGTTATGGTCTCGCGCCTACGTGGGCGTGTCCCTATTTTTTTTAAATTTTTTTTTATTTTTTCTAGATTACAAAAATTATTTTTTTTTCTAATTAAAAATGAGTAGTAGTAATGATCTACAACAACTACAACAAATTTCAGTTCCAACAATAACCCCACAATATGGAGTATCTCCCCCAATATGTACAAAAACACCAACAGAAAAAGATTTACGTTTAACTAAAGAATTGGAAGAATATTTAAAAAAATGTGGATTGTATGAAACAGATGTGGATATGCAGAGACGTTTGGAAGTTTTGAGGAAGATTAATACAATGGTTAAAAAATGGGTGAAAAATGTTTCTGTAGACAAGGTTTTTATAAATTTTTTATTGATTTTTTGGGGGGGGGGGGCACAGTTCAGGGGTAATTTGTGGTGACTGGTCCGATTGTTGCCACCATATCTGCACGAAACGTTTAGTTTCGTAATTGTCAAGAGGAAAGAGGGCAGGAAACGAAACCTATTTCACTATTACGGAACGAAACGTATTGCCAGTTATGTTTAGCGCCTTTTTTCTTGCGAAAGTTTTTCTGGTGACCCCCAACTCTTATGGTTATCAACCTTTTTGATTAAATGACTAGTACATAGGAGCTCATTCAAACCTGATTAACATTTCTCTGAAACCTGATGAAAGTTTTATTTCGGCAAGATTCCAGTTTTCGAATGAAAAGTTGATGTTAGTCATTTAATCGCCAGAAGGGTAGCCGGACCCTTTTAAGGTTCGGATATTCTAATTGTAAGCCTAACCGATAAATTTTCGGTTTGGTTCCGAATTGAAGAACCGAGTTAGCGTCCATGTTTTTTGGACGCTTTTCCTGGTTAAGTACTTTACTTGGGAATCAGGATGGATTTAAGGGGAGTTATAACATGCTTTTGACATTTTTTTGTTTTCAGATCCCTCCAGACCAACTCGAAACAGTTGGCGGAAAATTGTTTACCTTTGGTTCATATCGACTTGGTGTGCACACCCCTGGAGCTGATATTGACTCACTTTGTGTTGTTCCAAGACATATTGATCGTTCTGACTTTTTTACTTCATTTTATGAAAAATTGAAAGAGGTTTGCTTTAAATAATTGGGGTTTTTAAGGAAATGGGATATTTTGTCATCTTTGGTATTTTCTATTTAATGAAGGAAACTGAATTTTTTAAATTTTCGGTACTGTTAGAGATGGCACTGTGAGCAGGGTTGATCGATACTAACAATAATGTCTTAAAGTTTTGGCTTTTTTCTGACGAGATATGAAAACTAGAAATATATTCCTCCCCACAATTTTAAATAAAAATCCTTAAAATTAGTTGAAAATTTTAATTGACAATGATGTTTTAAATCTACACTTTGATTTGAATTTTAAACTCTAAAAAAAGAGTTGATATAATGATATATATCTAATTGCTTATCTGAGTCAATTAAAATTAAATTTGTGTTTAGGACTCACAAGGGAACCACTCGAACTGTGACCAGAAATTTTTAAATAAAATGATACCATCATGTAGGGCATGGTCGATAATCTATTGCCAATTTTAGGCTTTTTTGGCCCTGACTCCCAAATCGAAAAGTTATAGCTGCTCAAGTTTTCAGACTTTTGGAGCGGTCGAGTTTCCTTCATTTATAGGGTCTCCAATTATTTTCCTCTTCTTTTCTCATGGTGATTATAGCAAGAGTAAATGAAAATTTGATTAAGTTGGGTTGTGGTTGAGTGGGTTGGGTGTAGGTTCCGATAGGTTTACTAGGAAAGTTCGAATCCTTTCACTGTTTTTTCCTAACATTTTTTTGTTTCTGCTAAACATTTTTAAAAATTTTAAAATTTCTAAATTTATTTCCCAAATTTTTCAGGATGAAAATACTTCAGATCTCCACAAAGTTGAGGATGCTTTTGTCCCTCTAATCAAACTGCATTATAGCGGTATAGAATTAGATATCTTATTTGCTCGATTAGCACTAAAAGAAGTCACAGACGAGCAGCAATTGACAGACGATAATTTATTGAGAAATTTGGATGAAAAAAGCATTCGTTCTTTAAACGGTTTTTATATTTTTATTTGGGATCGCCCCAGAATATCACCACCCTAAATATCACCCCCCTAAATATCACCACCCAAAATATCACTTGACCCTAAATATCACCACCCAAAATATCAAATGACCCAAAATATCACCACTCAAAATATCGTCGATACGAACTATTAGGATATATTTATGTAAAACTTAAACTCGAATGACACCAAAATCAGCTTTATTCGATGATTCTGAACCAAATTATGACCTAGTGAATTTTTGCTGAATATCTGTTTTGGTGTTGCTACGGAGGATAGGTCCGGCATACAAGGCTGAGAATCACTAAAAGGAATAGGTTAACGTTACGAGCCCAGAACCCAGCGACCGTTGACTCCCCGCGAGGCGCGTGCCGCAAAACCCCGCGCGAAGCGCGGGGTTTTGCACAAGCGCCTTGCCAATGCCCCATAGGTTTACGTTGTTGTTTTTTGCATAGTATTTTGCGTGGTGATATTTTGGGTCATTTGATATTTTGGGTGGTGATATTTAGGGTCAAGTGATATTTTGGGTGGTGATATTTAGGGGGGTGATATTTAGGGTGGTGATATTCTGGGGTGGAGTCTTTTATTTTGCAGGGGCATAGCCAGGGGGCTTCTCCCTCCCTCCTCCCGAAATGGGGAAAGGGAAAAATTTGAGGAGGTGATTGCCTGCAGCACTGAAAAAATAGAAATATGTTCAAAAAATTACGTTAGGAACGGCATGGCAAACGACTAAATTTTAGGCACACATCCAATTTTAGCCCCCCTTAAATCGACTCTCTGGCTACGCTTTTGCTATTTTTGTGTTTTTCTTTTTAAAAAAATTCTTTTTTTTAAAGGTTGTAGAGTCGCAGACGAAATTTTGAGGTTAATCCCAAGCCACTCTAATTTTATTTTAACACTTCGAGCAGTCAAATTGTGGGCTAAAAGTATGTGGTTTTTTATTTTAATTTTAAAAAATTAAAAAAATTTGTTAGATCACGGCATTTATTCAAACGTTCTTGGCTTCCTTGGAGGCGTTTCGTGGGCAATCCTCGTTGCTAGAACTTGCCAATTATATCCAAATGCATCCCCTGCCGTTTTATTGGAAAAATTCTTTTTGGTTTTTTCTCAATGGGAATGGCCACATCCGGTTATTTTAAAAGATGCGGATGCTACTCCGAGGTCTGATATGCCGTATTTTGCAGGTTTATTTTTTTAATGATTTTTTTGGAAATTTTGTGTATGTCCGCAAGTTTGGTCCGCAAATCAAAATAAATCGAAAAATTCTCTTACGAAATATCAAAGAGAGGAATTTTTTAGCCATTGGAATTTTTCAAGGCATTTTCACAGTTAGGAATTATTCTGTTAGTGTGAAAATATATTTGCGGGCATTTGATAGATTTGCGGACGTCAGCAAAATTTTTGCGGACAACCATTTTAAATAAAAAAATTTTTTTCTTTAATATAGATATGATATGGGATCCTCGTACAAGAATGTCAGATCGTTTCCATTTAATGCCAATTATAACACCTGCATTCCCTGAACAAAATTCAACATTTAACGTAACAAGGTCTACACGTCAAGTGATGACTAATGAATTTAAAGAAGGTTTATACATTTATTTTTCATAGATTTTCTGGCAGGATTTTGATTATATGATCGTTTAATATTAACAATAAGACGCCAAAATACCAATCCCCAAAAAAAACCTTCGAAATACCGAACAGGGGAAATGATGCCGAAATACCAAATAGATAACTATTGGAGGTCTTCCCCTCGCTGTTGGAAAAAAACCAGTTTGGTATTTTGGCGGCTTTTTGGGGTTTGGTATTTTTGCGTTTGGTATTATGTCGCACTCAGGATTTTTTTTTAATTTAAAAAAATTAAAAAAATATTTTTATTTTAGGTCTTTCCTCAATAATTGAAATTTCGAGAGGTGACGCTACTTGGGAAAAACTTTTTGAAGAAATAAACTTTTTTACACGTTACAAACATTTTATTGTCCTTCTATGCGTCACAGAAGGAGAAGAAGACCATTTAATTTTTGCTGGTTTGGTTGAATCAAAAATTCGTCATTTGGTAGCTTCTCTAGAAAGAAATTCTTGTGTTGCTTTGTGTCATGTAAATCCACGACAATACAAGCCTATTTGTAAATTGGAAATGGATATGGAATATAAGTAAGTGGAAAAGGAGGTTTTTTTTAATTTTTAAGAAAAATTTTTTGGAAGAGGGAGGGGTGGAGGTGGGATTTGATTTTTTGTTTGATTTTTTGGAATATTTTTTTGAAATATTTTTTTGAAAATTTGAAAAAAAATTTAAAATTTTTTTTTTCAATTTTTGGAAATATTTTTCCGTGGGGGCGTAAAAATAGATAATTAAACTTGTGATTTATTTTGTGTACTCCAACAGCTCTAAAAAATTTTCAATAATTTTTTCAAAAAGCTTTTGGCATCTCAAGCCTTTGAAAAAAATTTTAGGGAAGAGAATTTTCTTGTTAGGGTTGTCGGTTTTCAAACTGAACTGAAAAATGAAAATTTTCGGTTCGGTTTGTCGGTTCTGTTTTGGGGTAACCGAAGAATTTGGTAAAACTGACAACCCTAATTTTGAGGAAAAAAAATATAAAAATATTTTTACAGAGACCCAATCTCAACCCTTTGGCTAATAGGCCTAGAATTCAATCGAGAACTTCAAACAAATATGAATATAAATTTGACTGAAGAAATTCAATCTTTTGTAAGCAACCATGTTTACTCACACGCAGCTACAAAAAGTGAATTTAAATTAACTATGCAGTTACGCCCGGCATATACAAAACAACGTGATCTAGTTAAATGGTATTTTTTTTTATTTTTAGGGATTTTTGGGATGTTTAAAAAGGGTTAGGGTTTATTATTTGTAAAAGGGTCAGGCTTGGATTTTTGAAAGGGCCAAATTTCTTCCACAGTTTTTGATGTTTCAACAGGGGCGTAGCCAGGGGATCGGTTTCAGGGAGGCTAAAATTGTTATGTCCGAGGGTTGTACAAAAGTCGACTTGCAATGGTTAACAGTTTATCCAAAGAGAAATAACAATGTGTAGGCGAAGGGATTGAGCTGGAACAGACGAAGGAGATCAAGGACTAGCCGGGCTAGTATGATCCCCTTAGACTGACGCTTACAGTGGCTTATAGTAGTGTTACGGTGATGCGACTTTTGCGGCGCGTACATTTGCGGCCCAGACACTTGCGGCCCAGACTATTGCGGTTTTAACATTTAAGGCTCCCTCCTATTGTGACACTTGCGGCCCGACATTTGCGGCTCAGACATTTGCGGCCCCGACATTTGCGGCGATGATTAAAAAATTAAAAAAATCATAATTTATCGTTCAATTAATATCGGTCAATAGATTCTGCTTCCAATTCTCAAAGCCTTAATGAGAATTTCTCTCAAATCCTAACTCTCAGATCCTTAACCCAATTTATTAATTACCCTGGGTAATTATTGTTTCATTCTCTCGCTGGAAGGAGTAAATAATAGAGACGTGGTAATTATTTAAGGGTTGGCAATTATTATTTCGACTTAGAATTATTATTTCGACTTGCCCACCCCCCCCCCCCCCCCCACCAATCCTTTTAATCTCTCTTAATTCAAATAAGTTCCGTGATATCTTCTCCAAATCCTTTTATTCTCTTTATTTATTGATCCTTAAAATACACATTATTAAAATCGTAATGATTTTTAATAAATATTTTAAAAATTAGCTTGGGGAAAACAGGGGGAAAATTTAAAGAATTACTTAAAATTACTATTTCATTAAAAAATTTACTTAATTTTTTAATCATCGCCGCAAATGTCTGAGCCGCAAATGTCGGGCCGCAAGTGTCACAATAGGGGGGAGCCTCAAATGTTAAAACCGCAATAGTCTGGGCCGCAAATGTCTGAGCCGCAAGTGTACGCGCCGCAAAAGTCGGCCAATCAGTGTTACCACTACACAACAAGAATAGAGGTTTTCCATTTCGGGGGAGGCCCAGAAGCTTAATTTCCCATAGAATAATATTTTTTATAAAGTATAAGAATAAAACCATTCATATACCGGATTGTCTCTAATAGGAGCCCATGCCCTATTAGAAGCCCACTCAATGAGGGGTATTGAAAAATAGACACCCAGGGCTTGTATTAGAGACAATCCGGTATTTTTTATGTGTCATAAACTCAAGTTTGAGAGGGAGAGAAATTTAATAAAAAAAAATATGAGAATAATTGTTGACTACACCCACCCACACATACATATTTTTCAATAAAAATTGGGGAAATAAAATTTAAAAAATTTTTTTTCTTGGCTTTTCTCCTGACAATAAGCTTTCTTTTTATATATTTTATTGAAAAAAATTTTTCTTTTTTTTTTTGCAGGCTCTCCTATGATGATTTAAATAGAGGACGACGAGTAGCTAGACGTTCAGGAAAACGTACCTCTTCAATGATGAATTGAAAAAATTAAAGTATAAAATTTTTTTTAAAAAATACTTTCAATTTATTGAGGCCCTACCCTTTTTAGAAAAAAATTTTTTTTGTATATAAATTGAATTTAATAATTAAAATTAAAAACTTTTATTTTTAAAGGGGTTAGGGCTGTGGGAAAAAATTGAAAAATTTTTTTTGGAAATTTTTTTCTTCAAAAAAATTTTTTTCAGGAAAATTTTTGTTCGGAGGGCTCTGGAAAAATTTGAAGAAAAAAAATTTTTTAAAGAAAAAATTTTCGAAATTTTTTTGAAAATTTTTTGGAGGGCTCTGGAAAAATTAAAAAAAATTTTTTGAAATTTTTTTCCTTGAAAAATTTTTTTCTGAAAATATTTAAGAGATTAGATTGGCTCTAAAATGTAAATAAACAAATTATTTTATTTTTTTTCTCTTCATTTATTTAAAATTAAAATTTAATTTTTTCTCTGAAATTCAAAATTTTCTTATATATTAATTCTCTTTTTTTTCAATTTATTTTTTTTTTGAATTTATATTTGTAAAAATAAAAGTAAAAATAATCAACATTTTTTTTTACTAAAAAATATTTTTTTGTCTATTAATTTTTGTGAAAATTATTTTGGATTGTATTTTTAACTTTTTTTTGCTTTTATTTAAAATTAAAAAAATAAAAATTTGGAGAGCTTTTAATTTATTTTTTTTTGCCTAAAATTGTGTTTTTTAAAATCACTTTTATTTTTAAAAATTTATTTCTTTTCATTTTTAGGTGCTGAAAATTTTTTTTGAAAATTCAAAAAATATTTTTTCAAAAAAAATATTTTTGCGGACTCTTTTTGCGGACAATTTAAAAAAAAATATTATTAAAATTAAAAAGGTTTGACCTTTTTAAATATTTTTCAAAAAAATTGTTATGAAAGGGTCAGGCTTGAATTTTTGCAAAGAAGTCAAAATTTTTTTGAATTTCCGAGGGAATAATATATTTTTGGAAATTGTCCGCAAAAAGAGTTCGCAAAAAATTTTTTGCGGAAAAAATTTTTAAAAAGTTTCCAATTAAAAAATTGTTCGCAAAAAGAATCCGCAAACAGACATGAGTCCGCAAAAATATTTTTTTTTGGAGAAATGTTTTTTTTGGAAAATTTTTTTATAAATGTTTTTAAGGTAATATAGCTTTATTAAATAATTAATTAATTATTTACCTCAAAAAAATGTCAACAGACGAAATTATTTCAATGAAGAAACGGCCAAATACGAAAACTCAGGATTTGGGGCCTTTAAATATTTCTTTAGAAAATGTGCTTTCTTATGATATTGAAATTGAGACTGGGAGTGGAAATAAGAGGAGGGGAAGGAAAGTTACTTTGTATGGAGTGCCTTTGTTAGTTTGTTTATTTTTTTTATTAAAATTATTTTTTGGGAGGTTTGAGTTAAGAGGGGGGGGGAGGTTTTGGTCTAACTAAGGAAGAGGGCTTCTAAAAATATTTTTGGGGAGCTTACAATCTTATAAAAAGTTTGCAAAAACAGTGGTATTTAGACGTTTTGGCATTACAATGCGTTCCACAGAATTGCTCACCCATCTTCAGTTGGTACCTATAAAAATCCCCTTCAAGTGATAAAATACCTTTCCCCATTCCTATCATTTTTACTAAATGGTTGTTATCCGATGGATTTATTTTTTCTTGTTTATTGTCCGCAAGAAATGCCCGCAAAAATTAAAACAAAACATTTTTTTAATTTTTTCTAAGATTTTCTTTTCAGGTTTTTGGTAGAAGCCTTCACCTGGCTTGAAAACAAAAATGCGTTTACTATGGAAGGAATATTTAGAAAAGAAGGAAGTGCTGTCAGGATGAGAAATCCTTGGGTTTTTTTATTTCTTTAAAAAAATTTTTTTGTCCGCAAAATTTTTGCGGACAATCCGCAAAAATTTTCAAAAAATTTTTTTTTTAATTTTCAGCAAATATTTTGCGGACTTTCACGAATTCCTGATACTTATACAGTCCACGATGTCTGCACTTTAATTAAACGATTTTTTGGGGCTTTGAAGAGACCAATCCTTGGAGATCATCAAGCTAATATTATGAGTAATGTGAGTACTTTAAACAATGAACGTGTACAGGCTGAATCGGTTTGTTTAATATTTTATGTTTATAAAGGATTTTGTCTTCTTTGCGAGCATTTTTTACGGATTGTAAAAAGTCCGCAAATATTTGCGGATTGAAAAAAAAGTCCGCAAATATTTGCGGATTGAAAAAAAAGTCCGCAAATATTTGCGGATTGAAAAAAAAGTCCGCAAATATTTGCGGATTGAAAAAAAAGTCCGCAAATATTTGCGGATTGAAAAAAAAGTCCGCTAAGGCTTGCGGATTGAAGAAATGTTCGCAAAGATTTGCGGATTTATAAAGAGTCCTTAAATGTTTGCGGATTCGAAAAGTCCGCTAATATTTGCGGATAAGAAAAAGTCCGCAAAAAAATTTGCTGACTTATAAAAATTCCGCAAAAAAAATTTGCGGATTTATAAAAAGTCCGCAAAAATTCGTGGATTCGAAAAAGTCTGCAAAACAAGTCAAATCTTTCTTTTGATAAAACAATTAACTTTTTACTAATTTTGAAGGTTCTAATGTTGATAGATCTCCTTCCGCTTACCAACCAGGCAACCTTGTGCTATTTGATGAGACAACTTAAAAAGGTTTTTTCTTCTAGAGACTGGTTGTTTTAATAAATTTTTTCTTCAAGGTCTCCGATCTTTCCTCAACAAATCAAATGTCCATTGCCAACTTGGGTATAGTCTTTGCCCCAGCAATATTTGTAGATCCAATAGAAATGCGCCCGTCTGCCTCTATTTGGGGTACTGGAAGTTCTTGTTGTTTAAGTAGCAGTACAAGCAGTGTGACAGCTAATGGAGATTCGTCTAGATGCCGTCCATTGGCTAACATTGCAAATTGTAGGAAAAAGAAGTTTACGGATTCTCAGGTTTTGTTTTAAATTTTTAATTAGACTCGGAGCATGCCAAACAGTCGTAATGACGTCGGAAATATCAACCTCCAAATGTCACAGAATTGTCAAACACGGGAAACTGGACTGTTTTGCATTTTGACGGGCTATAGGGACAAACTAGTACCCAAAATAACAAGTTCGGCATGTATGGCATTACGACTGCCAAATTGAGTAATTAAAAATGAAGTTTTATTTTTAGGAAAGCTTAAGAGAAATTGATTTTGTAAAGCGCAGAAAAGGATTGCAGGCTTCTGTTGTCTCTCTACTTATTCAATATGCTAATTATTTGTGTTTGTTTTTCATTAAATATTTTTTAATTTAAATAGTTTGGATGTGTAAAAATCGAAAATATTTTTTATTTTTTGGGGAATTTTTTTGGAATGTTTTTGGATATTTTGTAGGAGGGGTGGCTATTTTACAAGATCGACAAGAGATTTTTTTAGGAATTTTTAATTTTTTGACAATCAATTAGGAATCTTTAAAAGAAGGAATCTTTAAAACTAGAGAAATCCGCAAAAATTTGTCCGCAAGTTCAGAATTAATTTGCTTTTTTTGTAGGTATTCCTCGAATAATGCCACCGGTTAATCGTGGTTTTCTTCATCGTAAAAGTTCTGATTGTTCTTCATTTTTAATTCAACAACAACAATTATTGCAAAAAAATGTTCAAAAAGAGCAACAACAAAAACAATCAACAAGTAACCAAAATAATAATGAAAGACAAAGTCGAGGATTAACTAGGGGAAATAATAGCAAGGAAAGTCGTAAAATATGGCCTAGAAGTGCTTCTGAAAATCCATTTCAACGGTTTTTTTAATTTAAATTTTATTATTTTTAAAATCAATTTTTGCGGACAAAAAAATTTTTGCGGACAAAAAATTTTTTTGCGGACAAAATTTGCGGACACTTTTAAAATTATAAATATATTCCCTCGAGATAATTATTTTGAAAGAATCACATTTTTATAATAGACCTGGAATCCTGTTCAGAATTTGGAAAAAAATCTGCAAAAATATTTTGTCCGCAAAAAACTTGCGGACAAAAATTTTTGTCCGCAAATTTTTTTTGTCTGCAAATTTTTTTGAAAATTTTTTTCATATACCCTTCCATTCATAATAATTTTAAAAATAAATTTCAGTACCCGTGCTTTCTTTGGAATTCCTTTTGGAAAGAATGGTTCATTTGTTCCGCGTGACAAAGCTCCAACAACTCCAAAGGTTCATCAAAACCGTCTTCCAATACATTTTTGTTCTCCAGAAATGAATTTGCAACAAAAACAGGTTCTTTAATTTTTTAAAAATTTTTTGAGTGTGAATTTTTTGTAAATTTTAAAAATGCCAAAATTCTTCGGAATTTGTCCGCAAAATTTGTCCGCAAAAATTTTGCGGACAAAAATTTTGTCCGCAAAAATTTTTTTTTATTAATTTAATTAAATCCAAAAAAATTAGCCAGCATCTGTTCAATTTTTGTCGCCGACTTCTGCTTCAATGAAATAAAAAAAAATTTTTTTAAGGAAGGGTATATTTTTAGGAGAAATGATGAAACATGAAAAATAAATATTCTCTTAAAAAAGAGTAAAATAATATGTAAATTTACTGCCAAAACCTCTACTATATTCACTTAATTAATTTCTTTTTTTGTTCGCTTTAATTTGAGGTATATATTTATGTCATTAAAGGAAAAATGATAAAAAAATTTTTGTCCGCAAAAATTTTTGCGGACGTCCGCAAATTTTGTCCGCAAAAAATTTTTTTTCAAATTTTTTGAATTTTCTTAAGTTCACAATTAAGTCTCTCCCTCTTCTCCAAAAATTTTTAAAAACTGAATTCTTTTCCTTAAACCGATCTTTCAATAATTAACTTAAAAATCAATTAAAAATGTACTACTATTAAGAATAAAATAAATTAAATAATAAATAGAAAACTAGATAAAAAGAGAACAAAAAAAAAATAAAGAAAATAAATTGGTTAGAAAATTAGGTAGATAGTTGATTAGGAGAGGTGGGGGGAGTAAATGGAGGCGGGGAAAGGAGGGTTGATTAGGGGATGTGGAGGAGAGAATGGAGGAGAGGGGGAGAGGGTAGAAGTGGAGGGAGGGACATTTGTTTAAATAAAAAATTTTAAAAAATATTTTTTAATGACATAAATATTTAAATATAAATTACCTTCAAATATACCTTCAAAGTATACATTTTCAAAAAAATATCCCAATCAAAAAATTATTTTTTTTTGTTCTTTCACTTAAATATTTAATCAAATTAGTGGCAATATTTAATTTTGATACTCGCCTTTTTTTAACTTAAAATTTCGTGTTTTGCATTTAAATAAATTTCTTTTTTTATTGCATTTCTCTTTTATCAATAAAGCTTTTTTGTCGTGTTTTTTTTGTTTTGTTGTGAATTGGTTTTGTAAACCGTTTTTTGATTTTTTAGTGTTGTGGTTTTTAATTAATTTATTTCCATGTTTTATTTTTTTGTTTAAGTTCGTTTTGTACAAAAGTCCGCTAGTAACATTAGTGGTGTAATGGTTAGCGTTCTTGACTACACATATTTAGGGGTCGGGGGTTCGAGTCCTCTTGAGGTCAAAAAATTTTTTTTATTGTTCTTGCTAGTTTTATTACTATCTCTATAGGTTCGCTTAATAAAAAAATTTTGTGAACTATCATTGTGGTGTAATGGTTAGTGTTCTTGACTGCTCCTTATTTGGGGTCGCGGGTTCGAATCCTTTTGGTGCCAAAAATTTTTTTATTGCTCCTAATTAATAGTATTTTTATTTTAGAAAATTTTTAGATTAAATTTAAAATTATTTTTGATTATTTTTAAATAAATAAATTAATTTTTAAATTTATTTTAGGAAAGAAATGGTTTCTTCTCTCTTCCATTATTGGAAGATTTGCCCAACCCAATGCCGTTACCTATCCGGGTTGAGACATTTTGACAAGCCATTGAGGACATTAGCAACTCCAATTGAAGGAAAAATGCCAAAAATATGTGGATTGGATGAGGCTGTGAAGGAAATTAAATCCGGTTTTATTTTTTTTATTAAAAAATATGGGTGGTGTAGTGGGTAGTGTGTTTGTTTGGTAAATATTTGGGGTGGAGGTTCGAGTCCGCTTGGCATAAAATTTTTTTCCTTGTTGGAATTTAATTTTAAGTCAAAATTACTTTAATTTTCTCGTTAGAAATTTTCTTAATTTTTTAAATAATGGTGGTGGGGTGGGTTGTGTGTTTGTTGTTCGGTAAATATTTAGGGTGAAGGTTCGAGTCCGTTTAGGGTAAAAAAAATTTTTTTTATTCAAAATTAATTTTAATTGTAAGTCAAAATTGCTTTAATTTTTTGCATTAGAAAAATTTTTGTAATTTTTTATAATTTTTTAAAGGAGAAAGTATTTACCTCCACCATGCTGTTTCTATGCCCATTGATTTGTGCAAAGCTTTGGGTAGGCATGTACTCAAAAATGGATTGACTGACATTAAAGTTGTACATGCAATGACTTGTGGTGAGGTAATTAAGTTGAAAAAATTAAAAAATATTTTTTTAATTTTGAAAATTTTATTTAAAGTTGCCTTGGCTTAAAGAAGAATTTAATGGAAAAATAAGAAGTAAAACTATCTTTATATGTAACAATATGCGTCCACTGGTAAATAAAGGTTTTTTACGATTATTTTTTGTAATGGGAATTATTTTTTTTAAATTTTATATTTAAATTTCTACAAGTTTACGAGCCTATTAGTCATGGATCTTTAAAGTCCGCAAATTTTTAAAAGTCCGCAAGTTTTGTCCGCAAGTTTTATTTTTTGTTTTGTCGAAAGGAAGGGTTATTTTGGGTGAATAAATCAACAATATTTTGCTAAAATACCTTCAAATTCATCAATTCCTTTACTCTTCCTAGTTAATAAGCCAAAATAAAACTTGCGGACAAAATTTGCGGATTTTGGGAAAATAATAGAAATCGAATAAATTTTAATTAAAAAAATTTTTTTTAATTTTTTTAAAGGTCTAGCTGATTATATTCCCCTTTTTCTCTCCGATTCTGCTCGTCTCTTTGATGAAAAAGCAATACCTGTAGATACTGCATTGTTGAATTTATCACCTCCAGATAAACACGGTTATTGTTCTTTGGGTGTTAATGTGGATTTATCCAGGTTTTTAATTTCCTATTTTTTTTTATAAAAAGGTCTGTCCCCTCTTTTTGCTTTTCTGCCTATTTTCTTTAATTTGACTTTGGTTAAATTCAAAATTTCTAAGAACATATTTGCGGACACTCGCTTTGCGGACATCCTTAAAGAGTGAATTTTGCCTCGTATTTTTTTAAAATTTTACTTTCGTAAGCGAATTTTTTTAAATTTTTGTTACAATATTAAGGAGTAAATAGGAGCTTGTTTGCAAAATATTTGAGGACAAAATTTTTATCCGCAAATATTTTGCGGACAATCACTTTTTGGATATTCTTAAGTAGTGAGTTCTGTTTCGTATTTATTTTAATTTGCTTTCGTAAGTGGATTTTTTTTAATTTTTAGTGACCATTTTAAGTAGTAAATAGGAGTTTGTTCGCAAAAGGTGATTGTCCGCAAATGTGCTTTTTCCAAAAATTAAAAAAAAATTTTTTTAAGTCCAGCCGCCAGAAACGCCAAAAAAATAATAGCCACAATAAACACTTCTCAACCAAAAACTTTTGGAGATTCAGAAATTCATTTATCACAAATTGACTATTTAGTTGAACATTCTATCAATACAACACCAATTTTTGAATTACCAGCAATTGAATCGAATGACCAGGAAAGATTAATTGGAAAATGGATAGCTGAAAATTTAGTTGATAATGGGGCGACTTTACAAATGGGTGAGGAATAAATAGAGGAGGTTTTTTATGTTAATTAATTTTGGGGGGACATTTTTGGAGTTTTTGTTGGGTTCGTTTTTTACTTAAAGTTTTTTGGGGTTGTCCGCAATTTTTATCCGCAAATTTTTTTTTGAATTAAAAATTTTTTTTGGTTTTCCAGCTGTTTCATTTATACTTGTGAATGATTATCTTCGTTTCCCTCTCGAGATTTTTCTTTTAAAATTTTACGAATATTAAATTTGGGATCAGATGTCCAAGTATAGTAGTTTTTCTAGTCTTTATTTTTCTTATTTAAATTTATTTTTTGGGGAGACATGACCTAGTATTTTATTGTTTTTTTTTTGTTTTTGTAACTGAATTTATCCCTTAAATTTTTTTAAAGTTTTTCCTCCGTCTTGTCCGCAAGTTCAAAATTTTGTCCGCAAAAATTGTCCGCAAATTTTTAATTTTTTCATCATTTTTAAAGGAATAGGTTCAATCCCGAACAACGTTTTAGATCAATTAAAACAACACAAAAATTTGGGTATTCACACAGAAATGATAAGTGATGGAATTGTAGATTTATTAAAATTGGGAGTAATTAATAACAGTCAAAAAACAATGTATCCAGGCAGAATAGTTACTTGCTTTGCTATGGGGTCTAAAGAATTTTATGAAATTTTGGATGGAAATCCTTTATTTTGTTCGGTTTTATTTTTTTTTATTTTTATTTTAATAAAAAATAAAGTAAAAATTTTAAATTAAGTTTTGGGAGGTTGTCCGCAAATTTAGTCCGCAATAATTTTTAAATTAGGCTGTTCATTTAATTTTTAGTTGATTTTAAGTAAATTTTTATATAGGTTACATATTTAAATTAAATAGTCGTGTTTAAGTTTGTGGTGGCCGACTGGTTAGCGTGCTTGTCTTGCCTTGTCGGCCATGAGGGTTCGAATCCTTCCTGGGTTATTTAGTTGTTATGACCATTTTTTGGCTTAAAAATTATTTTTAAATTAAAAAAAAATTTTTTTTTCAAATTCCTAAAATTTAATTTAAAGTATTTGGAAGTGCTGGATTCACCAATTCAATTACGACTATTATCCAACAAAGTAAAATGACCGCAATAAATTCGGCTATAGAAGTAGATTTAACTGGACAAGTATGTTCTGATACTATTGGAAAAAGGTTTTATTCTGGTAATTTTTTTTAAGTAATAAAGATTTTTGTCCGCAATTTAAAATTTTTTTTTAATTTTTAAAAAAAATTTGTCCGCAAATTTTTTGCGGACAAAAAAATTTTTGCGGACAAAACTTGCGGACAAAAATAAAAAATTAATTTTTTTCCCATAGGTTTTGGTGGCCAAGTCGATTTTATTTTTGGATCATCCGTAGCTTTGGATGGTCTTGGAAAAGCCATAATCGCCCTTCCTTCAAGAACATCTAAAGGAGAACCTAAAATTGTTCCTCATGTAAAAGAGGTTTGTGGGCCATCTAAATTTTAAAAATAAATATTTTAAGGGGGCTGGAGTTGTTACAACTAAAGGACACGTAAGAGCTTATTTATTTTTTAAATTTAAAATTTTAAAATTTTTGTCCGCAAAATTTTGTCCGCAAGTGAATATTTGTCCGCAAGTTTTTTGCGGACAAAAAAATTTTTGCGGACAAATTTTTTTTTAATTTCTAACGAACAAAAAATTTTTTTTAATTAAAAATAAATTCCAAAAAAAAATTTTTTTTCAAGTGTAATTATGTAGTAACAGAATATGGAATAGCTAGTTTGTGGGGAAAAACAGTCCGTCAACGTGCCTATGAATTAATTCAAATATCACATCCTGACGATAGGGAAATGCTTGAAAAAGAAGCCTTTAAACGGTTTGGGTTTATTCCAACAAAAGAAGATTAGTAATTTTTAAAAATTAATTTGAGGTATGTTCAAAATTCTCTTGCCTTAAATTTTTGTCCGCAAAATTTGTCCGCAAATTTTGCGGACGAAAAAATTTTTGCGGACAAAAAAAAATTTAAAATTAATTTTTATTTTTGTAAATTTATTTTTAAATTATCAGTATTCATATAGTTTAATAATTATAAAAATAGATATAAACTTTTGTTAAAAAAAATTTTTTTTTAATTTTTAAAATTCAAAAAAAAATTTATTTTTTAACTTGCGATAAAAAAAAGAGATTTATTTTTTCTTCCCAAAAAATCTCAATTAAAATAAAGAATTAAAACAAATTGTCCACCATCCCCCTACAAGATTTGTCCTAAATTTTCTTCCTTAAATTACCTTTCAAAAAAAATATATATTTAATTACTTCAACAAATAAATAATTTTTTTCTATAAATTACAAGACAAAATTACCTCGTTTTCAATGGAGGATATAACGAGAAAAGAATATTTTTTTTCTATTTTTAAATTATCCACTAAAAATTCCCTCACAAGTGTCCTTTGTTAATTATAGTTGTTCTTTTATAGAGTCTGGAAATAATCAGAATTTTTATTTAATAAATCAGAATTTATTTAATTTTTAATTAAACTTGTTTTGCATTAATTCTGGTTTTCAAATAAATTTGTTTTTATTAAATTCTGATTTTTAAATAAATAAACTTGTTTTTATTTAATTCTGATTTTTAAATAAACTTTTGGAAAAATTCTGATTTTTTAGATAAACTTGTTTAAGAAAAATTCTGATTCTTAACTAATTAAACTTGTTTCTCAGAATTATTTCTGATTTTAGATTAAAAAATCAGAATTTTTGTTCTAACGACTATGTATAATGTTTTTAAAATACCAGAATTATTTATCAGAAAAATATTTTTTAATTCTGATTTTTATTTTAAAAACCAAGTTTATATTTTTCAAGTTAAATTCTGGTTTTACAAAAAATTCAGAATTTTCTTTAAAAAACAATAATTCTGATTTTAAAATAACAAATGTCCTCTATTCACTCAATTGCCCACCCAAGCGGTTGTCATTTCTTTTACTTTTCATTTCCAATCAAAAAAAATTTTTTACTAATTTATTTTTACCCCGCGGCTTAAACTAAAAATACTTTTTATTTTCCTTGATTTTTTTCTTTTATTTTCTATTCTTCTTCCCATAAGCCGATCAATCGGCTTTTCTTTTTTAAAGAAAAAATTACTTTTGTTATTTAAATAATTTTTTAAACATGAGGTAATTATTATTAAACACAGTTGGATATTTAAAAATTATTTTTTTTTAAATTATTTAAATTAAATTTTATTATTAAATATATTTAAAGACAAGAACTATATCTATGTAGGTACATATTTTAGGTGAATTTGTTTTAAATAAATTCTGATTTTTTAAAAACTTGTTCAAAATTAATTCTGATTTTTTAGTTATGTTTTTAATAAATTCTGAATGTATAAAAATAATCATGTTTTTAATAAATTCTGATTTTAAATAATTAAGCTTGTTCAGAATTAATTCTGGTTTTTGTAAACTTGTTTAAAACTTGTTTTAATAAATTCTGATTTTATCTAATTAAACTTGTTCAGAATTAATTCTGATTTTAAATAAACTTGTTTTAGGAAAAATTCTGATATTAAATAATTAATAATGTTTTAAATTAATTCTGATTTTATTAAACTTGTTTAAAATTAATTCTGATAATATTTAAAAATAAATCTATTTAATTAACTAATAAATAAAAATAAAAATTTTTCCTGCGCGTGACTTCCATTCTCTTTCTATTTTTATTTTTACTTGGTTGAATAAATAAATATTTTTATTATTATTTATTTTTATTGGCCAACGAATGGTCAGTCTTTTCTATTAAAAAATACAATTTTCATATTTTCTGGCTTCCTTAAATTTATTATTAAAAATGTTAGGGCAACACTTTATTATTATTTGTTTTAAACACCTCTCATAAATATTAAAAATATATTATTTTGTTGTTCATTTTATAAAAGGTTAGTAATGTTTTAAAAAAATGTTTTTCTCCTTATTTCTAATATTAAAAACAAGTTTATTTAATTTAAATGTTTTAAAGAAATTCTTGTTTTTATCAACTTGTTTCTAATAAATTCTGATTTTTAATTTTAAGATAATTCTGATTTTAATAATTCTGATTAAAAATAAACTTGTTTTAAATGAATTCTGATCTTAAATAAAATAAACTTGTTTTAGTTATTTTAATTAAACTTGTTCTAAACTAATTCTGATTTTAATAAACTTAGATTAAAAATAAACTTGATTAAAAATAAACTTTGTTTTAGAAAAATTCTGATTTTTTATTAAACTTGTTTTAATTAAATCCTGATTGTTTTAGTAAACTTTAAATTAAATAAACTTTAATTAAAACATTATTTCCTTCCTTAAAATAAATCAACAAAACTAAAAATAAATAAATTTATTTTTAACGTATTTTCTTCCATTTTTCACTTTTCTTTTTTTTATTTCCTCCAAAGTAATAAAAAAGCTTGTTGAAAAATGGTGTCCAATCACAAAGGTTTTTTTCTTTGAAAAAATTAAAAGGAAAAGGAGGAAATAGACAAATAAATGGATTTTATTGTTAGTAAAGCTTGTCATCTTGTTTTACCTCACTATCCACTCACGCACGCATTTCGTAACTCTAAATGGCCAAATTGATTTTGGGTAATAAAAAATAAATAAATCTTTATAAGTACTATTTTATTGGGAAATAATTCTGATTTAAAAATGTTTTTAAAAAATTCTGGTTTTAATCAACTTGTTTTAATTCTGATTTTAATAATTCTGATTTTTATTCTGGTTCTAATAATTCTGATTAAAAATAAACTTGTTTTGAATAAATTCTGGTTTAATAAATGCTTGTTTTTATTTAATTCTGATTTTAAATAATTAAACTTGTTTGAATGAACTTCTGATTTTAAATCAACTTTTTTAATAAACTTTTTCAAATAAATTCTGATTTTTAAATAAACTTGTTTTAAATGAATTCTGGTTTCATGTTTTTATAAATAATAATAACTACCTATTTATACCTATGTTTAATTAGTTGACTGAACAAATAAAATAAAAAATATATTTTACGTCGAGAAAATTGTCAAAAAAAATTAAAAAATGTCACAATTTATTTCTTATTTAATTAAATGTTATTTGATTTAATTTAAAAAAATAAATCAAGCAAAAAATTATTTTTTCTCTTCAAATTTTTACTTTTATTTTTCCATTATTTATTTAAAAAAACTATAATTTAAAAACAAATAAAAACAACAGGTTTTTAAAATACTAGGCCGAATGTCTTAATAAATAGCTAGTAAAATTAATGTGAAAATAAATAAAATCTGTTGTGGTTATAATGGGAAGGTAAAAAGAAGAAAAATGTTTGGGTTTTATCACGAACATTCTTTTGAGTTTTATTTATTTTCTGATTTAATTTGGGGTATTTTTTGTTCATTTTTTTATATATTCTGATTTTAAATAAACTTGTTTTAATGAAATTCTTATTTTAAATAAACTTGTTTTAGAAAAATTCTGATAAACAGAATTTCAAAATCAGAATTAAATAAAAACAAGTTTATTTAAAAATAAGAACTAATTTGAAACAAGTTTAATTTTAATTAAACTTGTTTTAATGAAATTCTTACTTTAAATAAACTTGTTTTAGAAAAATTCTGATTTTCAAGCTGTAAGTTTAATTTTCAGAATTCCAATTTTAATTTATTTTTCAGAATTAAACTTGTTTTTCTGAAATTTAATAAATTCTGTTTTTAAAGTTTTATATGTTTTTACAAAATTCTGATTTTTATTTTTTTATTTCCTGCTGTCAAAAATTACTTTAATATTATTTTAACCGTTCTATATTTTTATCATTCCAATATTTATTCAACCAAAAACATTTTAGCCTTAATTTACCTCCAAATTCCCCCTATAATATTCACTTTTTGCTGTTGTAAAGGATTTTCTTTTCCTCTCTTTGGGGAATTCTAATGCTGCGACGTGGCTGAAATTATTGGAATTGACGGGGAAATATGTAAAAAACAATTTAAATTTTTTTAGAAAATTTATTATTTTTTTAAAATAATTTTTAAATGTTTTTTTATTTTATTTTTACATATTATTATTTATTATTTTATTATTTAAATCAGAATTATTTAAAAAAAACCAGACATTAAAATAAGCTTATTTAAAATCAGAATAAATTAAAAACATGGTTATTTAAATCAGAATTTAATTAAAACAAGTTTATTTAAAAAATGTTTTTGTATTTTAAGTTTATTTTCAAAAAAGTTTATTTAAACCAGAATTTTATTCAAACATGTTTATTTATAAATCAGAATTTTATAAAAACAAGTTTATTTAAACAATGTTTTTCTGTTCAATTTTATTTTCCAACAAAGTTTATTCAAACCAGAATTTTATTTAAACATGTTTATTTTTAAAAACCAGAATAATTTAAAAACAAGTTTATTTAAAATCAGAATTTATTTAAAACATTATTCTAAAAAATAATAAAAACATGTTCGCAATCCCCCCAAAAAATAACTACTACTATTTTCTACAAAAATTGTGAAAAAAATCCGTAATATAAACAACACAAAATTGAAGAATGAAAACGCGTCAGCCACCCCTAAAACACTCATTTTCCTTCTGTTCTGCTCTCTTTTTCATTTTATTACACCAACTTTTGGCCATTTCCTCTATTTTTTTTTGTTTTTTGGAGTTTTCTACGACTTTTGTTCCTTTCTAAACAGTAGCAAGTTTTATACAAACATTTTATATTTTGAGTTTTTAAGGTGAATTATTTGGAGAAGAAAATATTTATTTTTAGAGTATTTAATATGTTTTTCTTTTCAAGTTTATTTTCAAGTTTAATTAAAACAAAGTTTAATTAAAATCAGAATTTTATTTAAACAAGTTTTTTTAAAAATCAGAATTTTATCAAAACAAGTTTTAATTAAAACCAGAATTTATTTAAAACATATTTACTTTAAACAAGGTTATTTAAACCAGAATTTAATTAAAACAAAGTTTATTTAAAATCAGAATTTTTCTAAAACAAGTTTAATTAAAATCAGAATTTTAATAAAACATGTTTAATTAAAACCAGAATTTTATCAAAACAAGTTTATTTATAAACCAGAATTTATTTAAACATACCTACTTAAAACTAAGTTTATCTAAACCAGAATTTAGTTAAAACAAGTTTAATTAAAAATCAGAATTTTTCTAAAACAAGTTTGTTTTAAAAACAAATAAAATATCAAAGTTTATTTCATTCATAACAACATTTATTCCCTCAACAATAGTAAATACTCAAAATAGCGCAATTCAATTTAATTTCTCCTTTTCTTCCCCAAGCACTTTACTTCTTTTTAAAATCAAATCACAACCACCCCCCATTTTTATTTTATTTTCCCTCAATTTCTAAAAAATAAATATTTTCTCCCTCTTTTAAATAAACAAACAAACGTTCTTTTCTTTAAAAAATTTTTTTTCTCAAATTTTTTTTCTCTTCATGGCCCACCTCATTTCAATTTAAAGAAGAAAAAATATTTTTTATTTTATTTTTTGACTGTCGCTTTGAATGACTCAGTTTATATTTTTAGAGTTTATATTGGGCGGCTGCCTATTTTTTATATTTATTTTTTTTATTTTTTTTATTTAACAGAATTATTTTCAGTCTTAGCTTGAGGCATTATTCATTCACGTTTTGCTATTTTATTTTTTGAAATTTTATCCTTTAGGTTTTTTATTTTTTTAAGCAAATGTTATGGATGCGTATTTGATATGTGAAGAATAAAATATTATTATTTTTTAAATATTTTTTTAAGTTAAACTTAGACTCCGAAAAGTTTTCCGGAAGGTTTATAAAATTATCCAAAAGTATTAATTCTTTCCGGAAAGTCTTTAAAATATTTTTAAATTAAAACTTTTCCGGAAATAGTATAACTTTTCGGAAGTTATTTAATTTTCCGGAAAGTTATATAATTTTCCGGAAATTTTTATAGAACTTCCGGAAAGATTTTAATAAATAATTTCCGGAAGAATTATAATTTTCATATAATTTTCCGGAAAGTTTATAAAATCATTTAGAAGTGTTAAAACTTTTCCGGAAATAGTATAACATTCCGGAATTTATATAATTTTCCGGAAAGTTATATAATTTTCCGGGAATAGAAGGCATAGTCCCATAGCTTAAAAAAATATCCGGAAACTTTTCCGGAAGGTTTATATAAAAATAATTCGAACTGAGGAATATTACAAATATTATTAACTACTTCCGGAAAATTGTAGAATTATTTGTATAACTTTCCGGAATAATTAAAAACTAATCTTAAGAGAATTCCATCCTTCCGGAAAGATCACAAATAATAAATAATTAAAAAATAATTTTTTTTCTTATAAAATTTAATTTTTAGATACTCAGTTATTTAAATTAAATATTTGCTTATTTTTCAATTATGTAATTTAAATTATTTTTTAATTAAAAAATAAAATAAACCAACAAATCTTAAACAAAATAAAAATTTAATTAAAAAAATACGAGCTAAAATTTAAAATTTTAAAATTTAATTTAATGTTAACAACATCCTCTTCCTTATTTTATTATTTTAATAAAAATAAAAATTATTATTTTCCCCTTTTAAATTTAATTAAAAAATTAATTCACCCTTGCCTTAATTATTACCGCCAAAACAAAATTAAATTTCCCTATTTTTTATTATTAATTTTATTGAGTACATTTCCAAATAAAAACGAGGCTAATAATAATATTCAAAGAAGGCATAGTCCTTTTGCGCAAGGAAATCTTTTTGTTGTTTTTGATGCAAAGAGTGGACGGTCGTCTACGCAGAGTCCACAAATGGCCAACTTAAGTGCACTTTGGTGAGAAAAAAATTAGAAGAAAATTCCGGAAATTTTGATAAAATTTTATGGCTATAACCCTTCCGGAATTAGAAAAATGGGATTTAAACTTTCCGGAATAACTTTAATAAATAATTTCCGGAAGAATTATAATTTACATATAACCTTTCCGGAAGTTATATAACTTTCCGGAAATAATTTCCGGAAGTATTATAATTTCCGGTAAATTTTAAATTTTACACTTTCCGGAAGAATTATAATTTTCATACAACCTTTCCGGAATTTTATTTAACTTCCGGAAATTTTTCCGGAGGGTTATATAAAAATAATTCAAACGGAGGAATTATACAAAATTTATAAACTATTTCCGGAAAATTGTAGAATTATTTGAATAACTTTCCGGAATTTTAATAAACAATTTCCGGAAGCATTATAATTTCTGACTACTTCCGGAATTATTTTTTTCTATTTATTTTCCTATATAACTTACCGGAGAATTTTCCGGAAAGCCTTTCCGGAAATTTTAATTATATTTTTAATATTTCCGGAATAATTTAAAAAATATACAATTGACTTTCCGGAAAGATTGTAGGAATACAAAAAAGCTTATAGTAATTTTATTTTTTGTTTAAAGGTGTCAGGCGACATCTAACGGCAAAGACGTTCTCCGAATTAAAGAAGCAAGATTTGGTAAATTTAATTTAATTTTTTCTTTTTAAATATTATATCCCGCTGTTTGAAATAAAAATTAAAAATAAAAATAACCTTTTATAATTTAAGTAAGAGTACTTCCAAAACCAGAAGAAATACACGAGGCGAGGTAAAAATTTAAAAAATAAAAAAATAAAAGAAAAAATAGAGAAAAATAACATTATTAAAGTAAGAGTGAGATAAAATTTTAATCCCGGGCAGGCTCCGATCCTGCGACCTCCTGGCAGTTATTGCTAGGAGCTTTCGTTCACCACGTACAGGTGCTCTACCAACTGAGCTACCGGGACGCTGCTTTCGCCTTCTTTTTTTTATTAGATCTTAAACCCCCGCCTAGTGAGCGTTTTAAATGCTAGCCAGCTAAAAGCTTTTTCTTTTTTAATTAAATTATCAAAAATTAATTTTAATTAAGATATTAATCAAAAAAAAAATTTTTTTTTAAGTAGGTACAATGGAGCTCGAACCCGTGCCTTTCTAGAATTCGATTCCCCAGCACCAATAACTTCAGTAGGCAAATATCGTTGTGAGATAAACACAACAACTGTGGAGGAAGGAGAAGAAAAAAGGGTTACAGTTGTAGGGAATTTATTTGTAAATATGCGGCCTGTATTAATATTAAATGCAACTACTAGATTAGATCAAGTAGAAGATGGAAATTTGTGAGAGAAAAAATTTTGGGACTGGGTCATTAGGGCGCGGGGCCATTAGGGCGCGAGCTTATAAAACAGTTAGTTTCTTATCAAAAAAGATAAAATTTTGCAATAATAACTCTCATGCCTTTATCTACGGTCTCCAAAAATTTCAGAATTTTTGATCAAGAATTTCGGAAATTGTGGCCAAAAATGTTGATTTTCCGAAAAAACCCTAATTTTTCGCGGTCTATCGACTATAACTTCAGAAATATTCGATTAAAAATTCTGAAATTTCTGGAGGAGGTAGTCAATGATGTTAAAGAAATTTGGGAAAATTTTCATAAATTTCGGTTTCGCCTAAGTGTCAGTTTCTAGTGCTGGCGTCCTAATGGCCCCGCGCCCTTATGACCCCAACCCAAAAATTTTAAATTTAAAAATATTTTTTTATTCAAGTTTTTCTTGGATCGGCTCAGCCAAAACAGTACCATTAGGGGGTGATGTATTTATTGAATGTCCAGCTATTGGATATCCTTTGCCTGAAATACGATGGTTTAAAGATAATAGGCCGCTTAGTAAGTTTACAAATGTTGTGGAAAAATTTCCGTAATTGTAAAACTATTTTTATTACTTTCCGGAAAAGTGGAATTATTATTTAGATTACTTTACGGAAATATTTGATAGATTCCGGAAGGATTGTAAAATTATTTTATTACTTTCCGAAAGGAGTAAAATTTAATTTAGCTTTCCGGAAGAATTGTAAAATTATTTTATTACTTTCCGAAAGGATTGTAAAATTTAATTTATTACTTCCCGGAAGGTTTGTAAAATTAATTTTAACCTTCCGGAAGGATTGTAAAATTTAATTTATCTTCCCGGAAGGATTGTAAAATTTTATTTTAACCTTCCGGAAAGTTTCCATTATTTAACAACTATTTCAATTTTCTGAACCTACACTAATTATTCTTCCAGATACTAGCGTTCTGTTACCTCCTGATAAAATGCGTAAAACAATCTCAAGTCGTCGCAAATACGTATTAACTGCAAAAGCATTGTATATTAGGTCAATAGACGTCGATGACGAGGCTACATATAAATGTTTAGCTACAAATTCATTTACAGAAGAATTTGGAAGACCACCACGAGAGTTTCAGGTTACCTTGGAGCATTATGTGAGGATTCCATGTGAGGAACACAAAAAAAATTTTTAAATTCATTTTAGTCATATTTTTAAATAAATTTACTAGAAATTAAGTTTATCTGCTATTTCGGCTGCCTACAAATTTTTAATCCCTCACGGAAAATATTTCAATAATTTCAAACTTATCGGAAAAATATTGTAATATTCTCCGTAGGGTTGGGGTTTTCGAGTCGGACCGACGTTCGAGTCATTTTTATCGGGCTGGCCAGACCGAGTCTTTTTCGGGCCAAAATTCAAGGCCCGACTCGATCTTTCGGACCGGGCCCCCAACCCTAATTCTTCGATAGAATTAAACTTTCCGGAATTGTATTACTATCAAGAAAATACAGTATATAGAATATGTAGAAATAAGACTTTCCGGAAATTATATAATAAATTAAATCCTTCCGGATTTAATTTCTAAATTTATTTTAAATATGACTAAAATATAAATGTGTAAATAAAACCTTTGGAAGGATTATTTTTCCTGAATTGTATTTTTTTTATTATTTTCTTCCCTATAATACAAACTTTTCTTTCCCATTTTTCGAGCTGACAAATTAAGACAAAGCGAAAGATTCACTTTTTATTTTTATATATTTTCCAAAATGATTGATGAAATGGGGGAAGGCTGATTAAAAAATATGTACTTTTTGGTTATATAAAGTTAAAGGGGCGAGGTATTTTTATTTTTCATTCACATTTTCTTCTTTAACTATTTTTAGCTCCTATATTTTTAAAAAATTTTTTAATTAAAAAAAAAAATTTTTTTTTAGTAGCAATGTCTTGGATAATTCCTCTCATAATTATTATTGCAAGTCTTCTACTTTTAGCACTAATAATTTGGGGCTGTTCACAAAAAGACCGCAACAAGCGGAACCAATACAACGTTGCTCAAAAAGAGTGAGAAAAAAATTTAATTAAAAATTAATTTAAAAAATTAATTTTTTTTTCACAGAAAAAAACATTTTCGCGCATCGGGAGGTGAGGGAGGTAGACCACCCACTGAGGATGAATTGGACGACTAAAAAAATTTTTTTAATGACTAATTTTGTTTTGTTTCTGGCCGGTGCAATCTCAAGAATATAATAATTTTTTTTCTTTAACTTTTCGTGCAAAAATTTAAAAAAAACTGACAAAAACCTGTTCCTCTCAAATTTACATACATAAGTAGGAAAATTTAATTTTTTTTTATTAAATTGATTTTCGTTTATTTTTTTATTGTTTTTGTTTTATATTTTTAGTACACTGTTAGATAAACAAAAAAAATAATATTTAATTTATGGTAAATTGTTTTAAATATTTTCTATGTATTTTATAGTTATCAGTAAAAATATAGGAGGTTATAGAAGGCTTTAAAAATGCTGCAATAATTATTAACTGTTTTCCGGAAAATAGAAATAAACATTTCCGGAAGGAAATAAAATTGTAATTTATTACAAAGTTGTAATAGAATAGTTTCCGGAAAAGTAAACTAAAATTAAATATTCCGGGAGGGAATAAAATTGTATAATAAAATTTCCGGAACGTTGTATAAATAATTACAGCTACCCGGAAAAATTACAAAAGTTATTAAAATATTTATATTTATCCCGTAAAGAAAAAAGACAAAAAAAAGCGAAAAATTGGGAAAGTTGATATGATGCTTATTCTTAATTTTATATTATATAGAATATATATTATTTGAGAGTAATAAAAATAAAATTTGTCTTAAAAATAGAAATCTGATTTTAACAAAAAAAATTTAAAAAATTAAGGAAAAAACTTGATTTAATAAATTTTTTTTTGAAGAAAATTTTTGAAAAAATATTTTTACAACAAGTCTTACTTAATCAAGATATAAATCAAACCTCACAATAGGGACTGAAAAAATCGTTTCTTATGACAAGGTGTATCTTAAATAGAGGTCGGCACGAGACAGGATTCCGTACCGGATTTTACAGGATCCTGTCCCGAAATCCAATATTTTAGGCGACGAACGGGATTATCGGGATTTACGGGAGTAATCCCGCGGGATCCATGTCCTGTAAAAATTTTTGAAAAGAATCCCGTTACGGGATCCAGGGAATGTAATTTTACAGACCTCTAATCTTAAATATATTGGGGGTATTATTTAGACAGATTATGGCCTCACTCCCCCCACAACCTATTTCGCCAACCAAAATTTAAAAAAGAATTTTAAACAAAAGAAAAATAATTTTTGAAGGGTATCCTATGTATAGTGAGGTCCGATCCTACTACTAATTGTAGTAAGTAAAAAAAATTTTTTAATTTTAATTTTACCAACTTTGCCAATCTGTCGTATCTATTTTTGTTGTTTTCGATTTTTCAACTTCATTTTTCTTCCATTTTTCAGTATTTGAAGGAATTGTAGGTGATTTTTGTCTAGCCAATATTGTTGTAGCAAAATTACCTCCTCCTCCACTTCCAAAATTTGAATTTAAATTTAAATCTTCTTCATCCCCATAATTACTGTTATTACTACTTGAAGTTATTGAGGATTTTGTTATTGAAGGCTTTTTAGTTTGTTGTTGGTGTATTTTTTGTTGTTGATGATATTCTTCTTCTTCTTCTCCAAATAATAAAAGGTCTACATCTTCTAATAAAATTTAAAAAATTTAAAAAAATTTTAAAACCATTTTTTGAAAATTAAAAAAATTCTAAGTTCAAAAAAAACTCCGAAAAATTTTTTTTAATTTAAAAATTTTCAAAAAAAATTTCAAAAAATTTTTTTTGAATTTTTTTTTGAAATTTTCAAGGTTTCAAAATTTCAAAAAAAATTTTCAAAAAAAAATTAAAACTTTGTTGTTGTGTTTGGCGATGAGTCATTTTAACTGCTCCAAGTTTTAATGCTTTTCCTCCTGTTGATGAGGCTGTGGTTGATCCTTTAGTTACTGGAGGGCTTGGTTTTTTAAATGTAGCAGACTTAATTTCCAACGTAGATTTAATATTTGATGTTAAGGTTGCCTGAAAAATAAATAAAAAATAGGCATATTACAAATTGGGCATTTTGGAAATTGACCGTTTTGTAAGATTGACCATTTTTAAATAAATTTTCAAAAAATTTTTTAAAATTCCCAAACCATGGCGGGACGGGATCCCGCGCGGGATTTTGTGGGATCCCGTCCCACAATCCCGCACTTTTTTCGACTTGCGGGATTTATCCCGCGGGATCCCGCAAACACAATTTTGCCGGCCTCTAGTAGATACATAAAAAATAAAAAAATCAAAAGAAAAACCTCTTCATCATTAATAGATTCCCAACTATCAGCATCTATAGCACAAGTTCCACCACCACTATTACCCCAATCATCATCCTCATTATTACTTATATTTCTAGTATTTTTGTTTATTTTGCCAATATTTTTTATATTTTCCTCTTCTTCCTCAACTTCATTGTCTGATAATTCTTCATCTCCCCAACCATCAGAAATTGCAGAAATATTTTTATTAATATTTTGAGTAGCCTGAAAAATTAATTGAATGAAAAAATGTGTTTTTCAGGTACAACAGCCAAAAGAGAATAAAAAATTTTTTAAATATTTTTAAAGTTTTTCTGGTCAATTTTCAAGGATGATTATTTCCTTTTTCCCTATCCATTAAAATTTAAGCCCAGAAAAAAATTTTTGAATGCAAAAATATTTAAAAAAATTTCTGTGAACCCTGAAAACAGGGTTTTTCAGAAAAATTTTTTAATTGGAAAAAAAATTTTCTTTAAAAATTTTTTTTGGAAATTTTGAAAAAAGATCTTAAAATATTTTTTAAATTTTTCCTGGTCAATTTTTAAGAATGTTTTTCAATTTTAAGAAATTTTTTTGGAAAAAATTTTTTTGAAAAATTTAACTCAAAAATAATTTATTTAAAAAATTCTTTAAAAATATTTTAAAAAATTCAAAATAATTTAAAAAAATTCCCAACCTCTTTTTTATCCTCCATTTTAGTAACCACATTTCCTTTCGATATATTCTTCTCATTTTCAATTTTAGTAGAAGATGCTTCTCTAACATCTTGTTGTTCAGTTGGAGTTGTTTCGGGTGTTGGAGTTGTAGACTTATAAAATTTACCAGAAATTGCTTTAATTGCCCAACCAGCCCAATGAGGGACCTTTAATAATTTTTTTTAATTTCTAAAAAAATTTCAAAAAAACCTTATCTCCACTAAGCAACCCAACTTTTCCGCCGGCTTTAACTTGTGCTTCCATTTCAGCAATAAGTTCTGGGTTATCACTCGCTTTTTGAAGTTTTTCGAGGAAGCCGCTTAGAGCTTTAAATGTTTGGTCTCGAACCTAAAAATTTTTGAAAATTTTTCAAAAATTTTTCAAAAATTTTTAAAAATTTTCAAAAATTTTTTTTTTTAAAAATTTCGAAAATTTTTTTAAAAAATTTCAAAAAAAAATTTTCAAAAAAATTTTTTTTTAAAAATTTCAAAAAAAATATTTTAAAAAACCTGTTTTTCAGGGTCAACAGCCAAAGGACTTAAATTTGGCAAAACTTTTTGAGCTACTTCATTTAAAGAAAAATATTGTTGTGTGGCACTTAAGGCAATAACACCAGACAATCTTGCAGGTGGAAATGGATCTTTTAAGGCACGTGTAAAAGCAGAAATTAAAATTCTTTGGCGATGACTGGCATCGATAAAACAACCAATTTTGCCGAGACACTAAAAAAATAAATTAAAATATTAAAAGGGCTTGAAAGGACCATTTATTTCAATAAGTAAAAATTTGCACACTACTTATAAATAACTTTTCAAGTTAAAACACAGTCCGCCCGTAGTGTAGTGGGTAAAGCGATGGAGGGGAGAGCTTGCTAGGACCCAGGTGGTACCGGGCGGGGCTATTTTTGCTACTCGAATAATAATTTTTTTTAGTTATTCAAAAAAGCATGTATTGGGAAAACAAAATGGAAATTAGGTGAAAATAAGAAATTTTTGGAGAAAACCTCATAATCTTTACTTAAAAACAGCTAAGGCCCAATCACTTAAATATAGTAAAAATAAATTTGAAATTCAAAAAACTAACGATTGTTGTATTTGTTCTAATGCTAGGTTCTGGATCTGATCCTTAAAAAAAAATTTTTTTTATTTAAGAATTTTCTTGAAATAATATGAGATTTTTATTTAAAAAAAATTTTTTTAAGTCGAAAATTTTTTAAAAATTTTTCAAAAAATTTTTCAAAAAATTTTTTTAATTAAATTCTAATAATTTCAATAATTTTAATAATTTTTATTTTATTAAAAATTTCAAAAAAAATATTTTTTTCCTACAAAAAAATTTCAAAAAAACCTTGTAATTTAGCCAAAAAATTTTCTTAATTAAATTTTAATAATTTCAATAATTTCAATAATTTTTATTTTATTAAAAATTTCAAAAAAATATTTTTTACAAAAAAAAATTTCAAAAAAACCTTGTAATTTAGCCAAATATTTCATCAAATCATTATTTAAATTATTATAATTCAATTTATCTGCAAAGGAAACAATAGCTTTAACTGTGCTTTCACGAACAGCAGAATTTGAATCGAGGAAACCGGTAATTAAATTACTTGAAAAAATGTAATTTTTATTTTAAAATTCTAAAAAAACGAACGGATAAATTTTCTCATTGACAACTTGAGGTTTTAAACGGCTGGAAAACTCGTCAATTTTTTCTAGTAATTTGACTCTGAAAATTAAAAAAAAATTATAAAAGGTTTGGGTTTCAGTGATGTAAAGGGCTATCCAAAATCCAATACCAGGACATGCTTTCGATCTGAAATTCGAAACCCGATCCAAGAAAAAATTAAAATTAAAAAAATTATCCGAAAAAAAATTATTTTTTTTATCCAAAAAATCCAAAAAAAAACCCCGATCCAAAAAAATATTCCAAAATTCTATCCGACTTTTTTCTATACCCGTAACATCCCTCTGTTAGATTAAAAAAATAAATAAACCGAGTAGTACGATCAGAAGAACTAAACAGCTTCACTAGGCAAGGAACTATTCGTTGTTGATACTAAAAAAGAAAAAAATTTACTTCCTTAGTCGTTTTTTAAAATTTTTGGAGAAAAATCCACAAAAATATTCAAAATACTAACAAAGGAACATTTTTTAATACTTGCGTGCAAATTTCATATTTTTTGGTTCCATTTAATAAAAATTTGAACGGTCATAACTCGCCCAGTTACTTTTAAGAACACGGATATCTTTTTTCAAAAGGAAGTTGAGAGTCCTCTATCGAATGGAGGATTTCCCCATAAATTTTTCTTTACATTTCCCATTTTTACGTGGATGAGAGGAAATTAATTTATTTCTAATATTACCTAATTGAAAGGCCTAATGTCATCGACCAAATCTAATTAACAAAAAATAAACCCCATTAAAAACAAACCTCATCTTCATCAAGTAATTTGCCAAGTTTAAACATTGGAAGAAGAATGTGTGCACCAGCATCTCCGTACTCATAAGTCTAAAATTAATAAAATTAAAAAAAAATAAAAATTTAAAAAACATGAATAAGTTTAGGCAAAATTTTATTTCTTGCAATATCTTCAGGAAAAAGTTCCAAATTTGTGTTTAAACGAACAAAAAAAGATTGCTTTTCTGGTGCTTCTCGAAGCTGTAAAATATTGATAAAAATTAAAAGAGGGGAAAATAAAAAGAAAAAATTATTTTAACATTAAGAATATCAAGGAGAAACTGGAAATCTTAAGAGGCAAAAGAATCTCCTTTTAAATAAAAAAAATACGGAAGAGAAAGGAGAGGCGGAAGAGGACTGCTTTTAGTCACTCCAAAAATAGTCAAAATTTAAAGGCCCATAATATATCCGAAACTAGCTCCACAGTCAAAAACAAGTCTACAATTAATAACAGATTATTGACTATATTCTGTTGAAGGAAGCCAAAAAATAAGTTAAAGTAATCTCCTTATAAGTTCATTAAATATTTTACAATTTAAAAACAGGGAAGTGAAAGGGGACAGAAATCTTGTCATGAATTTTAAGAAAATAAAATTAAAATAAATTTAGAAAATAAATTAGCAAAAATATTTTTGGTTAAATAACCTGAAATTCATCAAGAAACAATAAAGTATCGACAAATTTATTTTTCATAAAGCCTCCATTTGCTCTACATTCTAAAAAAATAATAATTTTAAAAATTCAAAAAAAATTAAAAAAAAACCATTCAAAATATCCCCAACAGTCATCACAGCTCGCAATTTTGCACAAAGCCTTTTATATAATGGATGTATTCTTTTAGGTATTTTTGAAAGAGCAGAAGGGGAAGAAATATCCAAAGAATCATTTTTAGTAAATATTTGAAGAACAACTGAAGCTAGGTCGTTTAAATCGACTTGGGGAGAGCTTTAAAAATAATTAGAATTTTTTTTTAAAAAATATTTTGAAAATTTAAGAAAAAATTTTTAGGCCTCAAAAAATATTTTTTATTGATTAAAATATAAAAATTAGTCCTCTAGAAAAAAAAATTCAGTGAAAGGAATCGAACCCTGAAATACCCCAAGCCAAAACCCAACACCTTAACCACTCGGTCAACCAGAACTTAACTTAAAACTAAATAATAACCCCTAATGATTTAATTTAAAAATACCCTTAAAACTAAATTTAAAAGAACCTTAAACTGCCTGAACTTTGAAAAGCAGCCAATTTCCAATCACCGGAGGAAGTAACAAAAATAGCATTTCGCATATTATTTTGAGACAATTTAGCTTCATTATGTAAAAATTTAAGGCAATTCTTTAAAAATTTGAAAAAAATTTTAGAAAAAATTAATTCAAAACAGACCAAAACTTGATATAAACCCCAAGATACAACCAATTCTAATTGTGTAGCGGTCAATTTAGTTTCTGATAAATAATAGGCAAGAGGCCGGCAGGGTTCGGTAATTAAATAGAATGAGCCTTCAACCTTTAATTTTTTAGAAAAAAAATTTTTTTAGGAAAATTTTGTAAAAGAATAGAGTATTATAAGGAAGGTTCTGCCTATTTCTACTTTCATTTATTTTTTTGTTTATAGTCTCGACTGCAACTGAGAATACAATGTTAAAACATCCGTTAGATCAACTTTTAAGGTAAATTTTAAAAATTCTGAGGACCCACAGAAAACTAAAAAATAAGCTAACACCAAAACAAACTAAGAAGCTTGAACGGATAATCACTGACCAAATTTCAAACGTTTCAACCCCAAATAATGCCATAAAATTAAAAAAAACTTTTGAAAACTCTGGCTTAAACGAAAATAATAAAGGAATGAATAAGCAAAAAATTGCCAAAAAAAAATTTAAAAAAAAATTTAAAAAAATTAAAAAAAAACCTCCAAAGAATCCAAATAAGCTAGCACATTAGGATGCCTCAGAGTTTTTAATTTTTGAGCTTGAATTTTAAGTGAAGTCGAATTTGCATTTAAAGTCCAAAAACAGGTTGCCTTTTCTTGAGGTTCTGACTGGAAATTGAAAAAATTAAGAAAATTAGATAAACAACAAAGAAACCTTTTTTAAACTTTTGCCAACATTTATTTGTTCTTGTGTCAGAACAGTAAAAGTCTCGGTAGGAAGTGAATAGGGAAATGAGGTGCGGGGATCTCTAGAGAAAAAAGAGCTTAAAACTGAAGACATTTAGTTGGAAAAATTCTCTTAAATCTAAAAATAAAAAAAGTCATGTCGGGCTAACTCGCGGTACGGACAAATCACGGAATTACCAAATTACGGAACGACCAACTCACGAAATGAGCAAAACATGGAATAATTTAAAAGTCAAAATTTTCTGAAAAATCTGAATATTTAAAAAAATAAGACTTTTTAACAAGCTAGTCTGTTCCGTGAGTTGGAATTCCTGGAGTTAGTCAAAAAAGTTTTTAAGAAGTCCACGTAATTCAGACAAAATTCCAGCGTAAAACAATTCGTTTTAGTTGACATTTTTATTTATTTTTGGCTAGTTGACAAAATGAAATTATTAAAAAATAAAATGTCGTTATTAAACATTATGCCAAAACTGAGAGATTTTTTGATTTTTGAAAAATATTTTTGATTACCTCTAATTATTCAACTATAACTTTTTGTAGGATGATCTGATCAAATCAGTCCTGTTAGTTAAAATAATCCTCAAAACAAGAGCTTTCGATTGATATAATAATTATTTAAATCAATTCGAGGTTAAAAAAGTTATGGTTCTAAATATAACCTCAAATCTGTTACGGTCAGAATCCCTCGGGTTTTTTTAATTTCTATTTTTTATTTTTTTATTCTTAGCTTTCTTGAAATAAAAAAATTGTTTTATTCAAAACATAAAACAAATTTTTAAATTAAATAGCTATGGAAACACAGAAAACAAATTAAGAAACTAGGGTTGATCCATGACTCCCCAATCATCAAACGATATAATTTCAGTCAAGTCTCCGACCTCTAACTCCGACAGTCCATTCATCGACATCCCCGTTCCCTGAAAAAAGTTTTCCCAACGGATCAGGAATGGTTGGGGAGACCTTGGCTTGGGGAGACCTTGGCTTCTTTAAATGTTTCTTTAACGTTTTTTAACCTTCAAAAATTAAATTTTCTTTTTTTTCTAAATTTTAATACATTCACTTTAATTTATTAACCTCTCTAAATTTAATTTATTTTTTCTATTGAAAAATTCTTTTCACACATTTTTATTTATTTTTTCCCCTACTTTTCACCTTTTCTTTACCTTTATTTTCTCGTCTCGCGCAACTTTTCTTTTTATTTTTAACAAAAAAAATTTTTTTCTAATTTATTTATTTATTCTTCAATCATTTTTCTATTCATCTACAAAATTTTATATTCATTTTTATTTAATAAAATTAATCACGTCAATTTATTTCTCTAAAAACCCTTCAAAATGTTCAATAAAAATTATAAAAGCTTTAATAAAATATTAATTAAAATTTTATTTTTTGTTCTATTACTTGACCAAAATGTACTTACAGAATCACAAAAGGAACGCAATGAAAATGAAAATCCACGTATATCCTTCTTTAGCTAATTTTTCAAAAAATCCTTCCCGTGGTGTAGTGGGTAACACGATTGACTTGCACTTTCTTGGGGACCCGGGTTCGATACCTGGCGGCGGAGGGTATTTTCTTTTTTTATAATACTTCTTTTGGCTAAACTACAGTTTCCGTACCAGGCTCAGAATTGGACGATTTATATGTCATTCGAAAGAGCTCGTCGAGCTGAGTCGAACGTCACCAAAATTATTCAGCGGAAAAAATTCTGAGCCGAGTTACAGACCCCTAAAGTTCAAAAAACCATAGGGGGGACCAAGCTGTTTTCTGGGGGTGAAAAATTCGAATATGCAAATAATAGCTCATTCGAAAGAGCTCCTTGAGCTGAGTCGAATGACACCAAAATCAACGAAATCCGACTTGATTTGACAAAGTTATGACCGTTTGTTTTAGCTCCTTACCTATGGCATCTTTGGAGATTTTTGCTGCTACGGAGGCCCCAAATACGTCCAGAGCAAGGGAGATAGGAATAGGTTTATGTTACGAGCCCAGACCCAGCGCCCGTAGACTCCCCGCGAGGCGCGTGCCGCAAAACCCCGCGCGAAGCGCGGGGTTTTGCACAAGCGCCTCGCCGACGCTCCATAGGTTTAGGCATTTTGTTTTTTGTCATAACTTTGTCTAATCTTGTCCAATCACGGTGATTTTGGTGTTATTCGACTCAGCTCGTCGAGCTCTTTCGAATGAGGTATAATTTGCATTTTCGATTTTTTCACCCCAAAAAAGTGCTTGGTCCCCCCTTTGGTTTTTTGAACTTTAGGGGTCTGTAACTCGGCTCAGAATTTTTTCCGCTAAATAATTTTGGTGCCATTCGACTCAGCTCGACGAGCTCTTTCGAATGACATATAAATCGTCCAATTCTGAGCCTGGTACGGAAACTGTAGTTAGGCCCTTCTTTTTTAGGTGCTGAAAATCCACGTAAATCATTTTTAACTACCTTTATTAAAAAAATGTTCCCATGGTGTAGTGGGTAACACGTCTGACTAGTACTTTTCTGGGGGACCCGGTTCGATACCTTTCGTCGGAAGAAGCTTTCTATTTCCATAATAACACTTTTTAAAGTTCTAAAAAGGCCGTTTGTAGTCTATTTAGTTAAAATAAAATTTTATTCAGACTGTTCTTTGCCGCATGATAAGGGTGTTTCATGCTCTGGCACCAACTCTCCAAACCAAAATTCAAAACAATTTTATTACAATTCACAGACCGGTTTTTACCTATTTTTTAAATCTCAAAAAAGTTTAAAGGTCTTTGTCAACCTTTTATTTACAATGGATGTGAAGGAAACGATAATCGTTTCGAATCTGCTAGTGCCTGCAGAAAGGCTTGTAGTAGCAGTGAAAAGAGGGATCCGTGGGTTTTAGGTAAGTTAAATTTTTGGGGGGGGAAATTTATTGAGATTAAAAAGTGAGGTAAGGAAGAGGTCAAGGACTGAGTTAAAGAAAGGAGGGAGAATCTCAAAAAAATTTTTTTGACTTCTAAAATGACAGAAAATCCCATTTTGGCAATTAAAAGACAGAACGCCAAGACCCGGAATTTTTGGTTTTTAAAAGGGAACCTTAGGCAAGGTTTGGGTTAAACGTACGTCGTTTTTCAGTCTTTTGGTAGCTGGCATCAAACTTGGCCTTAGTTTTAAATTTTTCCCCCAGATATCACACTTTTCCCTAAACACACAAAATTCCACGCCTTTAGAATACCTTTATTTACAAAACAAACAAATACTATATACATACGACAATAATAGTGCGCAAACACAACATAGGGGCAATTACATAGACATATTTTACAATTGTGAACAAATATAGGAAAAACTACAATTGGTGACAAATACAAGGCATTAGAGCATTTTTATAGTATCACTTTGATGACTGCTCTCCGAGTTGGAACCATCCTTTCCTTTCTTCTTCTCTTCCGTTGCCGCTGCACCTTCACATCCCGCGGCGTCCCGTCCACTAGTTGCCGCCCTTCTGGCCCATAGCTTGCTGGAGCTGCTCCACGTAGGGATCGAGGTAGCCTGAAAAGGAACGAAAGGATGGATTTTGATAGGGTTAAGGAGGAAAACAAGAATTCGTACCGTATTTGTAGGCAGCAGCAACAGAGCAGACAATGGCGAGGAGGAAGATTAAGACGGCGGCGCCCATGTTGATTTGTAGCTGTTGTTGAGAAGCACGAAGATGGAGTAGTAGTAGATTATGGCAGGTTGTGGAGTGAGTGTTCTAGAGGCTTTTATAGTTTTTCCGGAAGGATTCCGGAAAAACTTTTCTCCCTCTCAAGAGTAACTAGTATAAAAGCAACTAGTCTTCAACCCTCTTCAACAACCTCGCCATACTCAGCGTGCTACAACGACTTCAACAGCCTTCACAACAACAAATCAACATGGGTGCCGTCGTCGTGTTCTTCCTGTTCGCCGTTGTTGGTGCTGTTGCTGGCGCCTACAAATACGGTACGAATTTTTAGTTTTTCTGTCTAAAACCCTCAAAATCCATCCCCTTTCATTCCTTTTTCAGGCTACCTCGATCCCTACGTGGAGCAGCTCCAGCAAGCTATGGGCCAGAAAAGCGGCAACTAGTGGACGGGACGCAGCGGGATGTGATGGTGCAGCGGCAACGGGAGAGAGGAATAAAAAAGAAAGGACGGTCTCGATGCTTCGGAGAGCAGCCAGCCATCAACAATCCAATTAGCACAACTCATGTAACCAGCAAACAATGGCTTCTTTTGTGATATATAAATATACAAACCTAATCCCCCCTTTTACTTAACTGTCAAACAGACCAAATCCATTGGCTTCCAACTTGTGTTCCCTTTGCGCATTTTTTTGTACACTTTTCCCCTTATGTGTTGTGTTTGCGCATTATTATTGTCCTATATATTAATTTGTTGTACATATATGCCTTTTCTTGTTATTGTAATAAATAAATGACTGTCTTTTAGTGGTGTTTAGAGTTTATTATGAAGGTTTTTTAGCCTAAAGAAGTTCAGTCCCCCCTTTTACTTGACTGTCAAACAGATCAAACCCCTTGGCTCTGAAATTTTGAACTCAATCCTTAAAGCCAGGATTTCCCCTTAGCTCGATTAAAAGCGTCCTTTCCTTTGATTTTTTAGACTAGAGAAGTTTGGCTCCCTTTGCTTGTCAAAACCATTGGCCATTATATCCGTTTGAAGTCGATCCTCAAGCATTTTTAATCGGAAGTATCCCTTTCCTTAAATTGCCCTTGTGGTCTTGTTGAAATCGATCCTTAACCAAGATCTTCTTAGTTGTGCTATTCGGACTTGTCCCTTTCTTTTACCCTCCTTCTTAACTTCCCTCCTACTTAAAAGAAAATTTCTCCCTTTTAAAGCTAAACGTTGCAACGCTTCTTACCTCATCCCTGACGGCAACTATATTGAATGCCCTAAAGAAGGCGGAGGTGGTTGCCCGGAAGGGCATGAATGCTCTCGTCAAAAAGGTGTTTGCTGCCCTACAAAAAGTTGTTTTTAAAGAAAAAATTAAAAATTTTCTCTTCAGAATTTTTGTGTTCACTCCCCGACGATTCCGGCACTTTTGCTGAAGGAGTTCCAGATAAGCCTAGATTCGCCTGGAGTTCTCAAGTTAATTCTTGTTGGCGTTTTTCTTATTATGGAGCTAAAGGGAATTATAATAATTTCCCCAATTTTCAAGAATGCGTGAATTTTTGTGGAAATGAAAAATAAATTTGATGGTGGGATGAAATGTCACTCTTAAAAAAATTGTTTAAATTCGATGCAATCTTTTTAATAATTTTATTTTTAATAATTTTGTCAAAAATAAAATGTCATTTTAATTATTATTTGGAAGATCAGTTGACTTAAAAGCCTTCTTTCTATTTTTATTACCCCCTAAAGGCTTCCAGCTACTTCCACTACTACCAGCTACACTGGCAATCGATAAAAGCTTTTTCTAAGCTTTTTCTTTTCTTCCTTGTTCTGTGGCCAATGCTTTCAGTATAATTTTATGGCATTCGCCTCCGCGCTAGAGTAATATATCCTTCATTTTTTACTTATCACTTACCATGAGAAAAATTGACCCAAAATTAATTAATCAAAAAAATTTTTTTAAAGCTCTCCTCTAATTAAAAAATTATTTTACCCTTTATTAGATCTGTTGCTAAATTGGGTACGGCCCAAGTAGGCGCGCGGCCAAGTAGGCGCAAAGCCATAACTTGCTTCAAGATTTCCGAATCTTTTAAAATTTAGTATTAAACGATTCCTCTTGTCGAGCTAAAGAGATTGGTACCAAAATTGATAAGGGTCAGAAATTTTCTAGCAAGTTATGGTTTTGCGCCTACTTGGCCGCGCGCCTACTTGGGCGTGTCCCGCTAAATTACCTACATACCTACCTATATTCGTTTTTTAAATCTTTATTTATGAATTTTTTGGGTACTTTTCCGTTATACAACTGCAAACGGAGCTTTTCCGTTATACAACTGCAAACGGAGCTTTTCCGTTATACAACTGCAAACGGAGCTTTTCCGTTATACAACTGCAAACGGAGCTTTTCCGTTATACAACTGCAAACGGAGCTTTTCCGTTATACAACTGCAAACGGAGTGTCAGCCGACTTTGATCGACTATAACTTTTTGTTGCTTGATCCAATACAATTGAATATTATATCATTCGAAAGCCCTCGATAGGCTGTATCTTTTTTCTAATAGATTAGAGCAAGTCTGATCACTCATTAAAAAGTAATAACCCAATAACAACCTAAAATTTAAATCAAAAATGTCGAAAAATTACTGTAATTAAATAAAAACATTTCGCCAAGAAATTAATTTTTATTATTTATTTAATTTTTAACCCAAAAATTTTTTCTTAATTTTCAAAAATTTTTTTTCAGACTTTAATCTAGTAAATTCAATAAAATACAAATTTATCTTGAAGAATGGAAGAGGATTTTTATGACGATAATGAACGCTGTTATGTTGATGTTAAACAAGTGACAAACAACAAATCTTCTTTTAAAATTGGACAGAAATTTCAAAAATTTATTCAGGTAGATTTCTTTTTTGATATTTTTTGTTCTTTCTTAATTTGATTGGCCACTTGTTAGTGATGCATAACTGCCTAACAACCCCTCCCTTCATTACAGATACCCTCCATTATATTTGCGGACGTCCGCAAAAATTTGCGGATTGTCCGCAAAAAATTTGCGGACTGTCCGCAAATTTATAGATGCACTTTTCTGTCCAAGGGTGTCTTATAATGATGTCCGATACTAATATTTTGTCTTGAATTAACAAAAGCATGCCTATCATCCCTCTTTAACCTCCCCACTATCACATCTCCAAATCACCCCAAGACAACATCAGACTTATTTTTAGGTCTTAAGACCCACCAAAAGGATCATTGTGTTAAACTTGTCTCTTTAAAAATCCAAAAATATATTTTCAAATTAATTTCCATGAAACTGTTTAAATTTCAATGAAAAATAGCAGAACATTTTATTTAATTAAATGGTGCAAACCCTAAACTATTTAACCCCTTTCTCTCGAGTTTGGTCATTCATTTAATTTCCGTATGACTTTTTTTCATTTCATTGTTGTCCTCAAAAATATTTTCACGCTTTCATCATATTAATTACTTTGTGATATTCGGGTCATCGGAGAAAATAAAAAGAAAAAAATGAAAAAAAATTTTGTCCGCAAAAATTTTGCGGACAAAAAATTTTTTTGCGGACGTCCGCAAATATTTTTTTTCAGAAAATAAACTTGAGGGAATAAATTTTTTTAGAAAACTGTCTAGAACCTTTAAAATAAACTTGAAAACTCAAAAAATATTTTTTTTCTGAAAATTTGCTTTAAATTAAACAGAATTTAAAAAGTTTTGTTGAATATTTAGCGAACAATGACGCTGTGAAAATAGAAATTATATAAAATTTGTTTATTGTTAAACATTAACTAACCAAATATTTCTTAATTTAAGTTCATTTTTTGCAGGAAATTAAAGAAAATAAATTTAAACTAAAAATTTTTGCGGATTGTCCGCAAAAAATTTTTTTGTCCGCAAATTTTTTTTGTCCGCAAAAAAATTTTATTTTATTTATTGTCAGTCTGGTTCATGTGCTACTTGCATGATCTATTTTTTTTATAACCTGACCTATCTTTTAACACATTTTCCTTTTTGATTTATTAATTTAATAATTTGTGTGGAGAGACGAATTCTTTTTTAACAGACGTTTTGACGGCTATATTTATTAAATTATTTAGATCAAAAAATATTTTTTAAAATTTATATTTGGGTTTAAAATGTGCACCCAACTCTTTTTAAAATTATTTTTGAATTTTTATGTTGCAAACAGTCAGACCTCTATATAAGATACACCCAATATTAGATACACCTCTATTTAATAGACATTCTATTTAAGAGACATTGGCCATTGGGTGGGGGAGGGGGTGGCCTTATGAGCGGGACGGGGAGCTGCCTAAGCGATACCCCTCTATTTAAGATACCCTCATTATAAGATACTATTTTTTTGGTTCAAGGGGGGTCTCTTATAGTGAGGTCCGATTATATTTAAAATCACCTCTCTCCTTTTTTTAAACTTTTTTAAACAATTTTGGGGGATACCCACTTTTTTCTTGGCCAATAATCTTTGTAATTTAATACATTAAATTCACCCCTCTCCCTTTTTTAATCTTTGCGCATTTAAATGATAAGAGAAAATTTTTTTATTTTATGTGTTTTGCTCTAAATAGGCGTTTTTTTCTGAATTTTTTCTTTTAATTAATTTTGCTTCTTTAAATTGTTGCAAAAATTGATAAAAAAGGGGGAATTTTTAAATTAATTTTCTGGGAATAAAAAATAAATAGAGAATCCTAGGCGATGTCGAACCTAACTATAAGCTACACACTTGAACTGAAAAATCGTATCTTATAATGAAGTGTCTGTTAAATGGAGAGTATAGCTTAGGTAACTCTCCATACCTTGTGGTCAACCAAACTTCAAAAAGCGTGTCTTAAATAGAGGTATTGGTGTGTCTTAAATAGAGGGTATCGCTTATGAGTGGGTATCTTAGATAGAGGCTTAAAATAAATTTTGTCCGCAAAAATTTGCGGACAAAATTTAAATTTTAATAATTCTCTTTTTATTTTTTAAGCTTGTTCCATTTCCCTCCAAAACAAAAGAAACAAAGCAAAAACAAAAACAAAAAATATCCGCGCACCCACAGTCAACTACTACTACAAGTCACCCATCACACTCATTCTCTTCTTCTTCCTCCCCTTCCTCCCCAACAAGTACAATAACATTGTCTTTATCACAAGTAGCTAGTTTGCAACAAAATGAAGATTTATTAGAACCATTTACTATTGAACAAGAAGAAGAAAAAGAAGAAAATTTTGAATTTAATATTGACTTGGAAACAACAATGGAAGAAGAAAATAATAATAAAAATAGGCCTAAAATGCCCCCAAAAATGTTTTTGTCGTCAATTCCAATGAGGGATTTGGTTGTTAACAACAAACAAGGAGTGAGACATAATGTTGGTTTATTTTTAATTTTTGAGGGTTGAATGGGGAAAAAATTTTAAAAAATTTTGTCCGCAAATTTTGTCCGCAAAAAATTTGCGGACAAAAAATTTTTTTGCGGACAAAAAAATTTTTTTAACCAAAATTTTTGTTATTTTTGCCAAAATTTTATCGAGTAATTGACTAAAAATCCAAAAATGAAAATTAGATTTTCAAAATTGGATTACACAGAAATCAGAGTTATCGTTTGGGATCTGTCGAGTTTACCAGGAACCCGATCTGACTACCTATTTTTCTCGATCCTACCCAGCCCTGCTATTTAGCGTTTAATAATTTTTTTATTTTTAGGGTCTCTTGAGCTACCCTAAATTTTATTAATTTTTAAATTTATTTTTTTTTGACTCTCAATCTTTGGTGTAATAGATCTATGGGGAAGGGAAGGGTTTTTAGGTGATTTTGATCCTTTTCTCGGGGATTTTTTTATCAAACTTTCTTTAAAAAATAATTTTAACAATTTTTTTAAATTTTTAAAATTTTTAAAAGACAAACATTAAAAGATAAAATAAAGGGATTTTTTTGTTAAAAAGTGTGAAAGGTCCTCTTTTAATAAAACAAAAATTTGTAAAGAAAATTTGAAAAGAAAAGAATTTTAAAAAATGATAAGGACTACCACCAACACAATATAGAACGATTTTTGAGACTATTTAAATAAATATTTAATTTTATTAAAAATTCCAAAAAATTGTAGATAACAAACCTAAAAAATGCATTTTTGGGGTAAAAAAATTTTTGCAAAATTTAATTTAAATAAATATTATTTTGCGAATTAGTTTCTATTTTTTGTGTTTATTTGTTAGTTAGTCTCTTATCATTTAAAAAAATTTTTTTTAATTTTCTTTATTATTGCTGTTTTCAAGTCGGGCCGACAGTCGAGACATTTTTTCCGGGCCTAACTTTATCGAGTCGGGCCGGACGAGTCTTTTTCGGCCAAATATCTTAGACCCGATTCGATCTTTCGGTCCGAGTTGGGCCATTTTGGCAACCCTAGTTACTGATTTTTCTACCTATTTATGATTATTTTCCTAAAATTTTTTTTATTTTTACTAATTTAGATTTTCCGATTTTCTATTCAAAAAATCAAGGTTATATGGGAATAGGTATCCTACATTTTTTAGGAGATCTTAAAAGGGATTCGTTATAAAAAATTT